AGCAAGTGATACACTGTAACTTTGAGTTTGTTACTTTTGCGTTGCCAAAATGCTGGATGGTTGTGCTTTCAGATGCACTAAGACAAGCCTGGGCTGTGTTAGGTGAGGGATTCCGTAAGTAAGTAACCGCAGTCGAGCGGTGGCAGGGACCTGCGGTTTTTAACGGTAGAAATGCGGAAGCGGATGCTGTAACGTTATGTGGATCGGATATGCCCAACACTTGCAGTTTGTGTTCATATCTTTCTTTTTCTTAAGTTTAAAGGTGATCCAAATAAAATTTGATTGCTTTTGCGGCGTCTCTAAGGGGAAGTCATGGTGTGAACCGCTATGTTGGTCTGTTGTTTTGCCCTCCAGGTCACCGCACATGTCACGTGACTGAAAACTATGACTACTGCTCAGCTGATCTCTTAAATTCCCTCACTAATGGTGCTTTCAGGACCAAAAGCACCATTATATGTTGAATATTTTCAAATCACGCGAGAATTTCGCATGACGCTGAGTCGCGATTACCTATCAACGTTGAGATTGTCCGTACGTCACCGACAGCTTCAGAGCGTTGTGTGGAGAGGGCCAGGCAGAGCGGGCGATTGAAAATCTGCTGACCGGCTGAGAGCTGCTAAACTTGGGCTAGAGGAGCAGGGAGCAGCGCTCCAGCTTTCGGACTAATAAACATCTGTGGTCGGACTGGACTTTGCTCGCAACTACGCCGTTTGCTCGAGGGAGGAGCTCGGAGTAAACTGCCTTTACTAAATTAGCTTTTTACTTTAGTTTTTAGGATTACAATGTTGATTTATCTATACTCGAGCTTCTCAGCAGCTAGATTCCGTGCACATCCGGTTCCACTGTTGTTAGCGTCGTTTGGCACTACTTCATATTTATATAAAAATTGCTGGGAGAAAAGAAAGCGAGGAGGTTGAACTACATGGTGAGTTAAGAAAACATGTGTATGTAACTTTAGTCCAGCTATCGTTGTACTTTACTGTGACCAAGTTAGCAACATAGCCCTCATCGATCCGAACTCCATACAGAAAACAAACATTTTAGAAGTTGTTGTCCTGCTGTCTTGCTGACAGACCTGACAAAGCATGAATTCATATGTTTAACAAAACTGCATCATATTGTAGTTATTTCGGCATCTGTTTGATCCGTTTATTGCTATATAATCAGCAAAATGTTTACTTTGGGTTCATACAGCTATAGTAATGGCAAGTTGTGTTTATTCACATTATCGCGTTAAAATCGCCTTCTCGCGTTGTGTGTGAACACAGCAGTGAATGTACTCACGCGAGGAAAGCGTCGCGAGGCGAAAATTCGCGTTTGGTCTGAATGCGGCATAAGTGGCTTGCTTAGATTTTTTTGCTATTATTAATATTGTTCACAAAACCCCAAAATTACACGGGAAAAAATGTCACTTGATATTTAGATTATGGATCAAAAACAGGAAGGCAAGACTAACGTGTTCTACATTGTATAGATCGCTGTTTTCCCCTAATCTTGACGATGTAAACAGTAGTTTGACCAAAAATGAATAAATAAAATAAAATCAATCATATAATCTTATGTGACATATGCATCTGACAGACTTCCTGTCTGATAGGAAGCAGCAGGTGAAGATGGGAAAACATGTCTCTGACTCCAGCACCATCAGCACCAGTTCCCCTCAAGCCTGTGTTCTTTCTCCTCTGCTCTTCTCCCTTTATACCAACAGCTACACCTCCAGTCATCAGTCCATCAAGCTCCTGAATTTTGTGGCCCATCTCTGGTGGAGTTGAGTCTGCCTGCAGGTGGTGAACTGGTGCAGCCAGAACAGTCTAGAGCTCAACATTCTAGACTGCCTCTGGCAGAAGTCTGCGGTCCATCAGGACCAAAACCTCTCGACACAAAAACAGCTTCTTCCCTTCTGCAGCTAGCCTCATAAACAAGGCCTGGGTCCCTAATTGACACGCCCCCCTTTCAAATACTGTAAATGTCTTTGTATGTAAATATTATAATATCATTGCACAAACCATTATTGCACATATTGTTGTTAAATGTTAATCGTTATTCGTCTATATTTTTATATATTGTCAATTTATATATTTAAATAAATACAATATGCTCTCCTGCTGCAATACGTCTGCACAACACAACCCAGAGCAATGAACATGTAAATATCTGCTATGTTGTCTTTCCCTGCACAGTTGTATTAGTTGTATTACTCTCAATTCTTTTATTCTTTTAGAACGTGCCTTTGTTTACTTCATATTTATTATACTTCAACTGTATGTTTGTCTATATGTAGCACCGTATCTCCAAAGCAAATTCCTCGTATGTGTAAAAAAACTACTTGGCAATAAAACTCTTTCTGATTCTGATTGAGGTAAAAAAAGGTTACTGTTAGTGCACTACATGTTAGGTCATATTTTTTGTTGTTGTTGTCTCAACAAAGAAAGATTGATGTTTCTGTCTCAGTGATGGATAAAAACAGAGAAATTTAACTTACTAAAGCATTACAATTACATTACACTCTTACTCTCTCGTGGGTTAAAGACATAAAACTTTCCTCCACTTGTCCCCAAGAAGTCCCTCAAGGACACCTGGAGGTCCCTGGATCCCATTTTGGGAATCCAAGATGGGGACAGCGGTGGTTGAAGTATTCAGATCCTTTTATTTAAGTAAAAATTGTAATACCACACTGTAAAAATACTCTGTCAGTTTGCATTGAAAATGTTAATTAAGTAAAAGTATTTAAGTATAATAAGGAAAATGTACTAAAAGTAAAAGTTTTCAACGCAGAAAAATGTCCTTGTGACTGTTATATTATTACATGAGATTAATATTCCTCATGCATTCATGTAAAAGCAGGATTTTACTGCTGTAGTTGTTGAGGTAAAGCTCATTTTGAACTATTTTTTTACTGGACCGCAACTAATTATTGTCATTATGAATTCTTTTGCTGATTATTTCTCCATTAATCGATTGATTGATCTAGAAATCGTGAGAAATGCCGTCAGTTACCTATAGCCCAAAGTGAAACCTTTATAATGCTTGTTGTCAGTCAAAAATCTCAACATTATTAACAATACATTCAAATAATTAAAAGGAAACACAGCAAATCTTCATATTTGTAAAACTAGAACCAAGAAATGTTTTTGCATGAAAAATAACTAATGATCAAAATAGTTGCTAATTAATTTACTGTCTACGACTAATCGTTTCAGCTGTACTTATATAAACTGTTGGGTATTTGGGTAATTGTTAACAAAACATCATATTTTATAAACTCTTCATATGTTTTGTGTGTAAAAAGCTTACTTTGTAAAGTAGAGTTGTCAGATCAATGTAATGGAGTAAAAAGTACAGTATTTTCCTTTGAGGTGTAGTGGAGTAGAAGTAGAAAGTGGCATGAAAATAAAATACTCAAGGAAAGTACAGGTACCTCAAATGTGTACTTAAGTACAGTACTTGAGTAAATGTACTGTCCACCACTGGATAGGGAACACACTGTAATTAAGGCTTTGAAATGTTAAATTGGACTGACCCAGCAGGAAACTCGTAACACTTTTCCAGATTTTTGAACCAGACTGCAGAACCAGACTTCTCATGCCTTATTTATCCTCTGAGAGCAGTTGTCAAGTCAAGCTTAATATTTCCCTCTACTGGCTCTTTACTATACCGCAGTACATATGATAAAATATCCATATGTTGTTTAGATAATGGTTTCTATTTCCAGGAGTCTAATCCCTAATCACGCATGTGCTACAGTCCCTTATTCATTTTTGATCACTTATGGCTGCTTCATCTGACACATAAACATAAAAATATAAATCTCTTCCTGATATTAAGGAGCCCCTGTTGCACAACCCACATCTTAATTATGTCTCGTTTTAAAGTTCCTTCCAAACTGACAGCAACATTTTCATCAAAAATATCATCAATAATTGTGTATCTACCTAAAACTTTCCCCTAATATTTTGTAGTCCTCTATATCAGTACATTTCGGCAAAAGTAGTTCCAAATGAGTTTAAGCTACATAAACAATGTGAGCTGTTTTGCCATTACAGTAAAAAAAAGACACAGTCTCTGATTGCTGGCAAGTTGTGAACATAGAGCCCTTGAAGTCCGAAAATTACTTATTATTATGTTGTGTGCATAATATAAAAATTATTACAATCAACATGAACTTAAAGTATCATTAGTAATAGTAGGCTACTTAATTCTGAATTTATATTATATTTTACATTATACTGATAAATCAATAGTGGTCAGTGGAGATAGTTTTAACTTTCTTATACTGTGAATTTCTGTAGGTTTTGGAGTTTAATCCAGTGAATCCCAACCAGAGGTCCCAAAATAATTCTGAAGGGCTGTGAGATGCTTAACAAATCTCTATTTATATTTTGGACTTTTCTGCAATCTTTGATTTTTTTATATAGCACATATATAAATGAAACCATCTTAAAAGTTTAGAGGGAAAAGACCCATCAACAATTCATAGACATCTGAGACAATCTTTAACAAATTGTATTTTTTTCTTTATTTAAAGTCTTACTTTGAAAAGTTACTAGTAATTACATTTGTAAAAAAAAATGTAGTAGAGTAAAAGTACAAGATATCCTTCTGAGATGTACTGCAGAAAATTTTAATACTTAAGTAAATAAGTGAAGTAGACAGTCTGCTACAGGTGTTCCTATTATTGTGTCCATGTTCTGTACGTACTGAATTACATAAACGCTTGCTTACTGACAACATGGCCTTCCTCAATAACCTGCTTTTATCTAGCAGGTTTTAGGACGACATTCAGCTCCATATAACCACAGTGTTTTTCTTCTGTCTCAATGTGGCACAAACGTTAAGTTTCTCTTGTGAAAATAAATAGGCCTATCTTCTTAGCATAGACCATCATTCTTCCTCACCACCCTGCATCATTCCCCAGCCATTTACTTCATCTTATTCTCCTCAGTCCCGCTTTTTTTCTTCTCTCTCGTCTTGAACGCTACTTTTGTTTGCTGAAAGCTGAACCCGTCATTCGCCACCAGGAAATGGAGGAGCTGTGGTGATGTCGTTTGTAGCTGCAGCGGAGAGGCAGCAGCACTGGGAGGGGAAACGACCAGAAGGCAGCTGCTACAGGCGTCAGCGACAACTCTCAGCACTGAGGCAGGCTCTGCAGACTCAAAAAGTAGCTACATTTTGATATGTTAAGTTTTTAAGAAGCGAAAGCTCACTTTGTTTAATGTTTGCGCTGGTTGTGCCGCTATTACAATGTTTATTTGTCATTTTCTTACCGCGGTTTTGTAGCGGAAGATGGGCTTGACCTGCCGAGTTTCGAACTCGTCTCGTTTCGAAATGTATCTTTGTGCTTTATTCAGCTTTATTTTAACCCCTTGTTTCTGTCTGTTTCCTCCTTAAAAACAATCAAAAAGGTTTCGTGTATCAGCAGGTGAAGATGAGCGAAGCAAATCTGCCCAAAGTTGAACTTTTTGTGAAGGTAAGCGATTCATTGAATGGTGACCTTATAAACTCCATCACACCCAGAAAGTGACGCGGGGGACCTGCGACATTATGTGACAATAATTTATTTAACAGGGAGTTTAAATATTTGCTATCTTATCACGTATCATGAATTGTTTTCAATTTATTGATATTACAAGCAGAAAACGTATCTCACACCGCCTGTATTTGGCGACATAATTGTACGTTTTGAATGACAGTATCTGTGCCATGTACCATGCCAGTTCGACCACCTCTGCTGACTCACTGGGCTTATAAATGACAGTAAGACTAATCTAATTAAATGCACGTTAAGATAAGGGGCAGCCGACTTTAATCTATATTTAGTATGTTGGCCAAGCAGGCTAATCCCATGTTCTTTAAACCAAAAACAGACTGTGATATAACAAATATGTCTTTCTCTGCCTCCCCTCACGCTCTTACACACGTTTCCATGATTACTCTGTATGAACATGTGCGCCACCCTCTACTTTTTTACTTCACTTCAGGGGTGAAAGATGCTGTTGTAACTTCTCTAAATCCTGGTCTCTTGTCAACCTCTTCAAAGACACTTGATACCCTAAAATGAACAGACTGTATAAGTGTAGTTTCACATTGGCCTTGGAAAGTAAGCCACTGTCTGATTTGTTGTAACTGCCTGCAACTTTATACAGTATTTAGACCACAGATATATAATGACTGAACTGCAATGTGGCTTTCTGCAGCCATGCAAGGAACAATTCAAAGCTGTATGATCATTTCCTGAGCAGCCTACAGGCTCTGCTTGAATGCAGAAGTGAATGAGTGTAGCTTCTATTGCTGCAGTTAATTATTATTTGCATTATGGATTATTCTGCTGACTATTTTCCCCATTAATCAATTCATCTTTTGGTCCATGACGTGGTCACAAAATGTTGCACCATCACCATTTTCCAGAGCCCATTGTGACACAGTTTACAATGTTATTAAACAAAGAAAAGCAGCAAATCTGCACATTTGAGAAGCTGGAACAAAGTCATTAATAAATTATTAAACTTGTTCCCAACCAATTTTCTATCGATTGACTAATTGTGTCAGCTCTGAACATTCAGTCTACTAAATGTCAGAAAATGCAGAAAAAATTACCATTTCACAGAGCCCAATGTGATTTCTTCAGTCCAAAATCTAAAAATATTAAATTTTTCCATCATATAGAGTGGAAATGATTAGTCCATTAATCGAGTGGCCGATCAACGGCAACTATTTTGACAGTCAATTAATTGTTTAAGTCATGTTTCAACTAAAAAGCTTTTTTTTTTTTTTTTTATCACATGGGATGGTAAACTGAATTTTGTTGCATTTGAGACTGTGGTCAGACAAAACAATACATATGAAGATTTTGAAAAACTGTTTCCACTATTTTTTAAACATTTTATAGACCAAATAAAGGATCAATTAATCAAGAAATTATTTGGCAGATTAATTGAATAATTAGTAATAATTATAAGTTGAAGCCCTAAAGGGTTGTGCCACATCATGTTGTTTACGATATATCAGTAAAATTTTTAATATAACATTTTTTGAAGAAGAAGAAGCTGGAACCAGAAAGTTTAGGATTTTATTTAGTTTTTCAAAAAAGAAAAGAGAGCTGAGAAGTAGCAGCAATATTCATGACTTATTTCCCCTCGTCCCCTTATGTGTTTCTACCCAATGGTGTAAACCTGTAAGCAACTATATGAAATGGTGCACATTTTCTGTTTTTGTGTCCCAGGCAGGCAACGATGGCCAGAGCATCGGCAACTGTCCCTTCTCCCAGCGTCTCTTCATGGTGCTGTGGCTGAAAGGAGTGACCTTCGATGTTACCACAGTGGATATGAAGAGGTAAAAACACTGGCCTGCGGGTTTCTATTGGCACAACAGAGAGGAATGTCCGCCTACTGTTTAAATGCTCCCAAATGTACTGTGCAGTAAAGCAACAGGGGGCATTTCATTCAGATAGTGAAAGATATAAAGCTGCTCTGGCATTGATTAGCATGAGTTATTTTCTGTAGTTACATATTTTTTGTTTCTCAGTTTCCTTACCTTCTTCCCCATTTGCTCCCTCACGGTCTTCTGCTGGATGTATGTCTCTCTATTTCCGTCTCAATCTGACTTTTTTTATTTCCGTCCACCTTCAGGAAGCCAGACATCTTGAAGGACCTGGCTCCAGGTGCCCAGCCTCCCTTCCTGCTGTACGGCAGCGAGGTGAAAACTGACACCAACAAGATCGAGGAGTTCCTGGAGGAAAACCTCTGCCCTCCCAAGTAATCTCCCTCCATCCATCTGTGTTACAAATCCATTTTATTTTAGGGGTTGCTTTTAGAGCTGCAACACCTACAGTAGCTTCAGCTTCACAGGTGTGAGAGATTGCTGCTTTTCGTATGTGATCATAAATTGAATATCTTTGGACTTTGTAAGAAAAAACAAAGTCATCTTGGGCTTTAGCATAATTTAAGAGCCATTTTTCACTATTTTGACTTCTTGACATTTTTCTGTCATTCTATATGAATCTTCTTGGTCTAAGGTCTTTATTGTTAACTTTTCATTCATGTGAATTTGTGTTTGTGATGATCATATGTAAATCATCATCGATGTGTTTGTTTAGGTATCCCCGTCTGGCTGCTCGTAACCCAGAGTCCAACACAGCAGGCATGGATGTTTTCTCAAAATTCTCCGCTTACGTCAAGAACTCAAACCCTCAGGCCAATGAAAGTAAGTGTATCTAACTTTTCAAAATGAGAAGAATCATTGGGGTCTGTACAGTAGAATAAATATCCCTTTCTTTACCCAGAAGTTGGTTTTTTACACTTCTAATTAGGGATGAACGATTAATTGCTTGTACGATATTATCGTGATGTGATAAAACGAGATTTTCTAATCGCAAAGGCTGCGATTACACTCTGGTCACATGACACCCAAGAGTAAAGCAGTCTGCAGATGAAGCATCAACTTTGCACCTTACGCTGTACCTTGACTTGTTGTACAATGGCTTTACGCTTGACAGAAGCTGACACGACAGAAACTTTAGTGTCACACAGGGAATGAAAGTAGCACCCGCCACCCGCGGGTAACTTGGTGGTGGTGGGTGAAATCGCCAGGCCATGCGCCGCTTTGATAGACAGGAAAAATGCACAACAGAAAGACACGTGTAGTAAGGTAAGCACATTGTGGCGAACAGCGCCAGCGTCACACACACAGCCACCAGTCATCTCAGGAAATATCTGTGAAACAGCATTTCAGACCAAACTCACAAGTCCGAAAGAGGCCCAGTCTGTCCCGAGTGACAGCCAGTGCGCCGCTTACCAGCATCGCAGGCTGCGGGTGTGGGGAACTCCGGTGTTGTCAGAGAATTATTAAGCTTGAGATAAGGACTCATTAATTAGTGATTGAACTGTGGGTTTTGTATTGAGCGGTTACTGTATAATACACTGTGGTAAACTTAGTTGTTCTTGTGATCTGTAGGTAGGCCTACCTGATGATATTATATCATAAATTTAATGCCATGACTTGACTCTCAAATTATCTTTCTCAAATTATTAAAATTTGATATTTTTTCTCCACCATAGCTCATAATAATAATTCATGCATCACCTAATTTCATCATAACACAGGCCTGACCCACAAGAAAGAACAGTGTATGTTTAATCTAGCTAATATTGTGTTGGTCATACTTTACACTGATTTACTGCTTGTCCATTTTGAATATTACAGAAGGTAAAGAGCTTAAATATTAATTGTATATTAAATCACAATCAAAATCGCAATTAGATTATTTTCCAAAATTGTTCAGCCCTACTTCTAATAGACTCCAGTTTTATTTCTGGTAGTATTTTCTTAACAAATACTGTAGAGCTCCTTCCGTCTTCCTCTGATGCACAGAAAACCAGCAGGGAGCATCCCTGTTAATAACATTATGGTCGGAGCTTTTCTTTCCTCTGTGCAAACAGGTCACCTGCTGCTCTCTGGGTTGGGTGATCTCATTGGAAATGTCACTGTTGTTGGGTGAAAACTTGTGTGTTTAATCTGTTTCTTTTATTTCCTTAAAAGGAAATTCCCTTAACCATTTCAGCCATGTAAACTATTTAGCTTTGATTACACCCTAAATATTTTCTGTCTGCATGTGTGCTCAGATCTAGAGAAAGGCCTGCTGAAGGCTCTGAAGAAGCTGGATGACTACCTCGGCTCCCCACTTCCTGATGAGATTGACGAGAATAGCGCTGATGAGGTCACTTCCTCATCCCGCCCCTTCCTGGACGGCCAAGATCTTACTCTGTCTGACTGCAACTTGCTGCCTAAGCTCCACATTGTGAAGGTAATCTTTTCTTTTAAGCTGTGCTGCATGGGGGGGCTGGGATGAAAAGAATTTTGGTCTGAAACCGAACTGCCCTGCACATTTTGTTGATTCCGTCCCTCAAACTGTTTCTCTTTTTCTTTCTCCAGGTGGTGTGTTTAAAATACCGAAACTTCAGCATCCCTCAGTCTCTGACAAACCTCTGGAGGTACCTGAACGCTGCGTACGCCAGGGAAGAGTTTGCCTCCACCTGCCCGATCGATGAAGAGATCCACATCGCCTACTCCTCTGTAGCTAAAACTCTAAAGTAGGAGGACAACAGGATGCGCAAGTCATGATTACACCAGCAGAACAACACACAAAAGCACAAAAACAACACACACAGACATCACCTGCACACACAGAGCGTTCGTTCTGCAAGCAACTTGGTCTATCTGTTTCTGAAGAGGCTTTTTGTGTAGCTTTAAAAGTGGATATCAACTTTCATAATGTTAGATAATTGTGATGAGCCAATATAGCTGGTTTGCTATCATCAAACTTTGCTCTTAGGGTTGCTTTAGATATGTTTATTCATGTAGTTTTCCTCCTAAAAGGGATTTTGTTCCACGTGGATCTGTTTACTTCAGTGGGGAAAGGAGGAGGCACAGCAATCAGTTAAGCTCATTTAAAAACTAACTCAGCTGTGCCCAAATTGATTTGGCTGACAAGCTTGTTTGACTGCACATATATCAACTGAGTTTTCCTGGACATTAAGCTCTCTAGAAAATTAATTAACTTCTGGTTACTTGTTGATCACGTTGCTTGCAGGCTCTTTCTCACACACACACACACACACACACACACACACACACACACACTCACTGTATGTGCACACACTTACATGAACATTTTCACACACTTAAAACTACAGCCTTGCTTGTGTTCAGTTTAATCATGAATAGATGCACACTGTAAAGTTATCATTGTTCCCTTGTTGATGACATTTGCTACAGCATATACTTGATGTCTTTTTTGGGGGGATGGCAAAATTCAACAGACACAAAGCAGTCTAGCAGAGCACACTTTCATTAGTACCTTGCAAGTGTCAAACAAAGCTGTTCAACACTGATTTTCAGTATTGGTATTAAGGAAATTATTCTAAAGTGGCAAACATGCATATCAGATGTCATTTGTGGCTTTGTCTGCAATTACATTGACATTACTTTTTCGTTACAGAGGGAAAATAAGGCCTTTGACAGTGAAAGATAAAGCCAAATTCTATTTTAAATGTAACAGTTTCTTACTCTTCATAATGCATCTCCCGGGGGGGGCTGAAGGGAGGCAGAGCTGCAAAAAGACAGGAAATTATTTCAATAGACGTGGGCTTCCTCTTTCTGCTCTCCCACAGCAGGCGTGACGGATTATTCAAGATTACAAAGCTTGTTTGTGATCCGCTGTCAGGGCCTCTTGCCAATTATTTTCTGCTGCCTGTCATGTATGAAGGATCCACTTTGGTGTCATATAAAGGAAAGAGATCTGGTTGCGAGTGTATTGAAGTGCTATGGATGAAGAAGTAATTGCTGTTGTTAACTGCTAAAGTGCTACACTGAAAGCACTTGTTATCCGGTAGCTCTGGGCTCAAGGCTGTCGCATGTTTCTCATGTGGGAGGAAAAAAACTGCAGGAAGTTAAATATAAACATGTCAAATGTTTATATTATAGCACTCTGGGCTTTAGGTAGGCCTAACAACCTTTTTTGTAGGACATTATTAAAGGATAAGTCTGGCAATGTTCTATTTCTTACTGTCAGCAAAGACCAAAACCAACAACACATTACTTTGTCACTCAGTACTTGATGAATTGTCCTACCCTGTTTGTGGCCTCAAGCCCATTCAACCCTACAGAAATATGTGGTTTCATTTATTTTTTTAAAGGCAAAGCAGTTTCCTAACACTGCAGAGCTCTGTGGTGTTTAGCAGATGTCATTCAAACAGGAGTAAATAGTTTATTTGATGCTCTAAGGGGTATTTACAGCGGAAGGTAAAGTTACATTTTTATTATTGGATGTATAGCCATGAAATTTTGCTCAGGCATGCATGTCCCCCTCAGGAGAAATTACAATAACATTGGTGATCTCTTAACTTTTCATCTGGCGCCATCATCAAGTGAAACACTTTGGTTTAAAACCTGCAAAACTCGTGAAATTTAGCCTCAGCTGTATTTTGTTTTTAGTGGCAATTAGTAAATGTTAGCATGCTAACCCTCTACTTTAAAATGGTGAACATTATACCTGCATCAGCACGTTAGCATTGTCACTGTGAGTATGTTAGCATGCTGACGTTAGCATTTAGCTTAGATTACCACTCACTTTGTCTAAGTACAGACTTGCAGAGCTGCATAGCTTTAGACTCTTGTTAACGGTTTTGGGACAACAGTGGAACTTAATGACAGAGGAATAAGCTGCTGTATATCAGGATCTAGGAACACAGGCAATACTTGTAAAGCATTGTTGGTTTTGGTCTTTTCTTGGGATTTGTTGACAAATAGAAACATTAAATATCACTAGGCTTATTCTTAAATTGAAAAGATTGTATATTTGTTGATTGTTGGCTGTCTTGCAAACCTGAAAAATTGGGAAGAACTATAACAAATAATAACGCTTTGTCCGACTGTAGTAGCAGCTTGTGTAGAGGATTTACTTCATGGCACTATGCAAATTTACATTTATAGAGGCAGTTGAGACATTTATACAGCAGGTAGTGGTGTACACATCTTTGCTCAAAATAGCCTCTTATATTTCATGTCTCTCCAATCAAGGTGAAGCTCTACAAAAAAAATTAAACCTAAGTGCAATTTAAACCAATTGAAAAGACAATCTTGTACAGAGACTTTGGTTACGTTAGACGTACAGTGTGAGCACAGTTGGGTTTTTCTATATGAACATTAATGACTCAAGTTAAATCCTTCCTTGATGAACTAATGCAAAGAGTGTATATTTTACTTGACTGAATTGTTGTGGCTTTCACCTATTTTCTAAAATGGACCAACATTTAAAGGGATAGTGTCTGAATAATTTCAGTGCTGATTTATTTTAGTATTTCTGGCATAGCTTTTCACTTTTTACTGTAGGACAATTTAACTTGATCTATTCATTAAAATGTTACATTTATTAGTTTGTTTTTCACTTCACTGTCTTTAACATTTTTTTATCATCTTGTACATGAATTTTCTTTGTTATGAGACCAATATTGTACTTTTCACTTTGTTTCCTGCATGCATTTCCCTAAAAATAGTTTAGCCTTTTTATGCTGTCTGCCATGTTTTCTAAAGCGGTTGCACTTAAAAGTCCACAGAATCAAAACAGCAGTGTGGACACTAAAGCAGTAGATTTCCAATGAAGACAATCAAACTAATAGCACAGCTGAAATGCATTTTGTACTTTAAAGCTCTTATAAAGACGCATGTATTAATATTCCAATAAAAAAATCTTGATAATAAATTGACCAGTGAGAGGTGTTTGTATTTACTGTTTTAATAATTTTCCAGGGTAACAACATGGAGATGGTCAAGGAAAAATGTGTACAAAAAGGTGCAAATGACAACATTTCTAGTCTATACAAGCGAGACGCTCAGAGCTCAGACAGCAATGACTATACACATTTTTTTCAATACACAAAGTAGAACACAAATAAGCATAATACTGAGAAGGCATTTCTTCAGTATAGTTTATTAATGTTAAAGTTTTATTAGCACCGTTATTGGTTCATAAACATGGCCAAACAGTATATTTTGTAAGATTCAAATCATTTGAGAAAACGCCTTAAGATCCATTTAGTAGCTCTTCTGAAAATGTAGCTGTTTGTGTGTTTTAAGGACTTCTGGTTGGTGTAAAAGTTCATTCTTGAAATTGGAAACTGCAGTTCACAACACAGTCTCTCGCTTCAAGGTCCATTTAGTAGATTTTCTGGAGCTTCAGACCACATGATTTTCATCTACAAAGATAACATGGGCAAGAAGTCTTAACCGTCTTCTAATTTGGTGCTTATCAGGTGATGTGATCAAAAGCTGCAGAACAGCCACAAAATAGAACTTGGGGTAAAATGTATTATGTATACTGACTATACTTGGTCACTTGTGGTATATGCATTATTGTAACTGTTTACACTGTCACTTAACACAACTGTCAAACATTTTGGATTTTACATTATTAGGTGTACTGGTATATTTCTTGGCCTATTTAAGAAGTGGAAACTATGAGTAGGAAAATATTAGATAAGACAGGCATCTAAAAATACCACATCAGTAATATGATTTTCTTGTTGGCCACTAGGACACTTTCCCTGTTCATTCTTTCTTAAAACAGGAGTTTTCAGTCCCTGGTGGCTTACAAGTGCATGCTCATGTGCCTGGGAGTGTACACCTTTTCCAAGTCACTTACATCTTTGATATTTGGTGTTAAGTGTGAGCACGTCTAGACCTCCAGCCCATCATCACTACTGATGCTCAGGCCAGCAGGAGAGTGAGTGCAGGCAGCAGGCAGAGAGCGACTCCTCCCCAGCTGAGGGCAGCAACGGACACCGCCCCGTTACACAGGTCTGTATCACAGCAGACGTTGGTGTAGTTGAAGTAGAGGCCTGTGGTGTATTTCTGTCCGCTCACACCGCACTGGGTGGGAATGGCACAGCTCTTCTCGTACATTGTCACTTGTAGTGAGCCTATAAGAGCACAGACACTGGTCAGACAAATCTATGGAGGCAACTAAACGCCATAATAATTAGAATTTTTTAAAAGTAAATGTATTGGCCTGACAATAATTTTTTAAAGTGGGGGTAGTATTATGTTTTAGGACTAGATATTTATCTGTTTCTAACAGCGGATATTCTTTTTAAATCAAGCGTGTTGCATTATGGGTTGTTAGGAGCCTATATGTTGCTTGGCAAGTGGGTTCAAGTGTGTTTATAGTGTGTGTTTTGCAGTTAGTCATCCCTAAAAGTATTTATTTAACCTTTTAAAACCTAGGAGTCGGTCAATCGACGAGTGGAAGTTGCTCCCAGCATTTTTACTGCAGAAACGGATTGAGGATCAAATTATTTGTAAAGAAGAATCACCAGTGTCACATGAAGAAGCTGAAAAAAAGTCTTATATTCGGGCCAATACTTCAATTGTGAAAATGAACCACTACTGAATAATCTTTAAATTCTATTACCTCCTCCTGCATTTATTTGCTCAGAGTGCTTTTATTTTCAAGAAGGGAATTTAAAGATTTGGAATTTTAAAAACTTTAAAAAAATATATGTTTGGGGTTAAGAAATATTATAGAAAGTTTGTTTCTATCTGAACTTCATGTGACTGAATATGACAATATGACTTGATAATTAGTGTTTGAATATTACCAATCCAAAGTAAGCATTTCTTTTCAATTGATCATTTAATTAATGAATCGCTGCTCTGAAATGTATTTATTTAAATATTGGAAACCTGAATAAATATAAATATATTGCACAACTTTAAATTACCTTCAATTTCAAAAGGGAGAATTCAAGCAACATAAAATCAGATAGATGGTTTCAAAGTAAAGTATTTACTTTTTATTTAAGTTTAGGAAGGTATTAATGAGTCTGCTTAATTCCTTTCACCCAATTGTATGACAGAGAATATCTGAAATCATATTCAACATATTGTCCAGTGTAGTGATAAAATTATGTTCTTGAAGTGAAGACCCAGTCCCAATTTCATAATCACAAGAACAATATTAGTGCGTTTTGGATGCTTTTTATCTGTCATTTACCAAATTGTGCACCCTAAAGGTAACACAGAATGATATCTGCGTCAGGTGTTGGAGGAATGACTACTTTACATCACTTCCCACGTTGAAAACCGCCTGAGCATTCACTGGTTAAGGTTCATGTGATCATTTTGCCCCACCCAGCCCTGAGAGCTATTTTTGGAGATAATTTGATGGCATCACGGGCATTAGCGATCTGACAACCAGCCTGATGAGAAACTGTGCTGAGACCTGATCGTCTGTTTTTTTTCTTTTGTCTTGTTTTCTTTTTACACTTTCTTGGGGTTTTTTTACACTTGGGGTCGATGTAGGATCACGCCTGAGAGAAGGCCCTTAAAACCAGTCGGTTTTTTATTTTTAAAATCCATAGAAGCAACACATAGAGATTAGACAGTGCAGTCTGTAAATATTGGGACTATGATATTGTTTTGGCTCTGAAAGAAGATGGTTTTCTATGTTATCTGAATAACTTTGCTGACTTAAACCAGTTGTTTTTAAATTTGCAGATTTGAAGGTTTTCTTGTTTTTTCCCCCCAGCAAAGGTATCAAGATAACTAAATAAACCTGCCTTTCAGAACTACTCTGGTACACTGGATTTAAAATAAAACTGCGACTAAGAGATTTAAATGCAGCTTTAAGAGTATTTGGTCTGTATTAGGTGAGCAGTGGAGGAATTGTAACTACATAAAGGACTACAGTTTCTACACTGTTCATATGTGGATGTAAAAAGCCTTACACTAAAGGTGAATGCCAGCAGAATTCAGTGGGCTGGAGTGCAGAGCCTAAACAAAACTGGCCTTATGCACATGTATACAGACTGCACTGTACTGTACATTTCTCAAATCTGTTTCCAGACAATGTTCTGTACAATGCGGCTTTGTCTGTCAATGTTTGACCATCATGCCCTAGATTCTCAGAAAATAATCTCATCTACAGACACAGAAATAAACACACACACACAGATCTCACCCCGTTTTCCAATCGCAGTACTAGACAGGCAGCGCTGCCCGGCTGGGCACTCCTGAGGAAACTTAAAGCAGTCCAGAGGAGAGATGGCGGGGAATACACAGGTGAAACAGCGCAAACATCCTGAGGGAAACAACGGAAAAATATTAAGAAACTTGCTGTGGCCTGATCAAATCTGCATTTTTCAGACATATCTGAGAGTTAAAGAATCTGATAATGGTATATTGAATTCAGTTTTGTACATGAACAGATAAACATTTTTTGATTACATTTGGTCATAAAACAATTGTGATTTACTGAGCTGGACATTTTACAATACTCTGTGCTGCTGCTGCTCTCTGAGGACAAACAACGTAATAGAGACACAGTTTCTAAATATGTCTACATAGGTGTCATTTACACTGGGGACTCTTTGATATGGCTGATTTTGTCCCCATCACTTTTTGAAAGAATTGGTTAAAAATGTTCTTTAAAAAACTTGCAACTAGAAATGTTAAATACCAAAAGAAAATACTTTGAGAAAGGCTTATTTCCACAATAAGAAAACTTAGAAAGTAAATATAGAAGAAACAAATGTGCATTGTCCAAAAAAAGTAACTTACCGCATTATATTCCATTATATTTTTATATTTTGAAATGTCACCTGCCATTTTGTGTTTTTCTTTATATGAATAAAGACAATTAGTGCAGAAAATTTCTCCTGAATGCAGGAAATTAAGTGTTTAATCCTCAAAATTGTCCGGTGAAGGACTAGACCCCCATTCATATATTTCAACATTGAATATGACTTCAAAATACAGTTAAAATATCTTCCCATCTTGTTCTTGTGAACCCAATATTGTGCATCGCCGCGTCTCGTGAGCTAAATGTATCGTCACACATATTATCGGAGCCCTTATGTCCCCACCAATTTTCAACACAAAGTGACGCCCTTGTATGCCTACATCAAATTATCATTGATAAGCTAATATTGTCCAGTATATCGGCTGGCCGGTTTATCAGTGGGGCTCTAACTGTGAGGTTGTGAGAAAAAATGCTATGACTAATCCTTAACTCGTTCTAGTTTGAGCAACACTTCAACTGGAATAAATCATTATGAATGATTGAAGAAATAAAGAATAACATCCAGTATCCAAGCAGTGTTATTACACTAACGCCAAACAAGCTGTGAACACACCAACTTACAGCATCGAGGAAAACGTTTTTTCAAAAGTTTTTGGATCATACAAAATAACTTAATATCTTGTGCACAAGTTTTTTTTTTTAAATCTTAGCTGTTTTGCCTTTCATAAAGAAGAAACATCCTTTCAGCAGCATGTCAGGGAAAACACATTTTATAATAAATAAAACGGTGTTTAAATGTCCTTTTGAAATAATTTCACTGAAAAATTTTTGTGCGACCTACATACCTGCCAACGGTAGACTGCACAGGAGCACAAACAGAAGTTGTGAACGAGACATGATGCTTCCAGCGAGAAGTCCTCAAACTGGTTTCAGTTATCTACTCAAGGATGTCCAAAAATCTCCTCTCACAGCGTTACGGCTGTCTTATCAAACTACCTGCAGCTGATACGAAACATCCCCTAACTCATTCCTTAATTAAATTTCTCTTCGTCTTTTGAAGCCCACACCCTCAGTCTCTTCTTTACTTCTTCTGTTTTACTTCCACTATGTTTTCTTTTAAGATGATTAAGAGGTACCTCCTTAAATGTAGTTTGTACCCTCTGAATTTTGGCTCTCTTCTTCTTGTCTTCTATCTTTTGTCGTAGGCCTGATTTGAATACCCATGTTACTCGGAGCAGTCAGTGTCTCCTCTCTAAAACTTCTAATTTAATTTGGTGAGGTAATTATGATCAGCTGACATGGTTTAGGACAGCCTAAAGAATGAGGTGTATGTTTTGTATGTTCATTTTGAAATCACCTTAAGTCACCCGTCACAACAACAGCATCTTTACTAGGTGGTGAAGTAATTAAAAGGACAGAGAGCGAGGACACATTTTAGAGGAAGTCCAAGACAAGCTAAAGAGAAAAGGAAGTGTTTATGTTAAATAGATCTGAATGAGAGGACCACTGACCTCATTGTAGAGGAGGTCAAAGAAAAAGGTTTCTAGCTGTAGCTCTCGGGGGGTTTAATAATATTGAGAGTTTATATATTCTGTGATTACACACATAAAGCTGAAAATTAAACATATAAATATGCTGAGTATGTTTTATTTACAGGAACATAACTTTGTTTAAAAAATAACTTGGATGTGCTAATGTGGGGCTTTCACACATCTCATTTATGTCTGTAGATCATTAAAATGTATAGTTTCAGATTTTTGGGAACACAACCTTTCAATGAAAAATTAAGTTTGTATAAAGTCACTTTATATGTAAATAGACTGTATTATAGTTTTATTTCTTACCCCTTTCTGGTGTGTCTGTTTAAATAGTGAAACTTTTTTACAACCTTGAACTGTTCAAGGTTGTAAAATATCACTTTTAAAAATGTGCTTTTATAGTTGCTGTGTAATGTAATTGTATTTTTGATTTCTGGAAAATTTATATTATATTGACAAAATGATGAGTCAGATGTATAGCTGAGTTTGTGGTGGAAAAAAGGTATACCATGCATGTGGGATAAGGACAGTTTAAAAAGTGCTAAACAAAGTTTAACATTAACCAAAGTGAACCTGGACTCTGGAAACTTTTATTTGTTAAATAAAATTTTTTTATGTAGTTTGGTTGGTGCTACAGCCTTGTTCTCAGTGGCGATGCATGTATGAAATACTATATTTTAGTCAAAAGAATATTTTATGTGTTTAGGTTGAGTGTATATGTATGAGACAGCAGTTAGAAAGGTGCTAAGGATACAGAAAAGACAGACAGCAATAAAGTCAGCACAGTGGAGAAAAAGTCAGCATCTTAGACGGAGAAAGAAACACAGAGAGAGAAACTCAGCATGTCAGAGACTGAGAGTCAGTGAGCTGAATAGCAAGCCAGTTTAACTGAATTATCGTTTAGGGCGTAATAGGAGACATGAGGGCAGCATGCAGGATGGTCTGCTGACAGCAGTCTTGTGATTGAGTGAACCAAGCAAGCTCAGACTATATAAGCTGTTTACCAGTTGATTAATTATGCAACACACAGCCAAAAGCCTGAAAAACTCTCTTAAAATGTTGACTCCTGCTAAGCTCAGACAAACAGTTTTTACAAAGCATTTTCTTTAATTTGACTTGTGTTATTTGATGTATAAGTTTATTATAAGTTTTTTTAATTGGGATGATGTGTTATCTGCTGGAATCAGTGTGCTATGTGACAAGTCTTAAATGTTGTTAAGCATTTATGACTAATCATGCTCTTTGAGGTATGTGTGTGTTTGTTGATAAAGCAGTAGATTTTTGAATGGAATTTGGTTTGCACATTTGTCCTTTTATTCTCAGATGTGCTGTTGACTCACAGATGTTTTGGATCCACTTTCTTAAGGAATTTGCAAATATCCTGCTAAATGAAACCTTAAACCCATTCACTACTGTTAAATAAAAATACTTTATCTCCATAGTACTGCTTTGCATGAGCTAGGAAATACTGCCTGTTTGTAGGCATATAAATGCATTATTTTAACATTTTGTATTGGAAATGTTAGATGAAAACAAGTTTAGTAAAATAAAGAATTTAAAACTTTGAACACAATGAGTAAAAACATACAAAAGATGTAAAATTAACACTCAGATTAGGTGTCAGTCCCTGCCTCCATTCCTCACGGAGGCTGTTTTTTGAGGAAAGTGTAATAGAATAGTTGATAGTTTTACAGAATTTTAATTATAGGGGAGTGGAGGAGACTGTTTAAACGCGCTTGTGTGGTAAACTTGCTGACGCTATATTTGATGGGGATGTTTTTGTGTGCTGGCTGAAGGATCTCACTGGACAGATGGTGTTCTTTAATCCTGTCTGTGCGGTCTGCCTCCCCTCAATCCCTCCATATTTCCCTCTACTATTATATCAACCATTAGTCTCTTTTTCTTCCTGTGTACATGAATACACAGAGACATGTCATCTTTCTTTTCTTCTTTGTCACTGAGTTGCCTCTGTATCTTTGACTAGCTTGCTTGTTGATGAATGAACAACCTTAGCTGCAGTAACTCAGTCTAGACAGTAGAAGGGAATATTGTGCTGCTTTATGAGTAAAAAGGTAATCACACATCCACCAGCCATCTGTTACCTAGGATGTGTTTATGCGTGTTTACATCTTCGCTGTACAAAGCTCCAAATATCAGTTGCCAAATTTCAGTCAAATACTAATGGACTTATTATAAACTCAATTCACAATCATGCTGTTTAAAAGGATACAGAGCTTGTCCTTTCGTGCCTGTTGAGGAAACCTTATCCAACAATCTCACCAGTGTCCAACATCATTTGACCCACATTTTAGGAAAAGCCAGATTATTTTGTCATGTCACAAAGACAAAAACAGACAACAACGATGGCTCAGTAATACAGCATATAGGCCTTAGTCTATGATGTATTTGAACAGAAGGAGAGGAGAAAAACAAGCTGGTGACAAGCTTGAAATTGTTTAACATGCTGGTGAAATGAATCTACTGTGAACCTGATATGGTTAATGCAGCCATTTGTTTAGACCACTGTGGGAGAGGTGAGAAGAATAGCGATTGACAATTAGATTACAGCAGACGGCCCAGAGCAGGGCTGCTGATACAGTATCTGACCTTTCACAAACAATTCGTGAGGATTAAGGGAGGTTTAGGAAATAGTTCTTAATCCTAGAAAACCTCTCAGATATACTCCAATCTGTCATTAATTCAGCGTCTCAATACAGTGAACGAGTTTCAGTGTAGGCTTATATCTGGCAAAAGTAGGGCTTTCATCAGTGGGGCTCAAATGGTTAACTTAATGCAAGAATTGTTCCTATAATGCAGCCAACCAGTTAAAGCTAAATTAAACTGCTCTTTATTACTCTAAGTGACCTGCAAGTTTCCCAGTCATGAAGATATCAAAACCATTAATTAGGTAGTTTTTCTATGAAAAGCCCCCTAACTGTACTATCACCTTAAAAATAGGCTAAAAGCTAGCTATAAAAAGCTATAATTTTATAATTATATGTAGTATTTTATCTAATTCTAAAGTCTAATCCTGGACAATGTTTAGTGTTATGCACTGTCAACTCAATCAGAAAATGTTTTACTAACCAAACCTGAGTGATTTTGTACTTGCAGTTACTTATAGCTACATTCAGCAGTATTGGAAATCAATACAACAGTGGCTGTGGTGATTCAAATGATCGTTGATTGAATCCGGACAGGACGTGTGGGGGATGGGAGGGGGGGGGGGGGGGTGCAGGGATGAAAGGGTGGGAGATTTCCGTCAAATACACCTCAAGTACAGCGGAAGTTGAGCTATTTGGCTTTTAAAAAAATAAAAGCAGGGCGGCGCCCAAAATTCAAACTTTTAAAGTACTAACTACAAATACATGCAAATACTAACTGTTTTGGCTTGACCACTTCATTATATCTGAGTTTTATTACATTAACTATTCAATTTGATATGTTGAGGTGGTGTGTGGTGTAGTTTCCCCAATCCTAAAGAAGACAAGCAGATACAACTGCTCCAATTATTGGTCCCTACGGGTTCCTACCTACTAGAAGGTTTTATTTTGGAATTCTTAACCGGAAATTGTTGCATTCACAGTCACCATCTTTAGATGTGGTTGATCGGCAGAGAACGGCAGAGGGAAAAGGGGAGCGAGGGAATAACGGGAACTGGGTCGGTTTGGAAATAAGCTTAAACAGAGGGAAACGTGGAGGAGCGTGGAAGCTGAGATACTTAAAAGAGGTAAGCAGATATAAGTCCACACCTTTGTTTGTTATTTGCGTGACTTCTGGGAGTGTTGGTGGTAGTTCCCCCGTTAGAAAGATGTGGAACATCCTCAGAAGTATTTGGGAAGGAGCAGTGAACTGCTGGGCGGTGCACTCCTGCAGCCAAACACTCAAGATGTTTTGTTCTGTGTGGCTGAGATTGATATTCATTTTTGCAGCTGGATAACTCAGGACTGCGCAGCTTGTTTTTTGTTACATTTTCAGACTCAATGAAAAGACAAAAAAGTCAACTAAATTTTGAGCATATTGTTCAAAATGTAGTGCACTTTTTTAAAAATATTGTTGTTCCAAGAGGTGGCATTGTTCTCTAAATTTAAGCACCACTGAGTCAGATTTGAGAGCTTACACTTCCAAGTAAGTATTCTTAATTTGCTGTATGTGCTGCCTTGAATAAACAAAATGAATATCAAAGCCCAGCACTTGTTGCATAAGTTCTGAAGCCGATTTAGGAAACATCCTGTGTGGAAGGGAACCAAATCCCTTTCTGCAGCCTCACAGTGAGCGACTGCTGTGAGTTAAAGGGAAGATGATAAAAGGGCAATTGTCCCAAATGTAACCCACTGTAATTATTTGCAGCATATTACAGGGCTATTGAATAATGTTTCTTTATAATCTAACCTTGAACAATACTCCTTTGTCTCCTTTCAACTGTGCTATCTCTGTATGTTATTTCAGCTGCCGTTGCATATTTTACTGGTGATGAATTGTAGTTGTTTGCTCTTACAAACTAACAATCAAGTAATTCACATAAGTGCAACTCTTTAGTGCCATGCTTGATTTTAATCTCCAGTATACCACAGAAAATGTGCACACTGGAGCTCAAAAAAATGTATCCTTTGTTTTGTTTGCTCCATTGTATCTGGCCTTGTTAATGTGTCCATCTCCCTCTGTCTTAGGCTGGGATCATCTGTTTCCGCTCCTTGGCATCTGCAGATGGAGGAGTAGCCAGTGGAGGACTGGAATGAAAGAAGAGTCAGAGAGAGAGGGATGAAGATGCTCTCCACTTTCCACCTGGATCTCCTAGTTCATCCCATTAGCTTTGTTTAGAGTTACAAGACTAGATCTGCTGCTTATTTGTTTTATTAACTCTTGCTTGTCTCTTGGCAGACCAAACTTATTGGCATTTTGGCAAGATTTTAGTATTTCCTACCACTTGAGACGCACAAACACTCAACGACGCACAAATTATGGCAAACATGTGCCCATATGGCAGCTTCACCCACGCCGTGGTACGGGGCATCCCAGAGACTTTTGGGAAAGCGGCGGAAGACGGTCGTGAGAACGGGGAGATCTCAGTGGACATGGCTAAAGCTCAGCGTCAGTTTGGTTGCCTGACAGGAGCCCTGAGGCAGAAAGTGGGCCTGCAGCTGATCGAGATCCCCCCTGACCCTGAGCTGCCAGAGAGCTGGAGAATAGAGGATGTAGCGGTCATCCAGGGAGACACAGCGCTCATCACCAGGCCCTTCAAACAGCAGAGACGCAGTGAGGTAACACAGGGGAGAAGACAATGGCTTTAGTTAAGCCATTTCTCCACCCTAATCCTCTGTTAATGCACTTAATCTACAGGGTCATTTGGAAATCACTTCTTTAAGATAGCATTTAGTAATTTTAAGTTACATTTTTCACATGGTCAAGTTATTGGTCCATTTTGGAAACTCCAATATCTGAGACTTGAGAGTAGACTGCGGTAAACAACCTAATAAATGAGACAACCAAACTCAAACCAACCTTAAAATGATGGCCATTTATTCTTTTATTGTTTGCCCTTTAGGTTTGATTTTGCAAAGCAATGTAATACTTTTTGGCAGCTAGAGGCGTTAGAGGTTCCTTGAATGCATCATCACGGAACTTTTTCAAAACAGCTTCATCATAGGATCCTTACAGAAATCCCAACAAATAAAATTATTCCAGCTAAAATCTGTGAGGGAAATTCTTGTGAGCTAGTCAACTCTTTTTGATGAAGAAGGTTTCAGGAGACTCAGGATGTCTTAAGCAGCAAAATTTATTGAAACTCGGACGAAGAGACAGGCAATAGCAGTACAAAGTGAGAATACAGTGTAGTGCCAAACCAAATGTGAAGATTCCCTCCTGGTCCACAATATTTATTGCTTTGTTGTCTACGATGTGTCCCATACAAGTTAATTTTCTACTGGACTAAATATGTGTGTAAACAAACTTATTGGATGTTATGTAAATTTAATGTCTACCTAGGTAATCACGCTGTCAAATCAAGTCAAATGCAACATTTTCTAAAAGAGAGCAAGTCAGTTTGTATGAAACAAAATAAAGATAATCTTGATCTTGGGTTTCCTAGGATATCACAATTATTTCTGTTAACAATATAGATAGATAGTACAAACAGTAATAACGGTACTATTTTCATCCAGAGAAACCCTGGCCCTGTAAGTCAAACTTTCATACTGAATGTGTTTTGTTGTTTTCACTTATCATATCTCCAGGCGGAGGCAGTGAGGAGGGTGATGTCAGAGCTGAACCTGACTGTGGTGGAGATGGGGGCTGAAGAGGGGGACTCTGGAGGGGCCACACTGGAGGGCAGCGATGTCCTCTTCACGGGGAGGGAGTTCTTTGTTGGCATCTCCTCCCACACCAACCGGAGAGGGGCGGAAGTGCTGGCAGACACTTTCAGGGTAAGATGCATGGAGAGAACGACTTGATCTCTGTGTGAATCGATGAAGTCCTCTTTCAAACAGTTGTGTGCTTGGGGCCTTTTGTCATGAATGCAAGCCTTTGTATGTAATAGAGCAGAGGTTTTCAAAGTGGCAGGTGAGCCTCCCCAGGGGGGATCCAAATAGTTTCAGGGAAGGCAAAAAATATTACATTAGTTATCAAAAAGAGATCACAAAGAGTAGCCTAATGTGTATGATTTGGTTAAAGACAGAGTTCAGAGATTCAGTAGCAGAGTCAAAAACTAATAAATGCCTTATGCATTTGGTGTAGTCTAATGTTATGGGGAGGCCTTTGAAAACCATGAAATAAGCAATAGTTCCATCTTTTTAGCCAGTGCAACAAAGACGGTCTCAGTGCCAAGGTGCTTATCAGAAAACTGACCCAGCTGCCAAAGTGAGCAGGTGGCCATTTGCTGTATTGCATTTGGGAAATTATAGCCTGTAAACAGTGATAAATGAGGTCGTTCCATTGGCCAAATAATGGAGACCACACAGCAGGGGGGCCCTCTGGCTCGCACGACCCACCAATTAGTATTGATTCCTTCACTTCTCTTAAGTGCATTTTACACACTTCTGCTTTTCTTAACACACACACACACACACTTTGCATCTGCTTGTGTTGAATGTGTATGTATGTATCTCTGGTTTGAATTAGTGTGGGTGGGAGGGTTCTTGTGGTCAGAATGGGGGATGTAAGAGGAAGACCAGCAGACCATTACCTCAGACATCCTCTGCTTTTTGTTTCAGAATTGTTACACCAGCATTTTCAAGCTTTTCAGTTCATTCAATACAAAATTGTACATATTTATAGCCAGATATTTGTCATTGTAACACGGAGGCCAAGTTGCTTGTGCTTCCTATATATTTTGCAGCTAAGAGAGATTATTTTAGTTATAGTGCATGTTTATGTATTTCAGAAATATCTCAACAGGTATTTGATGTATTGCCATGATGTTTGATACAGACACCCATGGCACCCAGAGGATGAATGCTGCTGACTTTTCCTCTAGTGCCACCATGAGGTTCACATTTGTTTGTTTTGATTGAAATGTTTAAACAACTATTGGATAGATTGCTATGAAATTTAGAACATGCATTTTAAATTTCAAAATTTTAATGTGTCCAATACCTTCAAAATCGAATGACATTCCCCTCAGCCTTAGCTGCATTCTGTGTTTAGTGCTAATTAATGTTGGTGTGGTAAACATTATACCTGCTGCTGAATGTTAGCATGCTGACATTAGCATTTAGCTCAAAGCGCAACTGTAGTACAGCTTCACAGAGCATGGCTGTAGACTTTACTAGTTGTAAATTATTTATCTGACAATACTGATATTTGTCTGTTTCAAGTAAAAACAATAAAGGCAACACAATATTTTTTAAAAACACACAGAAGCGTAATTTCCAGTGACTGCAAAACATTATTTTGTCCTGATTAGGATTTCACGTCTATGTTTGTAAGCTGTCTGGTACACAATCATCCTATACTGTGGTAGCCACACATTATATTACACTATAATAGTGTGCATAATATAATATATAATAGTGTTATTTTGTATGTTTTAACAGCAGATCTGTATGTAACTACGACAGATTTCCTTTGGGACAAAAATATCTTATAATAACCTGTTAAAAAGAATATATCATATTGAAAACATCCCCACTGTTTAAATGGGTTGTGTGTCTATCCAATGCGATTTTTGACCAAATGTAAAATCCTCAGCTACAAAGCAATTACTTTGAGACCATGGGACAAAAACTCTTACATTTTAAACACTAATAATACCTATTAACCTACTTTCAGATGGGTCTAGTTACATAATTGCAGGTTTTACAGACTAACATCACAAAGGAATAACTTACTTGGTCTTATTGGTCAAAGAGGAACTTATGATGGCAAAAATGTGATCAAAACACCTTGTATAACCAATGTATCTTATGTCTTTCTTTAAACCTATGTAGTAAATGTCAATTCATGAATTACTGCAACTGCATTAATCCCTACTGAATACAGACCAAGAGGTGGCAACTGCATGACTGCCTCTGGTCATTCACAAGAAACGCCAGAATCACACAGCAGGCTGCTTTGTGTCGAGGTACATGTGGTGAAGGTTTTACACTTGAATAGAACAGAGCCGTTGTTAATGTTATTGTCAACACACAGAAGAAAGCCTGTCAGGTGACTAATGCAAAACTAGATGAAGGAACACGACTCGTTTGAAGGGACAGTGTGTTCATTAAACCTTTCCACCTCTGTCTTTTCAGGACTTTGCTGTGTCCACTGTCCCTGTTTGTGGCGGAGCCCGACTGAAAAACATCTGCTCCATGGGGGGTCCAGACACGATCGTCATCAGCAACAGCAACGGGGCCAAGAAGACACTCCGGGTAAGTTTCTGTATTTGTAGTAAATGTTTGGGTATGTGTATGTGGTTTTAATGCATATAAAATAATATATATTTTCTTTAAAGGAATACTTTGTGATAGCGCTCATGATTAAGGTGATTTCCCAAAATGCCAAACTTTTCCTTTTAACTTTAAACTAATGTAGTCCGTCTCAATGCAGATGTTTCCATTTTTGCTTTATTCACCAACACTAGACGCTAGATGTTCCTTAATCGAGTATTAGAAACCACATTTTCCCTCTGTGGGAATGTGTCAGTGATTCCCTTTCTATCTGTCTTAATGTGAACTGCTCATATATTCCTAACTGCTGAGGTCATATTAATAATGGCACTAATTTTGCATTTGAGTCTGTGTGTAATGCTGGGAGTGGTCATTTGTGCAGTCAGGGTGGTGCACAGTAATATTAAGCATGTGTTTGTCTCCAGATGATGGAACAGCTTACTGATCACCACTATGAAGTGCTCACTGTTCCAGAGGAATCAGCAGCAAACTGTGTCTACATCAAAGGCCCGTCTAATCGGGACTTCCTGCTCCACCGGCCTGCAGAGGAATGTCCTGACAGCGTCTCTGTGAGTCCAGCAGAGGTTCATGTTGGGTTTTTTTTGGGGGATGCAGGCTTCAGTTTCTACAAAAAGAGCCTTATCTTTATTAAAGTAAAGGATTAGGCAGCATCATTTTGTTTTATTTTGTCTTAGCTTAAGCTTAAGAAACACTTTTTATTAGACCCCATACTGTTTGATCTACTGTGCCTCAGCTGCTGGAAGTTGTAGCCTTGTTGCATTCAGAAACACAGAAGGTCCTTTTCCTTATAAAAATTTATTTTGGACATTTATCAACTTTATCACTCATCAGTACAAACAGAGAGACACTGATAACAATGTAAAAGAAAATTTGTAGATTTTGTTTCCTATGCTGTAGGTCTCCCTCAGCTGAGATCGTAACAGAAACGTTGTATTACGTGTGACAGTACAAAATTTGTGGTATTAAATATGCTGACTTAGTTGCTTTTGTGGTTCCAAAAGCTTGAACATCTTTTGAAGCCATTCTCTCACTCACAGCAACGAGAATAATAGAGAGCTGAATGTGACTTTTGACAAGATGCAGAAAGCCGAACGTCAGAGCCTGTCAGAGTGACTGTTAGTTATTATAGCATTATATTATTATTGGTCATTCATTAATGTAAAAGCAGTATTTTACTGTTGTAGTTGGTTTAAGTGGAAATCAATTGTAACTATTTATTTTGCAACTAATTATTTTCTTGTGGATTATTCTCTTAAGTAATTAGTTTGATTGATTGTTTGGTAAAAAAAAATTGAGCAAACAGTGACACTTTCACAACATTCGTTTGTTAAACCAACAGTCCAAACCTGACAAATAATTATAAAATTAGTCAGTCCTCACATTCGGGGAGCTGGAATAATTATCAAAATATTGCATTTGTTTTCAATCAATCAATTAACCAATCGTTTCAGCTATACTTACAGTATACTTACATATATATTAGATACAGTAGTTAAATGTATAACAAAGCATCATATTCTATAAACTCTTTAGACATTTTTAGGAAAAGCTTGATCTGTAAAGTAACTTGTCACTAAAGCTGTGAAATAATTGTAGTGCAGTAAAAAGTTCAATATTTATCTAAATCTAAATTATAGCGTAGAACTTGGAAGTAGCATGAGAAGGAAATGCTCAGGAAAGGTAGTTAAGTCCCTCAAAATTGTACTTACGTACAGAACTTGAGTAAATATACAAAGATCCAGTTCACTGCTGCAAGCACAATATAGGTTGTTATGTAATTAAGTGCGTAGATGTTAATCTCTGATTATTTTAAGCAATGGGAAGGTGATGGCCCAAAACTGGAGATGAGATGATTCTTGTGATGCTTTTAAAAAATCTAGAAGTGTTAGTTACATGTTAGTTTCTGACTAATATTTTACATTTTAGATGCCAGAGAAAATCGAGAATATTTCGTCTAAATGAACTCAAGTCATGAAGTGATTTTACAAAAGCCACTGGAAAGATTTAAGTCATTCTGCTGTATGTCATTCTCGAAGCCGTTTTTCCTCCCGTTTCTCCTTTTATTAGGCAGTAATGTCTCCCTTTTGGGTGTATCCAGTACAGTCTGTGCCCGTGATGAGTAAGATGTTTCCTCTGTCCTCTCTGTAGGCCTTCCAGAAGCTCCAGGACTACACCCTCCTGCCGACAGCCTGCAGCGAGGCCTCCAAGCTGGGAGCGTCTCTGTCTTCTCTTTGCCTCCTCATCAACAGAAAGCACACGTATTTCTGAAAAAACACTTCCAAACACCAGCACGTCACACAGCGTTTACCTGGACATGTTCATGGTGGCCACATCACAGATTTCCAGTTTAAAGTTCTTGTCTATTTATTGCTGGGGGGGAAACACTGACACAGCATCCATATGAGACTATGATCCAAATGCAACTTCTGCAAACAGGCATACTGTAGAATACAAGCTGATTCTTGGCACCGCTGCCCCCCCCGCTAATCCGAAAGTGCAGCATGCTGTCCTTCTCACAAAACTCTAATGTAACTAACCACTAAATTCAGCTGTAACTGTTTTGATTTGTTACAATAACTTAACCGTTTCTACAGACAACCGCTGAGCTGACAAATGTCAAAAGAAAAGGGTACAGGGAACAGACAATGGTACAAGTGTTTCTGTACGTTTAAATCCTTTTTAAATATCACAGAATGAATACAATCAGATTAGCTAATGTATGAGAGAAAACCACTAAGGCATATGGCCTAGAATTAGTTTTTCCATTACTTCCCGCAGTCCTAACAGATTTGTGACCTGAATTGATCATACATCATGAAATTAATAAAACCAGTTTAGTGATTCATAAAATTGACACCGTTTATAGCAGGCAAGACTTAAGACTTTTTGTTTTTGTTTTTAAATAAAGAAACTGAATTCAGTGCTTTGACACTGTGTGGTACCCAAATTCAAGTCTGCGGATTTGTGAGTGTTAGAGCCTTTATTTCCATTAGATATGTGGTACCTCTTCAAACATTAACTTTTACTGACCGGTAGAGATGCAGAATTTTTTAATTGTTTTAGCTTTCTTGTGTATAAGTTTGTAGTAAGTACAAAGCCAATAAAGTTCAACTGACAACTTAAGAGTAGTTGTCCTGCTTGTGTGTAATTTATGTGCCCGTTCACTGCCCAAGAATCTAAATCAGTGTGTTAGACATAGAATAAAAGAACTTGCAACATCAGAAATTTCTTCAAATTTATTTGTTTTGTTAGAAAGCAAACATGTTTAACGGTTGGACTTGGCAACTCTCTCCAACTCGTCCTTCTTCTTGATGGCGTAAGAGTTAGATGAACCCTGAAAAGGAGGATAAATGCAGTTTAACATACCTTAATACATTTTACTGCAAATTAAAAGTATAAGGAACAGAGTTAATTACAGTTATGTCTTAGCTCTGACCACTAACAAGGTCAGTAAATGCGCATCAGAAAGGTGCAATATGAAGGGTATTTACAGTTATTTGTGCAGTAGGTAGCACATAACTTAAAAGGGTAAGGCATAGGCTACACTGCACTTTGAATCACAATAGTAATGCTATAAGTGGATAAACTTACCTTGGCTGCATTAATCAGCTCATCAGCCAGGCACTCAGCGATGGTCTTTATGTTCCTGAAAGCAGCTTCTCTTGCTCCTGTGCACAGCAGCCAGATGGCCTAGAAGACGAGAGAGAGCAGAACATGAGCGTGAGAGTCAGGCTGATAAATTAACTTTGGTGGAACAAACACCGGCCGGTGGTTTAGTGTGTCTGAGTTGGTGATTGGCTGGGTCACGACAGACTACAGCCAATGAATAAGCAAAGACATTTTCCTCTGCGAGCACTCTAGCACACCAGGACAATGGGTAGTATCAGGGCGTGACTCTAGCCTCACTTAATGCATCAAATAATATCAAGACAAAGAATGGCTGTACATACAAATATTCAGCCTTTGATAGGTTAAAAAAAAAATCATCTGGCTAAAGGAGGAGTTTTTCCTCTCATTCACAATGGCCACAATTTAGAACTGATATGAAGTTACGTGAAAGCACAACACCATCTTTTTTTGTCTGGTCTGGGATAAGAAGATTTTGTCCTAAGCAAAGATTACCCCAGCCACAAAGACAACGGTTTTTAATGTGGTTACCTGGTTGACTCTGCGGAGGGGTGACACGTCCACAGCCTGCCTCCTGACGGTACCAGCGCGACCGATACGGGTGGAGTCCTCACGGGGTCCACTGTTGATGATGGCGTTGACCAAGACCTGCAGGGGATTCTGGGAACAAAAAAATCAAAATGGTAGTAAGAAACTTCTATGAATGCACAAAATGTGGTAACGTGGCAAGAAGAAAAAAAGAAAAAAGAAGTATCCATGACACCAGAGACTTACTGACACCTGACTCAGAAGTGCTGGTATCTGCTCAGTGTTGTGCCAACAGTCATGCTATGGGCTCTACTGGGCCCCGTTCCAAACAGTGGTCACAGTTCACATTATAGATGTAAATGCAAACTGTCTGATTTTCTTTTTACTTAGAGATGTGGGAATTTAACCTTTTAGCCAAAAATTCAAGTGAAATGGATAATTCAATAATATTCACTTCTTTAGTTACTTTGATGTGCCTCTGGCATAATTAACAGCTCATTTGAATTTCTCTTCAAATTCAATTTGTGGAAGCATAATTCTCTCAACCAGAAGTGCACCACATTCACTGTAATCTGCTGTGACGAGTCTTTAGAGCAGGAAAACTACTAATACTGGATTAAATGAATACAGATCTCCTTTTATAAATTCTGGGGTGGGGGGCTAAGTATAAATAGGCAAAACACAAATACAACCCAAAAGCTCATGTCTTACAATGAAAACCTTTCCGATAGTATCAGTTGAAGACCGTTAATCCAGTATCACAGTTCACCCTTGGATGTAGTTTATAGTTTGACTGCTGCCTTCCAAATTTAAGCCTTGATCAGATGGCGGCGTCCTAATCGCTCTACACGTGCAAACAAGACTAACAATTGTTGCGGAAGTTGAGAGCTACATACCTCTCCAGTCAGCAGGTGGATGATCTCGAAGGCGTGCTTGACGATGCGCACGGTCATTAGCTTCTTGCCGTTGTTGCGGCCGTGCATCATCATTGAGTTGGTCAGACGCTCCACGATGGGGCACTGGGCCTTACGGAAACGCTTGGCGGCATAACGTCCTCCAGAGTGTGGCAGGTACTTGGCGTACTTCTCTTTCACAGCAATGTAATCCTGTAGTGTACAGGAGGCGATTTAGCGCACACAGTTTACACAGATTTGAACACAGCATTGTTATGGACATTATGTATGAGGTGGTAGTGTGTCTGAGTTGGTGATTGACTGGGCCACAGCAGACTACAGCCAATGAATAAGCAAAGACATTTTCCTCTGCGAGCACTCTAGCACACTAGGACAACAGGTCAGTGTCCAAGCGTGACTCTAGCCTCGCTTTACATTGATAAAGATAACTATAAAACGGTTGACACAAACAGCAACAGCCTCTTGCCACTTACCTGCAGGGAGATGTCATTGATCTGGACATCATCAGTGCTCCACTTGCCAAAGAGCTTGATCTCAGGGGTCTCAGCCACAGCTGGGGCAGTCTCCCACTCAGTCACTGAGAATTAAAGAGACAGGCGGTCAAATCAAGCCAAAGAAACGCAAAGTTAAGAAGTTTCCTCCAAACATTACACTTTTCTAAGATAGGGTTGGAAATTATGAAAATCTCTTTCACGTCACATCAGGTAGTCTAATAATATGAGGCACTGATTGGTAAGTTGTCTGGTTGATAGTGATCACACAAAGCAAACTGGATCGTCATTATCACATGTTCTGGGTACGCTTAAATGTAAACATACAGTTGATCTTCCAATATCAAGCAATATGATATATCGCATCAGTCCCCTATAAAAAAAAAACTTATATTGCTGGAGATCAATATCTTGGCTACACAGCCCAGAGCTATCCGTTTGCAGGCTAACCCAACGTTACATACAAAACGTGGTACAGAGAAAGAGCTACATAGTTTATTCTTGGCCCAAATCACTGTAATATAACTGAAAGTGGGGTAGGCTGAAAGGTTAAAAACACCGCCATACTTTGAAACAGGGCCCAAGATGAAGCCTGCTTTTCCGCAGTTAACGTAACGGTAGCTAAGTAAAGCGATGTCAGATGACAAGCTAGCGATCGTCTTCAAATTGCGATTTTTTACATTAATAAAGACTACTGGTATTTCAAACTGTAGTAAAACGTGGCATGAGCAAGTATACGATTGTAACATTTAAGGAAATAGAGTAGGGAGTGTGAGATCTATCGCGGTAGCTGATCAACACGCCGCATCCACATGTGCTAGCACGCTAGCCACATGCTAATGCTCAGCACCGTTGTGCTCGCAGGTTAACACTTTGTGGAAATAAAACAACATTACCCATAATTGAAATGTTTGGCTCTTATTTATGGGACAACTGGAATCATTATCGCTTCTATTTATCAGAGAATAATCTTTTTCAAGCGGTAAGAAGCGAGTAAAATGTGAATTTTTCACTCACTTGTGTCTGCCGTTCTGTACCACACTTCTCTGAGACGGAAAAGGGCCTTTTCGGGGCGCCGCGTCCTGATATCCGGTGAGCTCCTTGGGTCCTTCCGGTGCGCAAGGCATGTAGGGAATAGTAGTTTTTTAAAACTGGCTCTGACGCTCTGGGCACTGGCCATCATTTTTTAAAATAAAAGTTTCCAAGTGTACTTAGACTCTAGAAGCGGATCAGAAGTTTATATTATATTTACTATGCTTCAAAGAAATAAATCATTTATTGATATATATATATTTGCAAAAATCACAGATGATATTTTGAAATCCAAGGAAGGTTAAAATCAAGCGCAACTGGTCTTGGTTGAAGATACTTGAAGACGTATCACCTCTGAAAAAGCCTCTTGTATTGTTTAAAATTTTACGATACTAGAATCAAAAGATACCGATACCAACAGAGTACCTCATTTGATACCTTGCTATTTTTTATTGTTGGTATGGACAAGCAAGGAGATCTATTTCTTTTTTCAAAAGCCTGTTATATAAAAATATTGGGAAATTGTATCAGATCGTGCCTCAACCTCATTAGGTCATCCTCAGAGGAAGGACGACAGCTTGGGAGTTTTTTTGTAGCCTATTTGAATGAGAGAGGAGGAGTGAAAAGGTTTAGTGACCACATCAGTTGTGGAAATAGCAATTAAAAATGTACAGAGAAGTGTTAAATGATACCAGAAGATGTCTATGAAGATTCTCAGTCATCCAGGTCATAGTTATCCAACGAAGGTTAAAATCAAGGGCAACTGGACTTCAACTGAAGAAGTCCTTTGGATGAGGGACGAAACGTCTTCCAGTATCTTCAACCAAGTCCAGTTGCCCTTGATTTTAACCTTCATTGGATACCAGAAGATGAAACCAACGGAAAGCCAAGCTTGTGGTGATAGACTTGCAACAGTGACGAACATGCCTGAGACCGCAGCCGAAAGTGAAGGGGCTGTTAAAATCTCGCATGGACAAGCGGGTGCAGGCACAAAAGGGAAAAAAGAGCAGCGCACTTCTCCTTCTTTCAGTGTGTTGCTTGCGTGTTTGGCTTCAAGCAAAACCATACAAATAATACTTTTTACTGTTTACAAAGTATCGAATGAAGTACTGGTTTGACTGGAGACAATACTACTCAATACTAGGCTTAAAGGTATCGACCCATCACTATTCTTGACTGACTGGTAGGGTTTCAAGGACAACAAAACTTAGAATTGATGTACTTATATTTACTGTACTGTAATGTACTTATATTTAGAGAGACCAATGCTAAACAGAGAAGAAGAGCTAAGACACCATTTACAATGCTGTCGTTTCTTCCCCTACCACAAGTGAACAAATTAGTAGTTTTATATGAGGCATATTTTAACAAGGAATGTAATTTAACTATTCAGAACTATAACAAACTGCCTCTTTGATAAATCTTGTTATTTATAGCCATATGCTCACTCATATTGGTGATAAATGAGTAGCCATTAATTTTTTGAGGTGTCATGTGTTTCCTGAACTGAATGGACAAAAAAAATGTTGTTGTAATAAATTATGACAAAAAGAGACATTCATAACTACCTTTTATTGAAGAACAATTGACAACACTTTACACATTTTTATTTGCAGACCAAATACTGTAGAAATTGTAGGACAGGTTCAAAATAGTAGCTTCTGTTTGAGTTTTTAAAAAAAGTGTCCAAATCTACAATTTCTGTTTGTAAAGCCACGAAAACTGAACAGAGAGGACATCCCTTAAACCCATATTGTATGCAATGACTTTCTACAAGCATACATAAAACAAAAGAATGCAACATAAGTATACTGCAAATGTAACAACTTTACAAGTTAAGTTAAAATATTCCCAGATTCATCATTTCCCTTCTTTTTATCTGGCAAAATATTGTGCAATGCATACTTTAAAAATAGTCATTTACTTCTTGTTTTTATCGCACAATAGATATTTCCATTCTTCATCTTTTAAGGAACACCTAAAAGTACAACAGGCAGCCTTAAACATCCAACAAAATGCAAATTATTAAAGAAGAGAATCCCCTTTCTGCTAGAGACAAACGAGAAGGTTGCTAAAACGCCTGAGATATCTAAACACGATGGGAGGTAAAGACTGCCACGTACAATAGCCTGGTGGACAAGTAAATACTAATATAGCACTGCCACTCTCTGGCCAGTCTCCACCCCTCTCTATCGTTTGTTTTAGCACCATCACTAAAGGCAGTGTGTCTTAGCACTTTGGTATGAAACATGAAACGCTGAGGCATGTGGGCAATATTTAAGGCGCAATCTACTAAAGTTCGAAAGCACTGCATGATGACGACGATAAGCATGATTCATGATCACACTACAAAAAACAAGATCCCACCAGGTTTAAAAATGGAAGGATAACAAGACATAAATTCATATATCATAAGATGAGCAGGGCAGTGAGTCTGTACATGTAGACAAGATGACAGAACATCGCTCAGGCACTATTGTGTTGTGTGGGTTTTTGAGGTATGTGTGACCAAACACACACAGATGCACACATTAATATACACTCTATGTAAGTAAAAGTAATAAACTAAAGCTTTCATACAAATTAACAAGGGGCACTCCACCATTTTTTACACCGTAAGAGCAGACATGAGGGAAATGGAGATGCAATTCTAAATAGCTGGAATGCCCCTTTAATGTGTGACTAGCTTCACCGTTGCAAAAGTTATTTATATTTGTTGCTACTGACCATTTGTGCCTTATATTTTAGGGTATAGAAAATACCTTCAGCACACACACAGGGATGTGCTGAATTTGTCTGACAACAGCAGCACGGTTTAAAATAAATATTTAAAGGAATAATTTAACATTTTGACATGTACTCTTTTTCCCTTTCTTTCCGAGAGTTGGAAAAGAAAATCAATACCACTTTTGTGTCCATATGATAAATAGGAACAGTCACCAGCCAGTTAGCTTAGCATAGAATAAAGAAAACAGGAGAAACAGCTAGCCTGACTCTGTCCAAAGTTTAAAAAAAATCAAGCACCTTTAAAGCCCACTGATTTACACATCAGGCTATACCCTATAAAACTGGAGTGTAAAGATAACACTTTGCGGTTTTACAGTGTTTTATTTGTCAGGGAGCAGTAGCTTCCGGGAGTTTCCACTGTTTGCCCTGTAACTTCAAAGTAACAACAAGACTCCAAGAAGCAACTGCACCAGTCCAAGAAATAGTCTGGCACATAATGTCTCATAAAATCAAATAAATGTTTTTTAAAAGATTTTTGTGCAGTTTAAATAAACATATCATGTGTTATTTATAGCATTTAAGAGGTGCTGGTAGGTGGATTTTGTTAGCTTTGGTCAGAGCTACTGTTTCCATCAGTCTTTATGCTAAGTTAACCAGCTGCTGGATATAGCTTCTGTCATATAGAAATCAAATAAGTGCATTTCCCTAAATGTCAAACTATTCTTTTTAAAGTAATTAAGTAGTTAATAGGATGAGCATAAAAAACTAAATGTATCTACAGAAAAACAAACCTTACCAACAAAATGTCCAAGGAAAAACAAACACTGGCAATTCAATCCCAAAGCTGAGATTTTATCCTTCCGAGTACACTCACAAATGTTTGTGAGGATGCTTTACAGTGGTTTGTAAAAGCAGAGTTTCATACATGGCCGTACAAGAGTTTTTCTCTACACGAGCCACTTCTCCATGCACGTGTGAAACACGGTCTCATTTGAGTGCCAAAAGACGTGTTCGACACCGGGAACCGAACAGATGATCAGATCTCCACGAGCTGCCAGCGTCTTCAGGCCGAAAACATCTCTTAAATAAAACTGAAACAGGAAAAGAAGAATATGATTTAGGGAGTGTTCTTCTAAATTCATTTTACATTTTAAAACTGGTATATCATCCTAAGGCAGCACATAACTGAAGAATATGAACTGAAGAAACATCAGATATATGTAAGTGTTCCAGCTCCAGCAAAGATCTTAAACTGATAATCTTTATTTTGTATGCTTCATTTATTTGAAAAAATTCAAAACAGGCTACAATGATGCTCAGCGCAAATTATTCCTCATGTATAGGGAAAGATAATCTGTTGATGTTTGGTACAAACCTAAATATATTGTAGAACTTTATGTAATGCAGAACTTAACCAAAAAGCCAAATATCACAGTTACATTCAGTTACGTTACCGTTACAAATATAAACGTGCAGGTATAAAGCTCTCGCGGAAGAGAAAAGACATATATTGTTACATGATTTAGGTGAGATTAAAGATAAAGTCAATTTCATGTTTTATTGTTCTTTAAATGATGATTGATAAAGATGCCACTTCTCAGTAAATCTGTTCATTTCTCATTACTTCTTCTGGTTGGACAATTATAAAAAACCTGAGTTGTGTTTGAGGAAGTTATTTTTAAAAGAAGTGGGACGGAAAATGAAGTTCTTTGTATTCAACATAAAATTGACGTCTAAGAAGTTCTGTGGTTGTCTGATAAATCCACTGCAATGGTATCTTTGGTATCTTAGAAGTCCAAGTGTGCATGACACAATAAATAACTACCTATAGATGAAAATAATCCAAAATAATATCAAAGTATTTGTAATGATCACAAAGGGCGTTGAAATAAATCAAAACCAGTGTTGTATATGTGTGTCTGTTGTATGATTTTCACTCACATCTTGGTGCTGCATCTCAACGACGGTCTCATTGTTGTCATAAAATCCAAACTGACTAAAAATCATGAGAGAGACACCGGGATTTGATGTGTGAGAATCACATGTAAGTCATCTGATCATGCTAAAAAAGCAGATGTTGCAAAGCCAAGTAATGCGTGAACAAAGCATAGAAATTATTACATGACATTGGTAAAAAAACGGACTTTGAAGAAGCCACATTAAAGCCGTAAAAAATGGAAAACTGGTGCTACCTTGTAGTTTAATCAGTGTATGAATCAAAGTAAATTGGTAAAAGGAATCCCTTAGCTGTAGCAGAGAAATTACTTGCAATCTCAAGTATTTTGGCTTTCTTCAGGGGTACATGCATAATATTCAATGAAATGAATCAACTCCGGTCTTTTAGAGGTATTTTAGCAGTCAGTTCTATGCAATTGTGGGTCCAGTGTACATGACAGACAAATAGGAATGCATTTGACGACACCCCGACTTTGACTATCAAAGTGCAAAAATGTCCCAATTTTAACCCTGTGCTGACTAAACACATGCAATGTGTCAGTTTACCATATAATCGTTTTGTCTATAGCAAAGATTATTACATTAAATCATATGTCAAATTAAAAGAGCATGAGCACGAAAATATTTTTTTTTAATTTAAAAAAACCGAGGATGAACTCACCTTGACTGCCAGGGAGTGATGACTCCATCGTCTGGTCCTCCGATTAAGACCAGTTTTTTGATTCTGAGGAAGTTCTTCCTCCACTCTGAGATTGAGACATAAAACACACAGTGGCCACTTTATATGGTACATCTGTTCAACCTCTTGCAATCCAGTAAAACAACTCACTACCTTTACCTGATATATTGTGTCACTGAGGAAGACGACATCTTGTTCACTGCAAATAGCTTCTTTGTATTTGTGCAATGTGCATCTTTATTTATACCATACTAGATTAAATAAAAACAAAATGCATATTCTAGAAAATAACTTTTCCTATTATTCAGCACTCTCCAAGGGACCAGCTGAAGGACCTTGTTATGATGAGTTATTGAGTTATTAGGCACAAAAACCTTCTTCTACTAAATGATATTTCTTTTTACGAGTCACAAAGTCAAAATCTGTCACTGCTGAATCATAAAGACAAACACCCACCTACTGATAGTTACATATAAAAACTTGAAGGAATGTGCTTACCTGTTGAATTTGGATTGTGTCTCTCACTGTTGAGCAGAGCCAAATAATCACTACTGTTCACATAGATGTCTCTGTGGTGGGGGTCTGGAGAGGGAGGAAGAGGACAGCACACACTTTCTTATAGTATATCTCTTTGAATCTGACAACAACACAATCAGTATCTAATTCTGAGGTTTGAAAAGCTCAGGAATTACTAAATTGTATGCCTTCACACACCTTCTGTGTGTCAACTATATGAGAAAGTTATTCCTGGCGTCTCACCGTTCCAGTAGTTGCAGATGGATATCCTCTGACCCATTGCAGTGTAGCAGAGGTGGTAGAGGTTGGACTTCACAAACTGTGGGAAGAGGAACTTCAAGTAGTCTGTGTCTGAGAGAAAACAAAAGAAAAAGAGCAGGATGTAAATGAAGCATTGTGCTGCTACAGAGATGCCCTGGCCTTTGATCATATTCTCAAGATGTCAGGGATCACAGTTGTTTGGTACAGACCCCATCAAAAATCTCATCATCATCATTTAGATTTTTTTTCCTATAACCACTAAAACATTTACTTATATCACAATATCTGTCAAAATAATCGTAATATGATTTTTTCTTTTTGCATGTCGTTCACACTGTTTTCACAGTTTTGTTAGAAAAAACATTGTTTACAAGTGATTTAAACCCACCTCCATATTGTCCGGCTTGAGGCGAGGACAGAGAGATGAAAGACTGGACGTTGTGGTCAGACAGAGTGGAGAGGATTCCTCTGCAAATAAGTCCACCTGTAAAGTCAACAAAACAAATTTTTCATCAGTCTTTTTACCTGCTTAACTTCATCTTGGATAGAATGGTGATCACTCGCTTTGTCTATGCTGCTGTTGAAGGTTTAGAAAATATTGGCTTGTTTACCAGGAAAAATGCAACTTAATGATGTTTTATTCAGAATTTAAAGAGAATTTGTTTCTTAACCCACACATTCAGTTATTATCTTCAGGGCTTCAATCTGCTTATTTTCTTGATTAAACTTAAATGTTTGGTTGATACGATGTCAGGGAGTAGTGAAAACCATCCGTTATAGTCTCTGCAAGTCAAATGTGACATTTTTAAATTTCTTGTTTTGTTCGACCAACATTCAAAAAACCTGATGATATTTATCTTTCACGTAAGACAAATAAAAGCAAACATCCTCGCCATTTAGAAGCTGGAATCAGGAAACATTTGCCATTTTTGCTTGAAAAACACTGTAAATCATTGCTTATCAAACTAGTTGCCAATTAATTTTCTTTTGATCAGCTAATCAACTAGTTGTTTCAGCTCTAATTAGATTAATCACATTGATGTTCCTAAAAATACATTTCAGTTTGATTTTCAGAATAGTGTCACATTTAATCTAAAGGAATAATAAAAACTAATAAACAATAATATAAACATGTGAAAATAATTGGAAATTAATTTGATTTATTGATTAAGTTCCCCACAGAAATACTAATGTTTTGTGGTAACAGGTTGAGTGAATAATTTAGCGGTTTGAATTACAAGCTGCTGGCTAGGAATTTCCAAATGCTGACGGAAGCACCAAGAGTCATAAAAAATATATCCACAGAATAAAACAACAAGCAGATAGGCCTGTAAAGCCCTATCTTTTGAATTTAGGAGTGAAAAATGTACAATTTAAAGAATACAGTGTCATTTTGAGGTCATCTTTTGCAAGAATGGCATTGTAACTAAAGACACATTCCAAGACTCTTTCATAATCTTAAGCAAATACCACATTTATGTCACTATTTCATATTGCACCAATGCACTCACAGACCTTGAGAGTAGCAGATAAAGTTGACCCCGTCTGCTGCATTTTGCATTATTGGGTAAATAGCTTCCTTGAATCCCTCTACTTGCTTCCACATGGGCTGCAGGCTGGCACTTCTGTCGAACAAGTCGATAACCGTCACATTTGTTCCAGGATGGGACTGCAGGAATTAGAAGAAGATGGTTTCACTTAATAAACATGGTGTACTGAGCTTACAGGGTGGGACTGTGTACAAGTAATTCCTCTAATTGTTGCATGAAGTGTTAAACAGCTACAAGAAACAACACATTATCATCAGCATTAAAAGTAACAGCAGAGTTAGACAGCAAGGCAAACCAAACCTCCTGTGTTACCAAAGGTCTATGGGGATGTTTGGCTACTAATTGTTCAGGATATGCTTTAAATATTGATGATTTATTTAGATGTTTGGTAAGAAGGCAGGAGCACAGACTAACTGAAGCAGAGAGAGTGCGGCCTGAATTTCCGCTTTCGATTTACTTTCGTCCTCCAGAAATATAGCCTGCTTTCAGTCTTCAGCTTTCTAATACAGCAGAGGTAAAAGAAAGAGGAACCTGATCTTGGTCTAACCTCATCAGCTGTTGCTGGAGTACCCACAAAAAAAAAACTTCCCTTTACCAACATCTCCACACTGTCAACTTGACCAGGTTTAATCTCATATTGTGTGTCTGTTTCAAAGGGCGTGTAAGGGCTTTGGATAGCTCAAAAAGAAAAACAGGACAGGAGATTTTCAACTCTTCATTGTGATCTTCAGGTACTGACAACTCCTGTGCACAGGTCACAGTTCTCACAGATTTAATGTAACAAAAAGTCCAGATTGGCTTGAGATAGTTTGGCATGTTGGATATACAAATGGTCAAGAACATTAATAGATTCAGTGCAAACTACAGGTTATAATAAACAAAAGTAACACATTTACAACTCTATAACACATCTGTATGTGTATGAACCTACTTTATTTAGTACTAATCACTCACTCTCATGTGGTGTTGCTGCTGCAAACCAATTGTATTTGCATTACAAGACAATCTTCAAACTAACTATACATACAGAGTACATGTTGCATAGGGCAGGTCCACGTTTAGCAGAGAACATGAAGTTATACAAGCTGTAAGGCCTGCAGTATACTGTATAGGTCAACTCCTGAATAATGCAATGTTTATATACCATACAAATCAATAAAACAACAACACTGAACAGTTCTTCTTTATCCCGACCACTCACCTCGTTAATGAACCCAAGTAGGTTTTTAAAATCCGCTGAGCTGTCGAACAAACCGTGCACTATGATCACCGGCTTGTACCCGACTACCGCAGCCCAGAGGCACGCACCTAGCAGCGGATACAGCAGCCCGGCCGCCCCGCTGCTCCACCTCCTCCTCCTCGGTCTTGACACCGCACAGCCCTTCATTATAACTTTTTTTTTAAAAAAACACACAATATAAAACCTTAACTTACAGGTTTGTTAAATAAAAGAGCTACTTGTAAAATAAAATTTAAAAATTTTTATCCTGATGTTTTGGCTAATGTGCTATTCGTGTCCATTTCTTTTTCCAAGCCGCGGAACAAAAGGGCTGAAGTCCGCTCGCCAGTGTCCCTTAAATGATCCTGTTTTGCGCAAAAACTGTGTGTTTATTGTTTTATAACACTTCCACGAGAACACAGCTGAGCTTTCCTTTGGTTTATTTTGTTTGTTCCGGTTTTAAATTACAAGCAATGCGGCCGCTGCTGATGTCATTTCCGTTTTCAGATTCTCGTCTAATCAGCACGGACACATGATTACCGCGCTCATCACTAATAATAACGTAACAACGGATAAGTATTATTGTATTATTATTTCTTTCTTTACCCAGTCACTTATTAGTTAATAGCTATTAACAGTATTTTAAAAATATTTTTATTTAACCAGGAAAGTGTATCGCTGCGATTAAAAATTAAAAAAGAGCATAGCTGGGTAACAAAAACCTATAAAACAGAATTATAATAAGAGTCAATGCTTGACAGTATTATAAGGAATATAGAACGGATGCCTAACAGATCTATTAAATTCATCTTAAAACATTAATATTAATATAAATAATAAATCATGCTGCTAGTTTTTTCCCCACACACCTAAACTGATCATGCTACATTTCCTATGATGGATCCTTGATCAATCATATACAATTACTGTTAAAATGTACAAGTTATGAGTCATCATGAAAAAAAATTGCTATTGACTGTGTGAAGTAATAACACAATAATCTCTACTCAAGGTCCACTTATGTAATTGTTCTTGAGCTTTCAGCCATATCAATATTTACTGAGTAGTCATGTTCCATTATTCTGAGCCCCTTTAGGACCAGCTAATTTCTGCAGGGGTGCCATCACACTGACGCACCAGTTAATGCAAAACAAACCGCTGAGGTGTTTCTACCCCACCTTTCCTAATGACTACATCTCCCTCTCTCACACACACACACACACACACACACAGACACACACACTGCATTTAAACAAAGGATCACGTGATAACAGGCTTTATTAACCAGTCCTGCAAGTTGAGAGCAGAACTACACGCCAAAGCCTCTTCACATTCATCTCAAAATAAAGTAAATACATACATGCACTGTCACCATTAATAACCACCTTTCTGCCTTTTGGTCCATTTTCAAAACACCTACAAAATCATTGGTTTCCATAAACATTTGTAACACATGAGTCATGTTTATTCGAGGCTGCTGATCATATGTCTTGTGAGGAGTACCTTCACTTTACACACATATGTTTCTGGCTTGTTCTGATTTATGATGGAGTGTCAGGCTTATTTTAACATTGTTTTGCTTTCACCCAGATATTCTGCAGCTTTAGATGCCTCCAAGAAGAGCATCCATTGTATCATGCATAACGCGGCTTGCTTGCACAGCTCTTGCTAGAAATGGAAAGTGACTTATTGCTTCATTTAAAGCTTTAAAAAAAAGCATCAAAAGGCCCTTAGAGACATCATGTCTTTAGTACTGTCTCAGATTTAACAGCTCTAGTAAAGCGTGCCCAAAAACATATCCACAGGTCAAAAAAAAGCCTCATCAAGACTACAAAATGTTGGTGTTTGGTGTAGAAGAGTGGCTATATCCTATTGGAGAGGAGCAGCTCTACACAGTAGGCTGCAGTAGTTCCTGCAGCTGACACAAGGTGTCCTTCAGCGTGACCGCTATTGTCTCTGCATGCGTCTCCTCGCAGCAGTTGAAAGCGGTGATGGAGAAGTGGACGTGGTCGGCCTGGGGGTTGTAACAAATGGCATAACCGTCGGGAACGAGGGGCCCGAAACACATCACGCTGTCCGTGTTGGCAGGCACCTAAAGAAGCAAGAGAGATGAAAAAAAACAAGATACTGTAACAAAAGAGAAAAAGTTAGACCTGCACAAACTGCCTGTCCCCTATCAATATACATTACATCACAATTTGACATCACATTTTTGTTGAAAACAATAAACTGCGTACTTTAAATGCGTAAAACAAAACTTGGAATCATTCAGACACCAACATTTTGTAAAACATAACACAGCTGAAACAATCCGTCAATGTTTGAGTAGATGGACAGAGAATTAATCAGCAACCATTTTGATAATTGCTGAACCAAGTTATTTTTTAAGGAAAATACCAAATATCCGCTGTTTCTGACCCTCCAGTGTGAAGATTTCCTGCTTTTCCTTGTCTTATATAATAGAAGTTAAATATTGTTGTGTAAAGAACTGTTGTTTGAACAAAACAAGCTTTTCAAGATGTCCTTTTTTGACCAAACAAATAACTGATTAATTGACTGTCACATTAATCTGTAAAGAAAGTGACTGGATATGATCACATCTTTCAGCATCGGCCAGCACTTGTAGCCAAAATCATAATTCTGTGGATCCTAAAAGTAGGTGAAAAACTGAGGGAAATAAGTGGATCTCACTATTTCAGTACTTAGTTAGCTAAATTAAAAATGTATGTGTGTTGCAATTATATTGTTTACATAACTTGTTTACTTTTTCTAATGCCAATGTCATTATTGAGAATGTATTTAAGTTGCATTTGTTATTTCTACATTATTTAAATTTACTCCAAGTAAGTACAATTGCTTTGAAGTCTCAAGAAAGCCACTTTTGTCTGCCTGCCTGTGTTTAGAGGGAATTAAAACTTTCCCACCATTAAACGTCACATAACATTCAAATCTATGAGGACAAAAACCATCTCAAATGGGGTGCAGTGAGCTAAAAGGTTAAATCCTTTGAATCTTTACCACAACAGACGTGTTGACATCTGGTGTCACTGAACTGTATGTAAATTACACGTCTGGACTGAATAGTGTGAGAAGGTGAATTAAAGGAAAAGTGTCGACTTTGATCAAGCAGGATGAATCCAGATTTAATCACCAGAGTAAGGAAACTCACACTGCATCCATTAGCTAGCTACTTACGGGGCAATAACAGAAAGTGTGATTTATAAAACTCAATAAATTAAAACAGGCCATATAAACCACACACGCTTCTGCTGTCGAGAACATAATTCAAGCCCACACCAGTCCAGCCGGTAGGTTTACAGGAGGATCTGTAGGAGCACATAACCTGAAAGTCTCAGTGTCATCATATAAAAAAATCTGTAGATAAGAAGATTGATTGCTGGAAACTCCCAAACTGCATCTTGTTAGCAGTAAATACACCACATTAAAATAACATCACATGCTCCAGAACAAATGGAAAACTGCTGATAGAAAATTCCCAATATATTCACAGTATCATAAAAAATCCCAACTTCCTGTTCCTGCATGTGCTACAGGACTGTCAATACCTTCTGTAAAACAAATCTCTAGCCAAAAAAGACACACGTTACGACACACAGAAACGCACCTGCCCTGTTCGGAGTTTCCAGTGCGTTGCCAGGCCGTAAGCTGTATCCATGAAGATTTTGGGAATGCTGAGTCCTTCCTCGATGGCCTGTAGCTTGAGTCCCAGAAGGTGGCGGTCAATGCCGTGTCCTTTAAGCGTCTGAAAAGAGAAGGGGGGAAAAACACCAAGATAAGTGTTTATCAGTTAACAACAAATGGCAAAAGCTGTTGAAAGTCTACTTGTTATTTACCTGATCAGTCAGAGCTGCATAAGTATCAACAGCTTCTCTGAACAGTTGTAGCTTTGCCTCCCGCTGTAACGCAAAAACGTAAACCACATTATAAGCTAATCCACATTTCTTCTCGCTGTTAAATCACCTGGGTCGAAACAAGCAAAAAATTAAGCCTGTGTTTGCGTTTCTCACCGATACAGATGGATCAGCAAAAGCAAGAATGAACTTGAGCGTCTGATTTGTGGGCGAGCGGATATATTCTGTCCTCCCACCTCGGAACATCCGCTGAGAGATAATATCACAGGAAGCACAGACTTCATTGTGAACTCTACAAAAAAATAAAAAGTGAAATCAAAAACACAAACAATGTTAATTTCAATCTTCAGTCTGTTCTTCACCAATGTATGCGCAAAATTGAATAATGAATTCTAAAGTAGTGTATTGCACACTTCTAATTTAAATGTACTGCTTATACACAAAAGTGCAATAACATGTGGTTTGCAAACACTTTAAACAAATAAGGTGCTTTTTACCAGCAGTATTCCCTTTACACTGTAGCAATAAAATATTTATTGTAAATCTTAACTTAAACATTAATGTAATCAAATCAAATATAAAACCAAAGCTATTTACCACTGCCAGGGCATTACCTTTTATCTAGCTTGTTAAAACAAGTTAAGAGTCCAGAGCCATGATCATTACATAACAGGCACCTTCTGAGCAACAGGTTAACATATCTAAATCTGTTTTCTTGGGTTTTTTTTTTTGGTTTTTTTTTACAGGTATCAGCAGAAACATTTTTCTTTTATCATCAGGGAGCAGCATAAACAGTCTGTGTTCAGTAGCAAGTGTCCCTGTTAGAGTGAGGTGAAGTGGTCGAGCAGAAGGCGTATAGCAACAAGCGGATGCGGTTGTGCTTGCCTCACACAACGTCCACCGCCGAAGTTGAATTGTCCTGAACTTTTTGTGCACACCGCGCAGCACAAATCATTGGAAGACAGACTAATCCTCGCTGTTTGTGAGTTTCCAGAAACTATTACTGTTTACTAAATAGTTATCAGGACATCAACAGGAGGGAAATCACATGGCAGAGCATCCCTGCTAAACTAGATGTAGGCCTATCAGGTAAAGTATATATATTAGCCTATAATATTAACCAAAGTTAAATAGGCTACAGCTGTGTAGCACACAGAAGCCATTGCCATGGTACTGTCCATAGAGTGCCTGCCATTTACTTGCGGAGTGCTGTCTTACTTCTCCCATCCAGCGTAGCCTAGTCTGCCGAAGCCTCCCTCCACTGCTTGTTTGGGTGGGTGATTTGCAGACTGATCAACATCCCACCCCTCCTGTGACCCATGGTTTGACTGTATGTGTATTCAGAGCCAGTGAGCAATGGACAAAATAATAATAATAATAATAATAAAACTGCGTTAGCGTGAGATAAAATATTTGTCAGCATTAATTAATTAATGCATTAACGTGATAATAACGCGTTAACATGCCCAGCCCTAGTTTAAATGTAAATGAATAAATTAATACCATTTTGTACATTATTTCTACTGTCATTTCTAATTCAGGGTATATACACAGGAATCCTGAAGTAAAATTCAATACCTTTAAGACCTTTTCAACATATTTCAAGACTGACACTTTGAGATTAAATCAGCCATACACCTTTAAAGGGGATATTTTTGAGTTTTTAAAAGGAATTTAAATATATTTATAACAAATTTATTGCCTATATGTCGTCAGGTTGTAACGCCACCTAAAAATTGATGCATTCACCAACTTTCTCAGTTGCCTATAACAGCCTGTATAGGCCTATTGTTTTCTATGTGAAGGGCTGGTCAGATTTCCTGCCAAAAGCAACTGTCTTACATAGGTTATGATGTTTATGTACGCAACATTACAGCAAATCATGTGAAACACAGTGTAATTTTGTGTTTTACTTGGTTTAAACTAGATAATGTGAGCTTGCCTGCAATGATACGTGTGATAACTCGACCACTTGATCAATACAACAAAATTCAAATAGGCCAGGAGGGAACAAAGATGAAGAGAAAAAACTGAGTGATGAATAATGTAAGTAGTGTAACTTAGGCGGTGTAGCACAGGCACAACCTGGAGGAGGAACTAGTCTAAATGACTGTAATAGTATAATATTATAACATTAAGTTAAAAGTAAATTGTTAACTTAATAGTAAACTATAAGTTTGATATTAATATATTCATTATGTTCAATATAATAGTATATACCTTACCACTAGTGTAATATTAATTCAAATTACAGCTGTTTAAGTTTGGGGTTGTTTTTTTTTCATTAACTTTGTGCAAGAAAAATGCTCTAGGCTATATGATACTCCAACCTTGATTTTGGGCAGGCTACTAACTCCGCAATAATCATAACCGTTTATGCAGAACATTGAGTTCAACATTTATAAAGTTTGTTGCAGCACATCAATTTTTTTTTTTTAAATCCTGCTCCATCCAGGCTGTGATTGATCTGTGCACAAAAAGAGCATCGGCTTTATGGGAAGTTCAGCGTGTTTCAATAAAAGGCAGAGATTCAGCTAAATAGCCAAACGTAAGCCAAACCCACACGCTCCTTGAATTTTCCTTGTTGTCTTCTGTCTTACCGATTCAGCTTCTTGCAGCATATCTCGCTCTTGTTTTTCAGGAACGGAGCTGTTCAAGTGGCCACAGAGCAACCGGCCAACCGGGTTAATCCCGTTACTCCTGATCGCCACTCCGACTATGTTTTGGACGATTAACATTGCGGGTCCGGCAGGGTGGGAGATTACGGTCGTAAATCATTTTCCGGTTCGCACGGATCTATTTTTTGGAGTGTTTAAGAGTGAAACAGGCGCTCGGTAGATCCCTGCGCCTGACGTTACAGAGACGAATCACACAGTCAATACTCACTGCCTGTCTAGTATTTTTGGCTACGCATTATAAATAAATACGTTCACCTACACTTTTAGCAAATAAACCTTTGGACAAACAGGATTTTCACATTGAAAAAATTAACTTCAAAATTGAATACCTTGTTAAATGGTTGATTAACAGTTTAATACTTTTTAATGGCCTTAATTTTCGCAAAATTGATTTATTACCTTTTAAGACTTTTTAAGACCCCGCGGACACCCGTACATAGCAAGACTACATTGAATAAATATTGATTTTCCATCTGAATCGTCAGAATGGTTGAGATTGAAATCCCAACCCTAATTAAATGTTGAATCAATATTGCAGTACTGATGAAAAACGACCATGTATGAGCGTGACATTGGAATAATATTGATTTATAGTTGCCCCGATTATACTTGATTGAGCATTGATTTGTAGTTGACTGGGTAACAACAACAATGTTGAAAAATCATCTATTTATAGTTGACCAGAAATGACATGATATTGAAAAGCCATGGATTTATAGTTGCCCGGGAAATATGATTGAAAAGTCATCTATTTATAGTTGACCGGGAAATGACGTGATATTGAAAAGCCATGGATTTATAGTTGACCGGGAAAACTGTATGATTGAAAAGTCAATGCAGCATTATTGACCGGGAGACCATCGCTTGGTGGATCAACGTTCCTGAACCCCACACAAGTCCACATCAGGTAAGCACATATTTATTTATCTAATGTTTAATTGTACCAAATTTGTAGACATTTATCGTTTATTGACATTGTCTAACATTATATGCAGTCATAGACTATATACAAGTGTTTCAATACCATTTTATACTGTCAAATAGCACAATATCCAAGCTCCATCGTATTAGGATAAGTTACTTCGCTAGTATAAATGCTAACTTTATCACCAGAGGATAATATCCTGTACAGGACTGTAAATTATGTTAAAAACTGTACTTTATCTTTGCTCAGATTTCAACTGCTTTGCGAAATATATGCACACCTTTCTCATGCTCGTAACTGATCTTAGCTAATGCCCCTGTCATTTAACTTTAAATAAGCCAGCTAACTTGATATATCTGTCAGTCTTCTACAACTTTCAGCCTCCAGATTCAATCTATGACTGCATTAAATGTTTGACAATTTAAATAATGTTAAACTATAAACGTCAATGGATTCCACCACAGCCAAGCAGTCTACATCTTCAATAAACTGGCAAATTGGGAACATTAGTGAATTCAAGTAAGTTAACTGTTATATATATATAATATTGCGCCAATTCAGCCCGACTGACATTGTTCATCTTCACATCCTTTTCACTACTGAAAGTTGTTTTGTTTGTATGGTTTCTGTTGTAGATGCCCTGACTGAACCAATGGGGACAGAAGTCTTTGACTTTGCCCAGGCAGCACAAAAATGGCTTCCTATGCTCCAGATCTGATGGGTGGACAGAGCAGAACAGGAGTAGTGAATTAATTTTTTTTATTCCATAAATAAACTTGTATTTTTTAACTGATTCAATTGTCCGTTGTCATTTATACATTTTTTATATATTATAGTCTCTTTTATGTGGTTTAATATTGGTTGAAATAACATTTAAGTCATGTTGTGTGATATTTAGGTGGTGATGGCACATAGATAAGATGCTTGCCTTTGGTGTGGGAGACCCGGGTTCAATTCCCCACTGTAACCCATCCACCATTGTGTCCCTGAGCAATAACCCCTAGTTGCTCCAGAGGCATGCGACCTCTGACATATACAGCAGTTGTCAAGTCGCTTTGATAAAAGCGTCAGCTAAATGTAAAAGATTTTTAATTAGCTATGACGTTGTTTCAGTATTAAAAAAGGGTGCAAAATGATGATGAATCAACATCACAGTCTGATGTTGATTCAATTAAATTAGCATTGAGAGCAGAATGCCGTTTCAACGTCATTTCAATAGTAATATTGGTTGAAATATCATTGAAGTCAAGTTGATTGTTAGTTAGGCTATCATTTCAACGTTGTTTCAGTAGTAAGATTGGTTGAAATACCATTGAAGTCACATTGATTGTTAGTTAGCTATGATTTTAACATTGTTTCAATATTAAAAAATGGTGCAAAATGATGATAAATCAACATCAGAGTCTGATGGTGATTCAATTAAATTAGCGTTGAGAGCAGAATGCTGATTCAACATAGTTTCAATAATGTTTGCTATCTGCCTGTAATTGTCTTATAAGTGAGTCAAATTACCTGCCCTGGAGGGACAATGAAGATTATTTTGTTCTGTTCAGGCAGGCTGAGGGACAGGTTTCTGAATGTAGATTTCTCTTCTAATGTTAACAATTATTGTGTTTTGATTTTGCTTTGGTTAGTGACGCTGCCTTCACTGACCTGTAGTAGGCGAGCTGCAGAGCGACCTGGATGAAGGCGTTCGGACTCATGTTGTGCTGCTTGGGAAGGTCCTTGCCAAACCTCTTGAAGTTGAACACATTCACATCGAGGTCGTTGATCAGTCTGCGGGAAATTTAAAACATTTTGTAGTTGTGATTAAATCATTCTGCACTCAAGGTTCACTCACTTAGTTTTACAGCAGAGAAACTTGCTAAAATGTCACCGTGCGATTTAGGTATGGAAATTCGGTCAGGTGTTAACAAGTCCAAGCCTCATTCAGAAGGTAGTGAGATATAACCAAAAGCTCTGGAAAAAGCTAGCAATTTAGGTTGGTTTTACACTACATACAGAAATGTGTTCCCAAGGTCAAGAATAAACCTGCATCCATATAATTTGTATTGTCTGTTGTTTTATATAATAATTATTATAATAATTCTAAAATGTTTCGCTTTTCATTTTGTAATACAAGTGATTATCAGAGATCTTACAAAGTAGAGCATTATATGGTAAAACTTTACTTTAACCCCAATTTAGCATTTATAAGCAGAATACAAACATGTAATAAATGGTTTATAACCACATTAACGTGGTTGTAAGCAGCTATAAGGACATTTTAAGTGTGACATTAATGTGCAGTGTTAACAACTATATCTTCTCCTATGAGAACATATTTTATATTATTGCAACTATATTATCTGTTTATACACCAGCCTCCACTTATGGTAGCCCACGGGAGGAGTTATAGTCATTGCCAAATACATTAACAAAACACTGTTAGCAACACAAGTTGCTAACAACTACATTATCGTGTGTTATAAACCATTTATTAATTGTTTATATACTGATTATGAACACTCAAAAGGAGGATTGAAAGTAAAGTATGTCATTTTTATTTCAAGGTATTCTGGGCAAGATCTGCCCAGCTCAATTCCACGCTGCATGTCTGAAAAAAGCTTTAGTCCTCATTTAGGTCTTGGCATCTGAGTGATTTAAGAGTGCTCTGAAATTATAAAGACGCGTATAAAGGCTTGTGGGGAAAAGCCCGGATCACAATAACGACTTCTAATGTTTTTAAAAAGTCAGTCAAGCCCAATGACAGCTTTTTGTTTAGTTGCGGTTAAATTTACAGAGAAGATAAATGTGTTTACACTCCTGTGGCTTTTGCTTTAAGCCAAGTTTATTTCAGCTTTGCTAGATTTAGAAAAGCAAACATGTAGTTTACACTGTGCAGCCAGGCCATTCTTCCATTCTTCTCTTATCGTGTCAAGTATCCCATAGACACGTTCTCACTAAAACCACTCCACCCTGTTCAGAAAAATGAGTGAGAAGCTTACATATCGAGGTTCTGCTTGGCGTGCTCGATGTCCCTCTTAATGTCTCGGTCTATGTGAAAGTAAAGCTTCTTGGGCATCGGTAGAGGGATCAGCGGCGCTCTCTTTGGGTCTGGTTTCTCACTGCAGTCAGGAAAACACAATTACAAGCACATGAGCATGAAAGATGTAAAGGAGAAACACAGCCAGTTCTCACTTCATATTCTATCATAATGATCCATTTTGACTAAATCTGTGTATGTTTCTTTACTACAAAGATAATCGCTATGCCTTTTGGGTTGGCTGTGTTTAGAATTATTCTGTAATGAGACATTAAGCTAAAGCTTTAGCATGTCCTTGGTAACGCTTTGCCAGCGGCCTATGGCCTAGTATGTCTTTTCATGAGAAAAATGTAAGTTCAAATCATTTTGGACAAAAGTGTCAGGTAGTTGATAAACTGAAAAGTAAATAAAAGCTATCACTGAACACAGAGCATTTGTTTTTAAAAAAAGAATACATTTTCTAGTGGATAGGGGAGTTTCAACAGGCCCAGGTAAGCAAGATAGATATAAAGATTTGTGTAACAATCAAGGTTAAAAGTAAAGAGTCTCGCTTTAACAAGACGCGTTTGAAGCCGACAAGTGAAGAGTACTTTCATGTCAGCAATATTTACATTTAGCTTGGTTCAGCTTGGTTCCCCTGCTACTGGCTGCTTAAATAATCTACCAGCAATCATTTTGACACACAAAGATAATTAATAAACAAGACTGAGAGTATAAAGTCATGCTAGCAGCTCTGTGAGGCTGTATGTGTATAATGTTTACCATGGTCACCATCTTAGTTTAGCTTGTTAGCATGCTAACATTTGCTAATTAGCACAAAACACAAAGTGTGACTGAGGTTGATGGGAATGTCATCAGTTTAGCAGGTACTTGGTCAGAAAAAAAATTCTGACCTGATGGTGTTGCTAGATGAAAAGTAAGGGATCGCCCAAGCTATAAATTCATGAATACAGTACTAAAGAGCCACACACCAAGACAAGCTAAATGTATTTACACATGTCTATTTTCTGGTAACAATACAGGTTCAGGCAAAAAGCAGCCAGAGTTTGGCTTCAGTGGTACATTTTTAAAGCTTTAACAACACTTTCATGCATAAAGTAAGAGTCTAGTTCAAATGTCAAACTGATAACTCTGTAACAAACAAAACATTTTTATTAACCTTTACCAGTAAAAGTACATTTCAAAGAATTCTCTCAATTTCAATACTATGGGATGTATTGAACCAGCAAGTTCAATACATCCCATAGCAGAAGCAGTTATATTTTCTTTTTAACTCAAATAAACAACACTGTATCCAGCTAAAGTGTCTGAGGCCTTGTTTGATTGGCTCACAGTCCGACTGTATGGCAGCCAGCAAGGACAAAATTATGTTTGCTGGATTGTAAACACAGACACAATTTAGGAAATTATTAAGACAAGAAAAAAAAAAAAAATACATAAAACACCACAAATACACCAAGATAGGTGTCTCTCCTCATTAACCCTTTATCTCACCAGTACTCCAGGATGTGATCCAGCAGCGTTGCTATTGGTGGACCCTCAGCTATGGCTTGTTCATACAGAAGACCCCACGAGCCGTCCTCACCCACCACAAACTATTTTCACACACACACACACACGTTACAGTAGGCTGTATCAGCTACTTTTATATAAATGAACAATTCCGTGTCATATGTGAATATTCCTGCCGCTCACCTGCAGCGTTTTATCAAACCAGCGGTTGCCACTGTTGGAGAACGTCCCGCCTCCATGCAGAACCTGTGCTGCCTTGCGGCTGGCGTACCTGTCAATCAAAGACAGAACAAACAAAATTAACATAACTACTTGAGAGTTTCCATTTCATCCTACTTTATACTTCTACTACATTTATTTGCCGCTGGCGGCCTTAAAGTATGTTAATTATTGTGTTCCTATGAGTGATTCTGACTGTCATGCAAACCCAGCTGTGTGATTCCCTGTCGAGGATTGGTTCCTCTGGAGCTGAGACCACCTACTTCCTGTTTGCTGTGCGCTGGCGTCTGTGATTGGTGTGGCTGTGATCCGACCGAACCTACCAATCAGGACTCTTCAATCAACGCCAGCTGGACTATAAATAGCTTGTGTCCACAGTTCGGCGACTGTGAGCCAGTGATCAGTTCGCCTTGCTGTTGGTTGCATACACTGTTAGTTTAGTGAGTATTTAGAGTGTTTATATTTCTTGATATTGTCTGTCTGTTGCCTGTCTGAGTGGCTTCAGGCAATAGTTTTGAATCATTGTAAATCACATAGCGTGATATGGTGCACCAAGCGTTGGGCACTCTCTTGTTTGGGTATTCTACGTTGCAGAATAACTGCTCGTTTGTTTACTTTGTACTTTTGTCAGCATATAGGTGCTGACCTCATTTTGTTCTTTAGTGTGTGTTTTTTGAGCTGAGTAACGGTCTCTGAACAAGACCCTCTTTTGTTTGTGTATTTGTCAGTACCTATATAGACTCTCTTTGTTGCATCTTGTGCGAGCTCATTAATTAAACCTTTGACTTTAACCGGAACATTTCAGTTGTCCTATTCAATCTCATTTCTATCCCAATCACTTGTTGCTGCCCTACCTTAACGAGCTAGGTCGTAACATTAGTTACTTTTTTCTTTAAAAAAACATGATGCAGTACTATACTATTAATCTACCCAGTTATCTATTATCTACCTAGTTGTATACAAAGTATCTAAAATTAGCTCCACACTGAACTACAACATTAAAATATTCTTATCATACATGTGATAAAACCATATAAGATTTTATAATAATATAACACTTCGAAAGGAGCCATTACACCTAATGAGTACTTTTACATTGATGCTTTAAGTAGTTTTTGATGATAATACTTTGGTACTTTCGCTTAGCTAACATTTTGAAATCAGGACTTTCACTTATAATGGAGTATTTTTAGAGTATGGTATTTCTACTTTTATTTAGGTTAAGGATCTGAGTACTTCACAGAACAGAGGAATACTTTGGATATCTATTTCATGAGGCAGATGTGTACGAGAGGAACGAGCGACTCAAAAGTTGTATATAAACTGCAGGTATCTACCACTTTTGTATGTGCGGAAGTTTATTTGCAATTAGTCAAGATAGACATTCAAATCTAAGTGTTTATAATTCTTTAGATACAAATCTGCCAAGTAGTAAAAACTGGGAAGACTGAGGAAGTGATCATTGAACATTGTTGCCAAATGTTTACAGACAACACAATGATATCTGAATACACATAGACGATTACCCAACATGTGTAGGAAACACAGAAATACCTGAGTGTGGACTCAGGAGTGTGTGTCTGAGTGTGTGTTTGTGTGTATGAGCATATGCATACTTCTCATCTGATATCCTCATGACTGGAGAATCCAGACACAAGGAGAAAAGTCCCGTCTCTATCAGCCGCACTGATTCCTTGTTCAGTTTATCTGAGTTACACATACACACACACACACACACACACAGAGCGAGAGAAAGAAAGATCATGAAAATAAACAAGTAAAATGTCAAGCTGCAAATAAGTACCACGTGTCTTATTTATCAAAACATACCAGCTTTGACCTGCTAAGCCAATTTCTGGTACTAGCAAGTCTGTTTTTGGCCTGAAACATGTCTAAAAATCGTAACATTTACATATTTCCCTACAAATCACATACACTTTTCTGACCAAAGCATGTCACACGTTTCAGATTGATTTCGAGGTTTCAGTTATAACAAAAACCTTTTTACACACTTAAATCTGCTTGAGAGATCCTTCAAAGTAATCAATAAGTCAGCTCCCTTTATGCATTCCTTGCAGAGAATCTGGTAACGCAGAGAAGTCTTTCCCTGATGGTGCATTTAAAGAAATTCTGACATCCAAGTCGGGATCAAACTCTGAAGATGTACAGTGAGAAGTGGTATAAAGAAACTAAGTTTATATACCTCACTTAACTACAATTACGAGGTACTTGGACATTATTTGAGTGTTTTCTTTTCATGCTACTTTATGCTTCCACTCCACTGCCTCTCAGAGGAAAATATTTTTACTTTACTACATTTATTTTACAGCTTTAGTTACTAATTACTTTACAAATTAATACTTTTACATACGAAACTTATAGAACATTTATAAAATATCATGCTTTGGTAAAAATGTAACTACAGTGCCTAACAATATATACACAAGTAGTGCTGAAACGATTGGTTCATTAATTGATTGACAGGAGATAAATATTTTGATAATGGTGTTAGTAAAATTTCATTGTATCAGCTTCTTAAATGTGAGGATTTACTCCCTTCCCTTGTAATTATTTAAATAATTAATCATTTTTACATGTGGACTGTTGTGGTTGGACAAAACAAACATCTTAGAACCATCAACCCCTCCCTTCAGTGCTCCCTCAGAAGCTCCGCCAAAGTAAACATTTTGCTGTGATTAAATAGCAATAAACGGATCAAACAGATGCTGAAATAACTACAATATGATGCAGTTTTGTTAAACATATGAATTCATGCTTTGTCAGGTCTGTCAGCAAGACAGCAGGACAACAACATATTCTAAAATGTTTGTTTTCTGAATGGTATTCGGAGCGATCAGGGCTACGCTATGCTAACGTGGTCACAGTAAAGTACAACGATAGCTGGACTAAAGTTACATACACATGTTTTCTTAACTCACTAGGTAGTTCAACCTCCTCGCTTTCTTTTCTCCCAGCAATGTCCAGTTTTGTCCGGATTTTATGTAAATATGAAGTAGTGCCAAACGACGCTAACAACAGTGGAACCGGATGTGCACGGAATCTAGCTGCTGAGAAGCTCGAGTATAGATAAATCAACATTGTAATCCTAAAAACTAAAGTAAAAACCTAATTTAATAAAAAGCAGTTTACACTGAGCTCCTCCCTCGAGCAAACGGCGAAGTTGCGAGCAAAGTCCAGTCCGACCACGGGTGTTTATTTGTCCGAAAGCTGGAGCGCTGCTCCCTGCTCCTCTAGCCCAAGTTTAGCAGCTCTCAGCCGGTCAGCAGATTTTCAATCGCCCACTCTGCCTGGCCCTCTCCACAAGGTCCACCCCATGTTCTTTGTGTTCCATTTACAGAGTAAGGACTGTGTAGGAAAACTGGATTTCTGTCTGTATTGAGCACTTTTACTTTTAATACTTTAACTACATTACCCAGATTATATATTATATTAAATACTGTACTTTTAATTAAGTAACATTTTCGATGCAAGATTTTTACTAGTAATGGAGTATTTTTTACAGTGTATTAGTACTTTTACTTACAGTGAGCTCACGTGGACGTGGTGAAAATGACTTCATGTGAAACTAGTAGTTTCTTACGTTAAACATGTTTCTGTTTGGCAGGAAAATATCAAAAACGGCCTCTGCTTGCAACTATCACAACTCAGACTTATAAAGCAGCAAAGAATAAGGAAGACCTTTCCTTTCTCAAGCATGTTTTTTTGCAGTTTGATTATAACCGAGCAATGAAATTAAATGGGAACCAACAGCAGCCCAGAACGCTTGCTTGTAATTACCGGCTTAAAACATGCAAAATCCTCTACTGTATTTTAACAGTATAAACATAGTAGAGTTTTTGGGTATACAGTAAATGCTACATAGACCCGCTTGACGGGAGTGTATGTCGTCCTGTGGTCTACCTCTCAGCAGGCGGTTGTAGGCCTCTCCCCACGTGTGACGGTGCTCACTGGTCAGGATGCCCATCGGCTCTTTGTCCGTCTTCCAGGACTGAGACCTGATCCTCAGCAGCTGGCTGTGGATCTGACTTTCCGTCATCCGAGAGCCGTCACTGTTGTAAACCTCCAGCTGGAAGAACTAGTGAGGAAAACCAGAGAAAACGAAGGCCATCTCTGTTACGTCCGTTCTCTATAGATGATTTGATGAGAGATGCTAGAAGGGTGAGGCTTTCTGTGTTGTTTTTGGGAACAGCAGCCCCCCACCCCACCCACTAAATGTTGTGTTTAATTTGCTTCAGACACACACACTTCTTGGGAAGTGCTGTGCTCACAGTACGCATATTTGTGATTCATTTAACCTCTGGAGCTTTTTCTTTCTATATCAACACCAACACAGGCAGTGCTGCTGCTGTCAACACAAACTGACTACTGGACAAATAAGATCTGATGACACTTAGAGCTTCAACAATCAGTTTATTAAATTATTAGTCCACCAATCTGCAGCTGTTTTAATAATCAATACATTTTTAAAATCAGATTTTAAGCAAAAGTAATTAAAAAAAACTGACTTATCTAAACATTTTCAGTTCTTATTCCACTATGATAGAAAACTGAACTAAGACGAAATATTAAGACATCATTTTGGGTTTTGAGAAATTGTGTTTGTGGCATTTTGCACTATTTTCTGATACAGAATGATTAATCAATTATTTGGAAAAACAATAGTCAGATAAGTGGATTAAAACAAACGTTGCAGCCCTACTTGTTTTTAAAGCTGCAACCATTAGTCGAATAATCAATAAGTTAATCAGCAGTAAATCAATCTGCAACTATTTTGATAATCAATTGATTGTTTCAGTTATTTATCTGGAACAAAAGCCAAACATTCAGTGATTTCAGCTTTTCAAAAGCAAATATTTGCTGCTTTTATCTACTTTATATCAGACTGAATATTACTGGATTTTGGACTGTTGGTCAGACAAAACAAGAAATATGAAACTCACTTCGGGAGAAATTGTGATTTCTTTCACTATTTTGGACATTACACACACCAAATGACTGATCAAGAAAATAATCAACTATGAAATCAGCCCTTTCTTACAGTTCTACTTGGGTTTACCCTTTACTGCCAATTGGACAATAAATAGGATGCATGGGCCCATAATTCCGCCATTTGAAGATTACCATGTTTCCAGAACAGCAAAAACATGCTCCATAAAAATCCATAAATTTTAAATCGTCCAGTGTTTCATCACAACTTAGTTGTCCGATACTCCTGTTTAACGCAGAAATTTTAAAGCTGCAAGAGCTGATTCAGACAGCCACATGTATATTTGTTTAGTTTATCTGGACTCAGACAAAGGTACCAAATAGAAGCAACAACATCAACTTAATGTACTTCTTGGCCTTTTTCCAAGTCAAATTCACCTTTACTGATCGTCTTAGCTGGAGGGGCGCTTAAATTGAGCCAGTGTTTTCATCTGACATGAGAAAAGAGAAGATAACTGAAGACTGTGTACACACACACACACACACACACACTAAGTATACATATAGACAATATATAAGTCTATGAGGCTTATCTTGTTTTGATTCCTCTCTCTGTAAGACCTGCTGCCAAAAGGTATAAAAGATCCTCAATACCTGTTTACAAGGCTCGGTGCATTCGTAATTTGTAACTTAAAAAACCTAATGGGTGTGACAGCACGACGACGCAACATGGCTGTAATGTCAAACAACTTGCAATCCCACAAGGGTGATAAATGTTATTTGATTCATCTATTGTCGGCTCATCCCACCTGGTAGTTCCTGACAACTGTGATGTGTGTCGGCGAGCGTCGGGAGAGGCCGTGGTAGGCGATGTGGTCGTGTTTGGGACCGGGGATCCTGCAGGAGGAGAAGAGAAGCGGGTAGAGCTCCATGCAGAGAGGGTTCCCTCGCACGTACTCGACCGGCAGCTGGCCGCTGATAAGAGACAGACAGAAGCACAAAAGTGTGTGTTAATGTTCATATTTAGTCTCTTTAGTAAAAAAACATTTTTCTGGATACATGGTTTTATTTTTATCTGCTCATACTTGTATACATATTGATTTGGATGCAGCAAACCTCCTTTTGTTCCTACCAATACAGATTCAGACACCTGAACTCAGGATATCTAAGCATACAGATAAACACCCAGATACCTGTGATCACTTTTCTGTAAAACCTTTTCAGGAATATTTCAATCAACTTGTGTCGAGAATTTTCTAGACACAGGTTGATTTAAATGAAAAACACTGCAAAATTAGGCTTTTAGTGCTTAATAATAGACAGAAATACGATAATAATATAGAGTTTTTTAGCAGCCCACCAGTTGTAGATGTAGATAAAATCAGCTCAACCTCACTATATGAAACTCACTTGAGTCAGAGCCCTGCTGTGTAATGTAAATGAAACTGTGGTTCATTTATATTCAGTATATTCGTGCATCCTGTTTAAAACTATTTTTGTCTGCTGGGGTATTATCGTATTCATAGATTCCCAATGTCAGACGTTTTTCAATTCATGCAGATATCTTTTATGCATCCCTAAAGAACTCTGTGTAATCGCAGCATAAAGCCCCCTTTGTTATTTTTTTTTTAATCATGATTCATTCAATCTATCTGTTAAACTGCCCTCTGTTCTGCTTACTTCAATAATAAACTATAAAGGCTAAACTAAAGTGCAATTTACTAAAGTGCAATTTTGAGGTAGTATTTCCATTTTCTGGAGGATTTATTGATCCGCTGGAGTAAATTCACACACTAGCATAAAAAGTAATTAAAATTAGCCCAGCTGCAACATTAAAGTGATAAACATTATCACTGATTAATGCATCAATAATTATAATATAATATTTATAATTCAGAAATGGCCCGCGACCCTGTACGCACTATAAGCGGTTGACGATGGATGGATGGATTCAGAAATGGGCCATGCTGCATAATACTATACTATATAATATATATAATAATATATATATAATATATAATATATATAATACTATAGTACTTTAAGTATACTTTGATGCTAATACTTTTCTACTTTATCTTAAGCAAGATTTTGAATTCAGGGCTTTTACTTGTCAGAGTATTTCTACACTGTCATAGTGCTACTTTTACTTAAGTAGAATCTAAATACTTCTTACATATATGACACAGTTTTCATAGTAACTACTGTGAGATTTATCTTTGCTGTACATCATATTACTGGATTATTATTATTACTGACACGTAAACATCTAAGTATTTAATATTGTGGTTGGTCAAGGTGGAGCTAATAAATTTTTATACTGTTGGGAAGTTTAATCTACAACAGTGCATCTTCTTTTATAAACGTTTCTTTGTTTGTAAAATATCAATCTGCAAAGTAATTGTAGTTTTGAAATAGATAGAGCAAAAAGCAACAGAATTCCCTCTTAAAGTTTGTGGAGAATTAAAGTAGTTGAGTAAATGTAATCAGTTACATTGAGCCGCTGATTCATGTGTGCTTGAAGAGTCAGAGACAGTTCGGAGGTCAACAAATATTTCAGTTTATCCTGCTTAGTATGAGTCCACTTAGTAGCCAATGATGATTCAGATGACAAAACATCATAAATACCCTAATGTGGCAAACTGTTGCTCTAAACCGACCGATTACTGCTCACAATTTATATTTCTCTCTGGGAAAAGGGTGCACACGACAGAGAGCTTTCAATAGTGTGCTGTTGGTTTTGCACAGATAATGTTACAGGCAAATACATATGGACCCAGATTAACTTCATACGGCCGAGAAACACAGACTGGTGCCAGCCGGGTTCAAGGTTACAGCACTAAAATAGCAGTCAGTCAGAGTGATATTACTGTAGCATTTGAACAAAGGTCAACAACAAGTTCAATAGCTAATAAACACTAATGTTTGCAGCAGAATATTATTAGCAGCTGGTTTAATTTGCTTGTCATGGGATTTCTGTATATTGTGAACACTCATTGTGTTCATCTACAGAGCAGTAACACTGAACGTGAACACAGATGTGATCTGAACATAAATGAAATTTAAATATGTTTTATTGGGGTCAGCATTAAAACTAAATGCTTCTTATCCTATGGTTAAATGTAGCCAAGTACACTGAGTCATACTCAAGGCCTGTGTTTAGGTACTTGTACTTCACTTAAGTATTACATTTCAGAGTGAAATATTGTGTTTTTACTTTATTTCTGACATTTATTTTTCATACAAAACACAAGATGAGCTTAAAAAATAAAAAGACAAGCATTGTTCAATAATAACAAATCTCCTTCTTATCAAATGATTTTAGTCTGAACTTGAGTCGTTCAAGTTTTATTAAAGTGTATTAGGAAAATTTCAAACTGTTATAAACACAAATCAATTACTGATAAAAATGTTTCTAAAAACAAGTGCATTTACTTAAGAAACATGTTGAAATATTCTTACTGCTCTGCAAAATAAGACTCTTAGGACTCAACTATAGACAGAAATGTCTGTATAGGATTGTTTTTTCCAACACTTAATGCAATGCTCCTCACACATGAATACACATGTTATATCCTATTATAAATATATATAATATAAAATAACACTATAAAAAGGTGCCACTTAGCGTAACAAATACTGTTATTACTTTAAGTACATTTTGCTGATCATTCTTCTGCACTTTCACTTAAGTAGATGTATGAATGCAGGATGTTTACTGTTGCTAATACTTTTACTAAAGTAAATAATCTGCTTTATTAATGTGCAGGACAAGGTTGTCTTCAGTTTGCCAGCAATCATTTTTATCAATCATGTCTATTTGGCTCCAGCTGAGGGCAACTTACCTGTTGATTTTGGCCTTGAAGTCCAGAACTGCCGCTATGAGTTTGGAAGCAAACCTAAGAGGAGACAGTTGTTTTATTATGTCACACAGTTGATTTTAAAAGGGGGAAATTCGTCACAGTACAAAAAAAAAAGTTCACATTCACTAGAATCTGTTAAAGGTGTCAAAGGAGGTTACTGATGCAAAACACAGAGCGGGACTGAGCAGAATTTTTTTTGGTGTCAGGTGAAAACAATGCACCATCACAACTTGCAAGAATATCAGAAAAACAACCACATGGTGAGCTTGACCACAAATAATTTTCTCAACGAATGCAATTATTTTGTCTAAAGCTAAAGGTTGGTAAGTATCTTCAGCTCATAGAGGGGCAGGTAATCAGGTTACAAGTTCTTAATGACAAGAGGTATTAACTAATCAATTTATTGATAATAAAATTTAAAGACAGATGCAGTCAGCAGTGGTGGAAAGTAACTATTTAATCAAGTTTATCATGTACATAAGTACAGTACTTATTAGTATAGTATTTCCATTTTCAGCTACAGTTCAGAGGGAAATATTGTTCTTTTTACTGCACTACATTTATTTGACACCTTAAATTAATTCAGATTACACAAGCTACCTGGCAATATATATTATATAGTTTAAAAAATAAAAAAAACTTTACCAGCTGCAACATTAAGATAACATACACAACAATAAATCAATAATTATAATTCCATAATATACATGATTCTGAAATGGGCCATTCTGGGTAAGTGCTTTTACTTTTTGTACTTTACTTATTTTGTAATTTATGTATTTTATGATGCAAATACTTACATGTACTTTCACTCAGGTAAGAACACAGTAGAACTGCTACCTTTACTTACTTACTTCTCAAGTAACAGATCTGAGGCAGTCAGGCAGGCAGCTCTATTACAATCCATTGCTTATCAGAGAATAGAAGTATATTTAATAGAGAGAAGTATATTTTAAAATATTTATTGTGATGCCAGAGTTTTGATAAACTTTCAAAATGTCTTCCCACCTTTAACCAAGGATATGATCATTTAATTTAGAAGGAAATCATCCAAACCACCGTCTAAGACCTTCATTAAAGGAACTGGTATTGAATTCTGTAGAAAAGTATAAATATCTACGAACAATCATTGATAGTGATCTGAAATTTGATACTAATTCTGATACAATCTGTAAGAAGGGTCAGCAATGTTTGTATTTTAGAGTAGTAGATTTAGAGTTCCACGATTCAAGAGCAATAAGAGCAAAAACTCCTTTGTTCCCTGTGCAATAACCCTGCTAAATCATCTCAGGTAACATCATATTTAGAGATTGTTTTATGATTTAATGTAGATCTATTTATTAGGGATGCACCGAAATTTAAATTCTTGGCCGAAGCCGAAACTGAATTTGCCGAATACCAAAACAAGTACATTCACATTTTTGCACCATTTCATAAATTAAATAGTCAAAATGTGCTTTTTACTCAGTGTTTCCCACAGGATTTGGAGAGACTATGGGGGGTGGGTCCGAGGCTCAAGAGGGTCCGGAAAAGTAAATTACATGTGTCCATTTACTTTTAATTTACACATGTAATATTTTTTATACTTTCTGTGAATATAATCCAATTAATCTTATTTCCATACTGTATAGACACCTTTTTTTGAAGACCGGACGTCGTCACATGTGTATCCTCGCGCTAAATTCATCAAGTCCGACCCAATATGATAAATGTTGTATGTGGTTCTTGTATCGCATAACATGAAGACTTTACAGCCTCTGTTCAGGTAGGACTCTCATACTGCAACACTCTTTGTAAAGAGAGAAAATGAAAGGATAAAGTCGCTAACCTGCCTGTCAACTCGCACTGGTCCGTTTCAGTGGATTTACCATAAAGGCTTGAATACCTGTGCACTCCAAATGTAGGTGCGGCCAGCTAAATCGTTTTCTCACAAACAAGTGACAGAAACAATCAAAGCGATTCAGACAGTTTGTTGCCTTTTCTAAGAAGTCAGCCACAGATGGAGTGGACGTGCTAGGAGACAATTCAGCAGAACAGTGTCTGCACGACAATTTTTGCGTCTTTCACAGACGATTAATTTAGGTGGCCGAACATTCGGTGCATCCCTATTATTTATAGTGTATTGTATGTACTGGTTACATTTTATTTTACTTTTGTGTGTTTGTGGTGTTTATTCGGATGCTTGTATGTTTTATCTTGTGCCCTGACTGCAAGTAAAGTTTCCCCACTTGGGATAATAATAAATGAACGGAACTGAACTAAAATAATCAACAAAAACTGCGCTGATCTGATGAATTAGTTGACTAATCAACAAATGGGGTCTGAATCGTGGCCTTGTTGCACTCTGAAAGTACATAGTTTTTCCAAGGTGCAGGGGATGATTAAAAGAGCAGCTGAATGCTGTGTCAGTGTTGGTGTGTATGTGCGCTGACTCACACTAGCTGGCTCCTCCAGCCATTATAATCCCTCCTCGGCAGAGAAATGGCCGGGCTTGAGTGCACAGGCAGCGGCTGTCTGCTCTCCAAGTATGCCCACTGCACCCACCAGGGTGTGATCTACAGGGTAGAGACCACACACACATTCAAGCAAGAGAAACTTTGTGGTTAAGACCAAACCGCCGTGATGATATATGTGCTGATGTTTTAAAAATGTATTGTATAGTAAATATTTGTTTTGGCTGCAATCTTCCTTCGGACACAAACTGTTTCAGACTCTCCCTTCTGGCAGGAGGCTGCGGTCCATCAGGACCAAAAACTCCCACTCCAGAAACAGCTTCTTCCCGTCTGCAGCTAGCCTCATTAACAAGGCCCAGGTCCCCCACTGACACTCCCCCCTTGCAACTGATACAAATGTCTCTGCACATGTAAATACTGTTTCATCTCGTGTTGGGCACAGACCTGGCACGTCGCACATATTTGTTGTTGATTGTTGATCTTTGTTGTTGTATAATTTTATGTTGTCAGTTTATATATTTATATGTACACAATATTCTCTTCCGTTACGTTGCTTCTGCACGGCACAGACCCAGAATAATGCACATGTGTATATCTGCAACGTTGTTCTTCCATTCCATATTTATATATTTCTACATTTATTTATGTTGACTGTATGTTTGTCTACATGTAGCACCTTATCACCACAGAAAATTCCTCGTATGTGTAAAACACTACTTGGCAATAAAGCTCCTTCTGATTCTATTTGTTTGTTTATTAGTTTGCAAAATATCGCAGAAATGTGATTAAGAAAACAGGGTGAACACTGTTTTTTTTAATGCATCTTTTCTCATAAATTTCCCCCTTTACATGAATGAAAGAATGCACTACTTGTGACTGTATGTCGGGGAATTTTAACACACATCAGGTTCCAGGGGCTGATAATGTTTTAGTATTAAAAAAACGTGTTATAACTCATTTCCTGTATGTTTTTTACATTTTATTTTGTTGCTCTTGTGCTAAAATCCTGCATGTTTGATCTCTTGGGCCGAATGCTTTTATTTTGAAGCAATTTCTACCTTTTGTCTTGAAAAGGGCTTTATGAATAAATCTTTACTTACACTGAATTTTGTAATACACAGCCTGGGTCCTTTATTTAGCACAGTTGCAACAGACTGCTCTTATTAAAACGACAAATTCTGGATTGTGCAGCCTTTCTGTGCGCATGTAGTATTTGTTTATCTTTTGAAGCATCTTAGCTTCGTTTAATACTTAATCAACACAGAGGTTATAATTCTAGAAGAGGTGAAGAGCAGGTAATGTTTTCTCTTTTGGAGGGTTTCAGGCACCACTGCTTTGGCCTGATATAGTGATAAATAACAGCAGTGTTAAACCCACTCATTATGTGCTTCAAACACACTTTAAAGTGCTTTAAAACACAAACATATCCATCTCTAACATCCGTCACATTTCCTACTCTGACAGAGCAGACACAGACCCAGTTCTTGGTGTGTTTGGCTCTCCTCTCCAGCCCCTTCTGCAGGTGTGCACCGAGGCCGCCCGGCCTGCCGAACTCCTGCACCATCTTCTGGGTGTGGCTGAGCTCTTCTGGGGGCAGCAGGGGCTCCAGGGCCCTCAGGTAGCCCTGCAGGGTCTGGGCCAAAGGGGGCACAGGCTGGGAGGGCACGGAGGAGGAGAAACACAGCTCCTGCCTTAAGGAAACCTGGAAGGAGAGGGACAGTAGCTTAAGGATTTCTGCAGAACTGAGTGAAATATATTTGCTTATTGCACTGCAAACTCCCTTGATGGCACGACAAATCCAACCAAGACGTTTTAAGTCTACTTAAAGTGCAGATACAGTAACTCTGCATGTCAGCACAGTGAAATGACTTCCATGAAAGTTTGACCAAATGCCAATAAGAGCTGGGCACGGCGTATCAAAAAAGGAAGTGTGAAAGATATGATTGTGGAAACATGATCAGCTGCTTCTTAATCGTTTAACAACCCCGGTTGCTATAATAGCTATACAGTATGTGACTTAACGTTAAGTAACGTTATTATAAATTGCCAACAGTATGAGACTTTAGTTAGACAGCTAACTCTAAAAATAGATAAACGACTCACCCGAGACAGCCATGCTCTGCAGGATCCTGGTTGTATTTTCCTCAAAATCATGTTTCATTAAATCAGAAATCCACTCTGTGTTGCATCTGTGACACAAAAAGCAGTTTTGCCTTTATGTTCTGGTAACTTTTGAACAAAGCCCACGGCGTCAGACCGTCAAATAAGTGACGCCCAGCCCTCCTGCTTTTCCGTGGTGGATGTAGATTAGAGTCCTCATCGCTCGACAGATCCTAGTTTGAAAACTCTTCTGCATGTGATAAAAAAGCAAAGGCAAACCCCCCTCTCTGTGTTTTCTTCCCACAAAATGCGAGCATGCCAAGTTTCACGTACTGAACTGAGCTGGACTGACGCTACAAGCCTGCGCACGTGTTGACGTAAAAGTGTTTAAGGCCTGTTCCGTAAACAGCTACGTGACACGAATACCGCGTCTCCCCGCAGGATGTCGCTGTTACACCTCGTGATGGGGCTGTGTGATAAGCTTTAACGGAACAAGGAGCCTGGACAACAAGTAACAACATAACGTGTGTATACAACTTTGCATTATATATTACCTAATTAAGAGTATAATCAGGAAATGCACTTTCAATTAAAAATTATTTCAGGTTTCCATTCAAACACAAATGCAGGGCTTCCAACTTTTGAATTTAGGTTGGAGTGACACTTGGTATTGCTGAGGTCAATGTATTTTATGGGCAGGGCCCTGGGCAGGGTTTCTGTGACAATTCCACTGCACTGATTGTAACATTTCTGACATTTCTGTCTGCATCTCTACACACTTTTAAGCCAGTGCATTTAAAATGTGACAAAATATTAGAATATTCTGAATTATGAGAGTTCACATTATTTTTAGGTCCACCTGCCCTCTAAATCTGCTGTGCATTTGCCTGTGTGCAATATTCTCTGTCTCAATACTCAACTAGTGTGCAACACTCTGGTTAACTCTGTCCCAATACTGCAATTTTTAATGATTTTTAATCCATTCCACCTTAACACTATCAGTAGGCTACTCATTAATATTACTATTTATTCATTACATATCTGTCATATACTGTAAAATGCTGTACAAATGTCCACACTCCTATTAAACAAATACATTTGTATTTTCTACTTACCTATTTTCTCTTATTATTTCTATTTCTATAATGACTTGAAGTGTGCAACTGTAACACAAGAATTTCCCCTTGGAGATCAATAAAGTATTTCTGATTCTGATTATTGCTCTGCTGATATGGTAGGATCTCCTTCAGACCTCTGACAGACACAGAACTGTTTGGGAGTGACACCACAAATCTACACAAATGTTAACTTTAGCACCTCTGATAAAGCTCTGTCACAAACCAGCTGCGACTCACAGAGCGGGTTCACTTGATTACATTATCAGTTATACATTTGTTCTTCATTGCATGAGAAAGTTGATGTGTGGTGTGACAGCTGTTGAAAAGTGTCAGTAGGCTCATGCTCAGTGCATGAGAGTTGGCAGCTATGCAAATGTTCTTTTACATCGTTTTTATATGGTGTTGAAAATCCAGCCATCTCTGGTCAGTACAGTTTGTGTTTTTACCTACAAATTGAGCTTATTTAAACGGACACTTTATTTACTGATGTAAAGTTCAACTTCGCAGGAAAGATATGTTACAAAAGGTATATAACTTATAATGTATATATTTTTATTTCTCAGGTGTAATCTGCTATTTTTAAACTATGTATTTCAATATATTTAACAATATATGTGTTTAGAAAAAATATGGTAAGATTAAATTGTCAAAGGTCAAGAATAGAAAGTAAATGTACATATACTGTAATTAGAATATTTTCACCATAATTATATTATTTATGTATTTACAAGAACAACTGTGTTCCCTGGTCCCTGGTGCTAGAAAATACATGAAAAGGGACACTTTCTGTGCTTGTACTATTAACAAAGAAGAGACAAAACTGTTGTCAGAGATATTTATTAGATTTTTTCTCTTGAAGCCAGCTTCTTCATAGAAAAAAAAATAGTTTGCCTCTTGTTTCACCAATTAAAATACAAATTCACAAACAATAAAAACTCTGTATATATTGTATTATAAATGTAATAAAGCCAAATGTCAAATATCAGCTGTAATATGATGAAGCTAATCTGTTAATTTAATCGTTTGTGCTCTCAACTCTGCTTCCTCTCAGGGAGTTTCACTCACACAGCTCTCTCCACTTATACATGACAAAAAAAATCCTTTATTTACATCCATACACATTAACTGAACTGTTACCAGAGTTGTCATTGTGAACAGTAAGGCTCAATTAAACCCCACAAAAGACATAAACTTCTGAAAATTGTCCTGCACACATTGCGCCACCCATATTCCTGCAACGTTCAACACAACACCCACTGAGAGGAGGTTTTTCCAAAAGGCTTCATACAAGAAAAATATAAATATCTTATATAAATATACAAGTATCTATATAAATTGATCTTCATATCATCTGTATGGGCAAATCCAGCAGGCACATGAAACCAGATGATATAAACATTGCTCTTCTGTGCTGACTTAAATTTAGAAAGTAATTAACATAAAAGAAACTATCAAATATATTAACTAAAAAATAAAATGTTATTTGTTTTTATTATATTGCATAGACAAGTGATCCTTCATCACCCAGCCGTGCACACCTGAGGGTATTTTATAATATGTACCATACTTACATTCACATTTGTCCCTAAACTTCCCTGAAAATAACACCAGGAGATATTTTACCCAGTTAACAAAAATTCTGTTTCTTATTGTTTAACTGCATGAATCAAACTGTGCTGTACATTTCTTCCTCAACATTCATTCATTCTGACGCTAAATGAAACAAAACACCACACCGATTACAAACACTCACTTCAACACTCATTTCAACAATTTAAACTAAACAAAACATAATCAAAATCATGTGATATTGTTCAACAAAATGTTGGTCAGCTTATCACATGGGCAATTTTGGCGAGATGACTGGCTTCTAACAGAGAGACGGAGATGGAAGGTAAATAAGATGAAGCTAGGATTTTCTATTCCATTTTGTTTTTGGAGCTGACTTCGTTGAGTTCACCAACAGTGATATTTACGGCTTTGTGAGGACCATAAATGCAACTATACCATTCCAGTTGCTCTCTCATAACATCAATTCTATGTTTTAAATTGCTGCATTTAAAACCAGAGTTGTGTTAGATTTTTAATCTTTAGGCCTATATTTCTTCATTATGCTGAGCTTGCCCGTGCGGCTAACCTGCTACCAATTGCAAAACTCTGGAAATTGGTTGGTTTATTGAAAGGACGAGTCTGGCGTTATTCTAGGGGTTTTTTTATTGTAAAGAAATCCCACAAAAAGACCAAAACCAACAATAGTTTAAAATGACAATATTTCTCAGTAAAATGTATTTACCATAACCACCACATTTGACACTGGATTTTGCTCTCCTGACTTTGAGTGAATGCAGAGTCTAAAATGGAGGACGCTACAGTAACTAATTAGCCATGTTACACCATTAATTTTTATTTAACCTCCTCTGTCGGAGTGTAAACTCCCCCGCAAAAGAGCTATGAGAAAGGAGTCGATGCGACAAACACATAAACTGTATGAACTTATTGTTAAATTAGTGACCAAGCTAATGAACTTGCTAAGCAACATTTAGCTTGCAAACATTTAGCATTCTGTTAGTTAGCAAGCTTGCAAGCTCAGAGAGGTTCATTATTTTTATAACTCTACTGAATTAAATAATTTCTTAAAACAGTGGGGATGAACAGTGCAGAGAAAATAAAACCGTTTGGAGAGGTTTTGTGAGTGACTACCGCTTTAGTAAGTCTCACTGTTAGTTCTTCCCTACCCTGTCTATGATACTCAGCCCAAAGCCTAATCACTGTTTCTAAACATTTAAATCTTTAATAATGGTTGACAAATAGATTGTTTTACTTTTTTTAAAAAGGCTCTGTAAAACTGCTGGGCACTGTAGTTTTTAGCTAATGTTACTCGAATAGGAGTAAATTACATAGGAGCAAGAACATTTGCTGGGGCCTATTTTTTGCATCAAATTAATAGATATTTATTGTGGAAGTGAGTGTTTACAACATGTGGGAATTGACTCAAAATAATGCTCTAGCACAGTGAAATAAGCTGTACCAGACATTTACTTCACAGGACATACTACAGAAAAGATAAATGGATTGTTGATTTTGGTCTTGGATTTTGTTGATATTATGAAAAATAAGCCATAGAATAATGCCAGACAGATAATTTAAGGAAAGTGCAGGCACTCTGGCCTTCTTCTGTGGTGACAACACAGTGAAAATAAACAGACAAGAAACTAAAATTTGCCATCTAAAGTCCAAACCTGTGGAGTGTTTCACAGGAGACCACAGAAGTCACCATGAATGGCAAAACAATCTAAATCCATGATCTCACTCCTTACACACTATGTTTCTTGAGAAGGGGGTGACACTGACCCACTCTTAGACCCCGACCCGTTGTAATCCCCACGTTCTTTATGCTTTTGGATATGACCGATCCTCCCTCTACTTCATCCTCATCCTCCTGCACGTCCTCTCCCTGCAGTCTCCACGGATCATGAGGGTAAGGGGTATAAGCCAGCATGGAGGTCTCTGATGGGTACTCACAGACCTGCTCCAGCTGGTCCTCGTCGAAACACACCTTTCCCTGTAAACATGAGTAAAGAGAGGATTACTTTGCTCCGGACAAATACATTACATTGCATTAAATACATTGCTCTAAAGAAATGATTGGCTCAGCTGAAGATACTGAACAAGGACTGATATCTGACATCCACTTCCAAGACATGTAAATACTTCTATAAACACCTTCACATGTACCGTTTGGAAATAAAGTTCTTCATCAGAAATGGGGGGCTGTGTTTTGCATGTTTTGTGTTTCTATTCTGCTCTGTAGTGAGTAGAGGCAGCTTTGTGCATCTCCATTGTCATCTATTGACTGAAGGCAAAATGGTATAAACATTTTTTAAAGACTGGGGGCAACTTGAACTCAAGCATGAAAGACTGGCACAAAAGTCGGACAAAGAAACGGACACTACATTAATCAAAAAGTTGACTCATTGTCGATGCCACTTACACACTAGATTTGAATACTTCTGCTAAAGTTACCTTTAATTCAATTGAAGAGATTATCAGGAATTAGAAAATAATTCATCCTCTAGTGAAATGACGGGAGAATCTTCCACAAAATAATTAAAAGTTTAAAGAAGAGCATGTCTGTTTCAAACACGCTGTGCTTTCATTATATAACAAATTATTTCAAAAATCAAAACAAAACATTGCACGCAAATAGCAAAGACAATCTGTAGGCCAAAGCGCAGTATACTTCCTATACCAACTGTTATTTCCTCTAACGTGCTCATTTGGTCAAATGTGAACACAACTTTGAGGTACTGGAGGGAGAGATGTTTGTAATCTGTCAGTATAATGGAAACTGACAGCATGAGGCTTAACACAGCAGAAATACTCCCTCTGCAGAGCACCAACTGATTGAACACTTCATGCACTAACTTATTGATTATTCAGGGAAAGACTTTTATCACACAGATCAACTATTATGCAGCAGCTGAGTTGGTTTGAATGAGTCCTGTTAGTGTTTGGCATGTCTATGCCTGGACTGACGGATATTTGCATGGAGTTTGTTTACTTAAAGGTTCCCAACAGGAAAACAGTCTGAAAGGTCAGCGCAGCACATCCACAGTTATGATAACAGCAGCTGCAGGCCTGGATGTGTACAGTAGTAGACATGATCTGGATGAAGCCTGAAACATACAGACAGGACACTGCACACATTATACGAGTTACCGCTGCTTCACCCTGGCTGTCTGCAGAGGAGTGCAGATAATAGCTCTGCATTAGAGAGGCTGGGCGAATCATGCTCAGGCACAGGAGGCTAATCCTCCCTCCCTGAACCCGATTAACCCAGGCTAACACAGCAGGACAGCAGAGGCACCGGGTGAGACAGAAACCGAAAGAGTTGGAGAACAATAAGATAGCAAAAGAGGGAAGTTTTCATTAGCAGGAATTCAGTATTTATAGTAATATCTGACCACACTTCTCAACAGGTTCAATAGTGCTTGGTTAGTAAGTTTCTGTTTGTGTTCAGAGAGATTTTTAAATTTGGGCTGCAAAGTTTTCATATTCCAGACTGACCCACAATATGTGTTTTATAGTTCAAGACAACAATTCAGTCTTTTCTAAAGCATGTTTGGGATTGCTTAGAATGGCATGGGTCATAAGGGGGAGGGAAGGAGGCCTGACGTCAAACCATCTGAAGGACATCAACGAGACAGCGACAGGTGGTCAGAGAATCACCGCCGTAAAGTGGTCACTCACTGCAGCTAAGGTGGACTGCGCTTATAGATGAATGTGTATTTCATTAGAAGTCACAGTAATGGGCCGATTGAGAGCTGGAGAACTTCATCCACAGAGCACAGCATCAAACCCTAGTTTCTTGTTCACTCTTGTGTCGATTACTATAGTCGAGTCTTTTGAAACAGTTGGCCCTGTAATAAAACAGTCTGAGTCGCATTTTGCGATTTAAACATGGATACTTCCTTGTGTCTCTTGTTCGGAGGAAGTGAAGAAGTTTGAAAGAGGAAGTGAGCAAAAACATGCAGCGTGACAGTTTCTGTTGGGCTGAATAACAAGCATTTAATGCCTTTAATCCTCTCAGTATGACTGTCAAACTGTCATTTGTTTTTGCCCTCCCTCAATTCTACTCTTTGTTGGCACATTAAACCACCGTCGACTTTTTCTCACATTTTTCTGTAACACTTCTGACTTCTTTCTCTTTCCATTTCACCCACGCCAAACTAAGAATTGGCGGCCTGCTGTCAGTAACGCTCAGCATAGCCAGCGGAGGGCCAGAAACTCAAAAACTGCTTGCCAAGACTCCAGTCTAACAAACTAAACCCCTGCTAGGAAACAGCCAAGAAGATACAAAGAGAGATTTGTCTGAGAAGAGGGGAAGGCTGACTCAACACAAATGGCAGAATTGGTGAGAGGGAACAAGGAAGCAGTCTGCAACACACACAGTTTCAGACTGAGGGGAAATTACCAGCAATTTAACAACCCTTACATAGAAAAATATCGTATAAAAAAACCATATGATTCTTCGAATAGGCAGTCAGGTGCCGTGAAACACAAAAAAATAGATTCATCACCAAAGGATGGTGTAATAAAGGACAGACATTTATTGCAGCTCTGCTGAGATAGTTTGTCTTCATCTCCTATATTACATAAAAGCTGCACGTAATGTTAGTTAAGCACTCAAAATGCAAAAAAAATAATAATAATAACAGGAGGATGGAGTTGGCTGCTTGTCATTGTGGTTTCCTACTCAACTTGTCAGTCTCCAGTGAAGCCTGCAACATTAACTGTTTTTTACCGCAGAAGCTTTAACAGACTAAGGGGTACTATATCAAACACTTTTATTTTATGTTGCACTTATAGTTGTCCTCATTTTAGATGCAGAGTTAGATTAGCAAACAAAAACATAAAAATATGCCTCTGTCCACATGTGCTTGGATAAAATATGTATGGTGAGACTGTTATCGTAAGGTAAAAGTCAGAAGTCTGCAAAGAATTAGACTGCAGAAGCAAATGGCAAAGCAGATCACTCCAGGATTTTATGGCTAAGAATCAAGATGTCGTGCTTGTTAAGGCTTTAACCGGCTTAGGTCGGTCTCTGTGATTGCACTTCTCAATCAACAGGGATGTTCTCCCAGTGAAAGGGGATTCTGCTTGACGACGAGGGACCATCAGGCAGGTGACACAAGGTGATGCCCTTCTGGCCCATCTCTGATGAATTTTAGAAAGTAGTAGAGCGACAATCCCTCTGATATCTGGCTTAGTCTCATCGCCATTCTGACAGCATTTTGAAATCAAAAATCTTCCAATTTGCCATTTTTGCAACATGACTTGCCAAATTGCTGTGAGATAAAGACAATTTCTCCTCCGCTTTTTATTACTTTGCTTACATGTATTTGAGTGAACACCACACACTATAAACAAACAACTACAATGTTCACTCACCCTTTTCAGGGTCCCTCTGTTCTTGACCAGACAGGACTTCTCCAGATTCTGATACCCGCCAATCACCTCAATCTCCTCCACTGTGGGGTACTTCTTCTTCACTGGCTCGGCCACAGCTGAGACAGTCTGGGCCTGCTGCGATGAGGCCTTTGTGGCTGTCACCCCTGCTACCTTGGGCTTCGTTGTGGACCCCGTCACTCCTCCTCCTTCCCCAGGAGGTTTTTTTGGAGAGATTGTGATGGTGGCACCTCTCTTCACCTGGCCTCCAGAGGCACTCTTGATTAAGAAGCGCACAGGTGATGGGGTGGGAGATGGAGAAACACTAGGAGACTGGGCAGGAGATGGAGAGCATGGGGAGGAGGCTGGGGTCGGGGCGCAATCTGAGGGTTTCAGAGTATTTTCCGGGGATTGGCTCCTGAGAAGTGAGGGGGTAATGGTGATAGTTTGGTTGGTTTGTTTGAGCACAGATGTTGGAGAACAAGTACGCTGAGGAGACACTGTGGGGTTTGATTCTGACGTTTCTTGATCTTTCTCCTGGGTCTTGGCATCGTCCTTTACCTGCTGCTTTAACACTCCTCTGGGGCTTTGCTGCCCCTTTGTCTCTCTGTCTTTGAGAGGAGTGTTTGGCGATGTACAAGATGTCAGCGATTCCTGCTCTTTCAGCTGAAACTGCTCTATCTGTTGCTGTATTGTCTGAACCCCAGAAATGTCATCACCTGAGAATGCTGTGTTGTCCCTCTGCTGTGCGTTTGACATGAGGGGCTTCACTTTAACAAGGTGCACTGATGGGCTGTCTACCGTCCTCTCCCTCAGACACAAGCCCGACCTCGAGCCAACAGTTCCCAAGTTGTAGATCCGACTCATGGCTGTGAGGGAGTTGGGGTGAGCTGGCAAAGGGGAGAGAGATTGTACAGGATCAAGAGGCGATGTGTATTCCTCTACCTCCTCCTCTGAGAGCTCCTTCTCCTCCACCTCCCTTTCTTCACCTCTGTTCTCGTGTAGGCTCCTGTGGCGCCTCAGCTGTTCTTCCACATGTTTCAGGAGGTCGTCTTCATCCTCAGATATCTGGAAGCTGTCAGAGATAACTTCGGCGGCAGCAGTGTAAAACTCGCTTGATGCTTCCTCTACTCTGACGGCTTGTGAATGTTGGACAGAAACAGGAAGTTGAGGGCAGCTTTTTAGCACGCTGACTTCCTGTGTGACGTCAAATGCAGTCACGGATGTCTGCGCTGCTGCGTCTTCCTGTGCCCTCTCTGCGTTGACCAGCCTCTTCCGCATGTCAGCTGCAGCTTCTCCCTCTTTGTCTATTTCAGTTCCCCTCTCATCACGCCTGTCCTCAGCTATCTGAATATCACTTGTCTCTGAACCTTCACTTCCACCTCCATCTTGTGCCTCTCTTTGTCTCTGCCTCTCCAGCTCTCTTTGTCTGATTTTCTCTCGCAGGGACTCGATGCGGCTCAAGGGTTTTCCGATCCTCCAGCTGTCCCTCCTCTCAACACCTTTACCTGCTTCCCAGTCTTGCCCCTCGTTGTTTTGACCTGTGGCCTTTTTACTCTCCACCATTTCTTCCGCAACGTAAAACACAGTTCTGGGGATTTGAATCTCGAGGGGACCTGGATTGATCCCCATTGGTGCAATCCTTTTCGGAGATCTGGGGGTTACATCATGAATGAGGTTCTCTGACCCAACATCACTGTATGTTTGCGCCTCCTGCTTGCTCTCTTTGTTCACTTCATAAGCAGCTTTGTAAGCCCTTCCTCCTTTCTCATTGCTATAAACAGTTGTGTCTCCTATTTTTTCTATTTTACTTATAAGATCCTCTGTCTGTTGGGACAAAACATTGGGTGGTAGGTAAAGTCCTTGTGGCCCTGTATCACTCCACTCGGACCCTCTATGGGGGTCACTGGCCCTATCTGTGACAGCACAGAGTAGATCGGAGCACTCTGTGAAAGCTGATTCATGTCTGTACTGACTCTCAGCAGCCTGACATGGACTGGCCAGCTCTGCTGTTGTAACTTCAGGTGGGATTGTGCTTTCGAATCCCTCGTCTCTCCGAAACTCAGACACCTTTTTGTCACAAACTTGCGCCTCAGTCCGTCCCCCCGCCTCTGAATCTTTTTCTACTCTCTGCTCCCTTTCTGAACCTTTCTCACCTGCCAGTCGCTTCACCTCTCTCTCTGCTCTCGCTTTCCCATCCTGCCTGATCGGTACTCTTCTGGCAAATGAGATTCCCTCTGTGTTTTTGACAGACGCCACTGTGAACCCCTCGTCTCCATGTGCATCAGCTGCCTTTTCTGCAGCCCTGGTGTCAACAGCCTCAACTTTCTTTACTTCACCTCTGTTTAGGATGGAGATTTCTGGCTCACTGCTACTCTGCATGGGCCCCCCCTTTCCATCCTCGTTTTTTAACTGTCTGTCTCTAAGCTTTCCAAACCTGTCTTTATCTAAAAGTCTTGAGCACCCCAGTTTGATCTTTGCTGTGGTTTCCTTCCCTGCTACGTCAACCCACGGCGCTATGCCCTTGTCTGAATGTATTCTAATTTTCATCTCATAATACCCATTGTCATCTAAACCATTCTCCTTTCCACAGATGACGCGGTCAGAGAAACTTAATGAGCGTTTTGGCACACCTTTTAACAGCATATTTCTCTCCTCATACTGCTGGTCATCTTCATCGCCTGAGTATTTTCTCCTACCAGGCCGGAGGAAATTATCAGAGCTTTTGGATCGAGATGGAGGCTTGGGGTGCTCTCCAAATTTACTCAGCAGCTGGCTAACCCTCCCTCCTCTTTCCACAAACACATTATCATCTAAGCTGTCCTTCCTGTCATCTTTAATAACTGTTGCCTGCCCCCATGGTCTCTCTTTCTCTTTTTCTCTTAGCCAGGATATGTCTGTTCTCAGCTCCCTGCCCATACTCTCCCTCCTTCCATCCATGCTGCACTTCATTTCTCCATCCTGTCTACTTGAACCTTTCCCTCCTCCTTCTCCTCCTACTGGATTCCTCTCTTCAGGGCTTGCTGGGGGCTTTATGATCAGAACCTCAGAGGCTCGAATCTCTGTGACGCTCCCTCCCCCGGCCAGGATCTCCCTCAGGTCCATCTTCATCCCTCTCTTCCCCTTGTGGTCCTCCTCAGGCCTCTCCCTCTCCGCTTCCCTCCATCTACCTCTTCTCTCATCGCTGCTTCTCCTGTCCTGTTCGATGATGATGATATTGTCGGCTCGGATGGTCCGAAGACAAGGGACGTTGGGGGAAAACGTATTAGATGGTGGATCTGTTTCTTTATCTTCCTCGTCTTTTCTTACTTTGAGGAATTCCCGCTCCCTGCCTGCATCTTTAACTGACTCTTTCCATTGGCTTTTATCTTTTTCCCATCCCTCCCTGCTATTTTCTCTTCCTTGACTCCTGTCTTTGCCCCTCTCTTTTTCCCGTCCCTCACTTAAATCTCTGAATCTTTCTATTTTCAGCTCTATATCTCTTTCTCTTCCTGACTCTCCATCTTGACCCCTGGGGCTCAATTTTTCTTTCTCCTTAACTTCTGGCTCATTCCCTACATCTGCATCTCTGCCCTTCCTCCACGAACTCTGCGTGCGAATAAATGGGTTTTCATGGACTGGAACTATAGTTTCAACAGACACCTGACTCACTTGTTTGAGGTCTGCATCCAGCCATTGCCCCAAATCTGGACTAAGTGACAGTTCGCTTCCCGGATTGACCGTTACAAAGCTGTCAGTGTCACTCAGACCATCAGAAGGAGATCTGACATCCACCTGCAGCAGACAGGCATCTCTCTCCTTTTCTCTGTCACCAAAACTGTCCTGTTTTGCCTTCCTCCGCTGGATGATCCCACGCTTCCAGGCGGGCATGCTGGCAAATTTCTCCTCCTCCTCCTTTTCTCTCCTCTCTCGCTCCTCCTCCTCTCTCCTCTTTTTCTCCAGCAGGAGTTGCTTCCATTCCGGCAGAGAGGAGACAGACATAACAGGAAAAGTGCCGGGTTTTGGAAAAGATGGTTGCCGTTCTCCTGTAGAGCCTCTGGGAGGGGTATGCAAATGAGCAAATAATTAAGTTTAATCAGTTCAAAATTGAACTTTTGGGACACAATACAGTAAAAGGTATTTTCAATGTTTAATAGCATTATATAAACAAATTGATCAAAAAATAAATTGATTAAAAAATCAATGTAGACTCACAAGGTGGGACAACATTTGTCAACACTAGCCTGCAGTTCAAGTTTATCTGTTGTCAACGGAGTCAAATTAACTTACACCACATTATGCACATTTTACAGTCTTCTTACCGTCTGCTTTAGTCTTATAATTAGGATGAAAATGTTAACTGAAACTCACCAAAAAAACAGTCTTTGCAAAGATATTACTGTATCTGCTTCGACTTTGCAGTTGTCATCTCCACTTTTGCGTCTTGGCTGTGCGTAATGCGCTCCACTCCTTGACGGTCAACCTGCGTTGCCAATAACTGATAACAGATTAATCCATGCAGTCAAATCCGATGGTTTAAAAACGTTGTGCGACCCAGTCACACCACCCCTCGACCTGACTGTGAGTCAGAGCATAAAAACTCCTCCGTGGTCGGTATAGTAGTAAATATTTCCAGCTTCAGAGCGGCAGCCCTGTAATCCGATAATTACATTAAATTCCTTCAGGAGTGTTTAGTGGCACACACCATATTGTCGGGCCTAAGAAAAGGCGTTTAAAGCGCACAGCCGTCTGCCCGGGCACCAACCCTTCATCCCCTTGTTCGTTTCATCCCTTCGTCCCGCAGGGCTAATTGGAAAAGAGGTGGAGGAGGGGGGTGGAACGGACGGGCTGTGGTGTCAGACGAGCAGAGCACAGAGCTGCAGGAGTTTACCGACCAGGCACGATCAACCTCACACACACGGCATACTTTAGTATTTTCCGTACTGATTTTTTTTTTAATGCCAGGTCATACATAACATGCAACTGTTCTTCCTAAAGACTAATGCTTGCTCCACTCAACAGAGGAATGGCTGTGAACAAGTGAATAAAACAGCAAACTAATCCTCTAATCCCCCTGAAAAGGCTCAAATCAATGCCAAAATACACAAAGTGATCATCTTAATACATAAATTAGTCTTGAAAATAGGCATCTTAGTGGAAACAAATACATATTTACCTGCAGGTTTGCTTTTATGCCTTAAATTATCTGACTTTATTCTGCCCTATACATGTTAAATCATAGATTCCAATACTTTAAAGTTTGAGTATGAGTGATATTTAAGAAAATACAGGTTGCTCTGCTAAATAGCTGTTACCAACTTTATTCTGTTTCTTCAGATTCCAGTGGAATACAATTGGTCACATCACTGTTGATGTGGCCCCGAAAAAATACAAAGGAACTGACGAAATACATTCAAAGTCTCAGAAAACAGACTTGTTTTTCTTTACAGCTGCAAATTAAAAACAAAACCCAAAACTGCATTTTTGTTGCTGTGTGAAATCTTAGTGTGATATTCGTCTCTCAAGGACAATGACAAGTTTGAAATTAGAGTATAGAGAAATACAGTGCATCTGTAGTTGGCACATTAATGTAACAGCCTATAAAAATATACTATATGAAACAAAACAAAAAAACATTCAGTGTAGTAAAAAGTAAAAAAGGAGCATTTTATTTTACATATGTCATAAATTTTGGATAAATCTTTCTTGTGATATAGAGATATAAATATAACAGTTACATTTTGTTTACTCAGAATTCAACAGTGTGTTGAATTTGTTAAGTTGTTAAGTGTGGCCATTCGTCATTAGCAATAAATGGCCAGAGCATGTTTGTTTGTTCTTATTCAACACAGCAGATAACCCAGCTCATTGAGAAGGCACTTTTGGAAAAATATTTATTTTTAAGACAGCAGTCAGCTTCACATCACAGCAGTAAGAAGACCTTCACTTCTCCTTGTGATTGCTATCGTCCAGGTCGCTGGTGTCGGCGCTGCCCCGGCGTGGCTCGGCGAAGAGCTGCATTTTGCTTTTCAGCTGGACACAGAGGTAGGCTAAATCCTGTTTGTCCAGAGAGTGTGCCAGGGCCAGGTAAGTCGACAGAGTCCCCGCCAGCAGGAGCCTATCCAGGGACAAGGCCGGCAGGAGCCACAGCACGACGGCCAGCTCCAGGCACACCGGGTGGCGGAGGTGAGACAGGAGGCGCTGGGCAAGCGGTGACTTGTGAGACAGGGGGTCCCCTAAACCAAAACACTCGTAATACACCTGAGAGAGACAAATTAGGTTTAAGAAGCAGCGCCAACAACAACGAGTAAATCTGTTTATGTAACAGGTTTTCATAATCACTGCCGCAGATTGCACTGCCCCTGTTATACACAGTTTAATTTTGTGACATCAAATCAAATTGAGGATAATAATCCTGAAGTGGGAGGATGTTTAATGCTGATTTGCTGTTGAATTAATTGGGTACTGAATTAACTGAAATGTCGATCCTCTTGATGTTTTCATCTGAGCCTTATGAGGTTTGTCTGGTGTAAATTATCTGAGGTTAGAAGTGTAATTCTGACAGTCACATGAAGTAAACAATCTTGTTTCATTACATTTCAGAATTACATGTTACATACTGAAACTTATTGTGACACATACTGTATGCACCTCAGTTATGGCAAGTAATCTCTTAGAAAAGTACACGTATCATACAGTCCTGCCTTAGAGTAATAAGCTGAACTATAAATAAAGCAGTGATGATTAAGATGAAAACCATCACACAATGATCAAAGAAAGTTTAACAAAATATAACTTAGGCTCATTGTTCTTAATTTTCACTAAACGTAATCTGTCAGATATTTTAAAAGGAATATATTTTAACTCATTTTCACCTAGATTTTGTGTCCCCTTGTATCCCAAATTTGTTCTGAGAGGACAAAAAGCTGCTGATTATACTGCAGATCAGCAAGAGTGCCTTGAAGAAACTAAGAAAATAATTAAAAGTCAAACTTCTGAATACAGTGTTGGGTCTTTATTTTATGTTGTTCACTTCTTTCTTTACTTCCTGTGAATTTTCAACTGTTTAATGTCACATAAAAGGCAAAAATATCCCAAAATTATTACAATTTTATTTATTAAAATGTAGTAATAAAACGTTCTGTGATTATTATTGAGTTAAGAACAGCCCACTAATGAAGCACAGGTTACCTGCTTGATGCCCAGTAGTTCTGGGTAATCAAAGATCACGAGGATGCTGCAGATGATTGCCCAGCAAAGGAAGTGCAGAGAGAAGCAGAGCAGAGGGAACCAGATACTCCAGGGTGCATGACGAACTGACCACAGACAGGGGGCGCCGGTCACAGGCTGCCAGTAGTGCATCAAGATCTAACAGGGGAGGACACAGAATAATGATACAGAGTGGTGCGAGGACACACACCACTCTGCACACACATAACATGTGTTATAAAGCCCAAAACATGTTCAACTTTAACTCCTGAAGACGCAATCCAATACAATAATATGACCAAGTAATTAATTACATTATAATTGTAACTTATTACTTTTCACTATAGCAATAAAAGCAGCATTATACACACTTTCAGAGTCTGAGTTTCTGTACCTGGAGTGCCAGTGCAGTGGTGAAGCAGTATGCTGTCCTGTTCAAGGGCCCCAGCACTGACTGGAGGGCCTGTTTGACAGGTGACCAGGCGAGCAGACTGTGCTGCGTGATGAAGAGAGCCAGCAGCCCCAGATCCACAGCCAGAGAGTTGAGGACAAAGCTGTCCTGCAGAGCCACTGACCATGGTATGAAGTCTTAGGTGTGGGCAAATGATGTGAACAAGAGGAAAAAGCTAACTTTAATAATGACAAAATGATTTGTCATTATATAAACAATTGTACAACTACAACCTCACAAAGCAGCTACCATTGATTGATTCTTTATTTCAATCTTTAAGTTCAATTAAATAAAAACTAAGATGTAGAGTGAAGCTGTAGCCAATTCAGCCAACCAAAAATATGAATACATATGAACAAGCTGCACAATCCAATCAATAGTTTAAAGTTATTTATAGTATAATACTATCCACCAATATACATACATATTTGAGTACATACATACAATAGGCTGCATACTCCTACCTAGTATCAATACATTACACAGAGAGATTAAACAATCACTGGTTTGTTTCTATTCTGCAATAAAAAATATAACTGCAAGTGTGATGTGGAACAGGCACAAGAGTTTACTGTCTACAACTACAACACACTACAACTGACCAGCCACGGCTAAATAATACACTGTTATCTATGAAGGCATTAAGAACACACAAGCACTGTTTGCAAGCACTCAAGCATTAAACATGCAACAGCAATATGATAGGCCTGCATAACCCAGGACCCTCTGCCTAGAGTTCCACTACACCATGGGCCTCTTTACAAGCTTAGGTCGTCCTTCTCATCCCCGTTGTGTTGAATTTAAGGAAACAAAGTGAAAGTTAAGTTATACTGTTTCTATTTTTATTCTGGTATCTAGTAAAATATACGTTGGGCTCGAACCCACCAACGAAAAGGCTGCTGCTCTAACGGAGACTCACTGTATTAGTTAACGGGCCACCTACTGAGAAGCGTCGGTAGCGAAGTTGTCATAGATTGTTAAAACAAAAAACTTACAAAGATACAAAGAAATCTTATTTTAATTACATTACAATAATAACGAAATTAAAATAGTTAAACCATTTTGAAAACAGTTTACAACAAATGTGTACAGCACTGACTTCACGCTAATACTCATCTGCTGTATAAAAAGACGCATATTGAAATAAACACAAGACAATAACCGTTATATATACGGTTACTGATTTGACGCCAGTCCCGGTACTTAATCTGTGCCATAAAGATACATCAGACCTGACAGGCGAAATACAGCAAATAAAATCCGGCAAATCAGAAAAAGATTACCGCCCAACGTGGGGCTCGAACCCACGACCCTGAGATTAAGAGTCTCATGCTCTACCGACTGAGCTAGCCGGGCACTGACCTCTGCAGGCCTACAGTCGATTTTAATACTTTTTCATTAGATAACCTCTGGTTACTTGTGAATGACAGAGACTGATGCGTAGCTGATACACAGGAGCTAACTTGCCACACCTATTTCAGTTATGGGGATTTTAGCAAACTATAGCAAAAATTTCATTAATTTATAAAACACTTTATGCGATGCAGGTGTTGTTTCAGCGCACAACAGCTACGAGTCAAGCCCTGAAAGCCATCTCATGTTTGCAAGGTTTCGCCAATAACTTCTCTACTAAAAGTTAGCTTAACGTTACTTCTCCTGGTCGCCTGCCAGCAGCAGTGGGACGCTTACCTTGACAGAGGGTCGTCTCTCCGGTGATGTTATAGTAAATGGCCCGAAATGATATAAACCGAATGAAATCTGCACCGGATATGAAAACAAACACAGAGTTTAGAAGAGACACGGTGCAGAGAACCCAGCCACGTACCGTGACTGACGCCATTTCAATCAGCGTTTATGTTCATTAGGCAACTTGCTCTGTGGTTCCTTCCGGGAGGGGAGCTTGTGGCAGTACCGAGGATTAACACACGGTGGCGCTGCTGCGGGGAAAGTCTGTATAGCACCTTCCAAACACTGCAGCCATTCAAAGTGCTTTGCAAACCCGAAGATACAATTACAGATACAAAGAAGCGAATAAAAATATAAAATTAATTCAGAAAAATTTAAGTTAAAATTTTAAATTTAAGTTCAATTGAAATACTTTAAAGACATTTGATATGAAAAAGATATAAAAGCTTGGTCAAATAAATAGTAGCAATGAATAAGGTTGTATATTTTATTATTATAGGCTAATTCATCCTCTTCAAGTCAAGTCAGGCAATGTGATAATGCATATTCATTATATTTGATCATATACTTCACTCCATACAGGATTCCAGAATAGATTAGAATACATACAACTTTATTTTCCAGCAGAGTGGAAAAGTGTGTCTAGCGCACAAAAACATAAAAGCAACAGAGGAAAATGAAAATATAAAACAAATATAGCAACAAAACATAACTGAAGTGTAAAAGTGTAAAAAAGTGTAAAACACTGCAAATATACAAATAAAATACAAAGTACTGAAACATAAAATAAAATCCAGTGGTGCGAGATTTGTGAGATCTGTTTGCAGTTGGAATAAAAGACTACTTTCCAAAGCTCAGAGTCTCAGTCTGAGAAAATAAAGGCTGAGAACTGTCATGGCTTCATCTCTTGACCTGACAGTAATCATATCACTCAGATTCCTCTGGGGTTTCCTAATACATTTTCTGGCCATGTAAACTATTCTAGACTATTCTTAACTATTCTGTCTGCAGTTCAGGTTAATGTTAAAACACCGTCAGTATGTTTTGTAAAATATTTCCAAGACTGACTGGTTCGCTTGAAAGCTGTTCAGTCTTTGAAAGAGAAGACATTGTGGGCATTTCTAGAAAATATGGCTGGTATCTTCAGAAACGCTAAAAATATTTGAAACAGTTTCAATAAGTTGGCCATCAAGTGCAACGTGCCCTGTTATGATACATTAATATTCAATTCCGTTTTACAGCAAGCCTGAAGAGCTTGTGTTTAGGAAAAATACACAGTTTTACTTAAGGAATCTGTAGAAATAATGTTTTTTTTAATCCACATTAGTAGGTCAACATTAACACCAATATCAATGAGCCTTTGTAACAAGATGTCTCTTTTCAGGGATGGTAAGAGCTGAAGAAAAGTTCACAGATAAAACCTGAAACATAGAAAGACAACAAAAAGGAGGCCTTCATCACAGTAAACCATGTAGTAAAGGTTGTATGAAATTTGAAACATATTAAATGACACCATTTACGTTTGAAGTGACTTTATTTTAGACATGAAATTGTGCAAAACGCCACAGATTCATCAACTTCTCTTTAATGTTTTACATTCACAAAACAAAGACCTGCAGAAAAACACATAGAGATGTATATCAGCCTGCTCCTGTCCTCAAATGAGGTTCACCTCACCACTATAGCACTCTACATGGTAATTTCTGTTAAATGATACCACTCGAATAGACTCTGTAGACCCCTGAAACAATAAACAAATGGAGATAAATTATTAAAGTAATTACTCAGAAAATGAAATATCAATTACTGCTATTTGTCATTAATTAAACAATGAATTCAGCTCACCTCAGTTGGCAGTATCGGCACTCTGCAGGCAGCACAGCGGGGCGCTTGGACCCTGAAAACATGAATGAGACTCAGCAAAAGGTCACAGAAACTGAACAGTGAAATCACTCCGGGCGTGACATGTGTGGCCTCCCTGGCAGGATATGGTTTCACCTTTTGTCTGGAGTGTGAGTTAAAGGGCTTGGCCCATTGTTGTTGTACAGTTTGTGTATAAGAAACTCACTTGTGGTAGTCTCTGACACAGTAAACCCTGTTATCTGTGTCTACAGAGAAGGGCTGACCCTCCAGGCTCTGTCTGCAGACAACACAGCAAAAGCAGGACGGGTGGTAGGACTTCCCCCGAGCCTGCAAGACCTGATGATGCAAAATGAGCTCTTCTTTACACAATGTGACAGCCAGTGGTGGTATGTATTTAAGTACATTTACTCAAGTTTGATTTAATTTGAATAAAGATTTTACATTAAAAAGTACAAAAAAGTTTTTAAATAAAATACAAATAAATATTTGTTGAAGATTAAACCAGTGGTATATATATATAAAGTAAAAAAATATGAATAGAGATTTGTGTGGTAGAACTGTTCTTCTTTCCTCTCCCATTAGTCATCTCATGGCCCCTTAGATCTATTTTGGGACTCTCGAGTGGCCCAACCCCTAGGTTAAGAACTACTGGGCAAAACTATCCAACTTTACTGTGTAAAAAAGTTTAAACTATCCCCACTGATCTGCTACTTTATTAATAATTAATAATATAATAATCTAAAATATAATAATATCTCAGAATTAAGTACTTTTATTTTTAAAACTTTAAGTACATGTTGATTATAATTTATAATTTATGATTTACCAAAGTAAGATTTTAAATGAATGACTTATATAATATTATTTAATGGAGTCCTTGGAGTACTCATCATGGTATTGGTACTTTTACTTAAGTAAAAGATCTGAGTACTTCTTCGACCACTGTACATACAGTAAATGAATGCTTACTCACCAAGTCCATGATTAAATGTCCGCAGCTGTTGCACACTTCTGAAGATGGATGAACTCCTGAATACTACATTAAATACCACAACAATGCACCCATTAAACGTCTGGCAGTAAAAACTGGATACAAATCATATGTTGGTGCAGCATTTAACTCTTCTGTATCACCACGCTAAAACAAGATGTTCTTACCAAAAAATCTTCCTCACAATAGATTCTTCCTGACACTGTATAAAATGGCTTGCTGCTGAGCTTTTTACCTACACACAAAACAGAGGAAAAGGAACAAGGTGAAAATGGGGATTTTCTGATTTTCACATTTGACATTTAACACACTTTTAGTTTGTTTTGTAAAAGACTAAAGTTCTAACTTTTATTGTGATTTCAGGCAGAAGAAATAGTGCTGAGAAATATTTTTCTTTGGACCAGGGCATAATAAAAAATCTAACAAATAAACAAAAATACAGAAAAAACATTTAGATAATGTACATAGAAAGATCAAAAGCAGGTTCATCAAAAAACCAGACTGCAATAAAAGATAATGATTAACAGGTACTAAAGAGATCCTGAAGGTGCAGTAAACTATACACAAACTAAAAAGCATGTTATTAAAGGGGTAAACATAATAAATAAGAGCAAATAAAAACAGTTTTGGTTATTTCACATAATTATTTTTGGATTTCTGTTCATGTTTTTCTCACTGGTTTAAGTGGGCGGGCCTCAGTTAGAAAATGCTTGGTTTCCATCAGCCGAATGTTATCAAACCACAGGCCTATTTAAAGTTGTAAAGTAAGTAAATTCAGTTAATAAAGGAGGTTTGAATAAGTCTGACCTGAGTTACCTTGGAAATGTAACTCTCCAGACTTGACTGGTAAGATAAGCTAAGATCAGCCTTTATTTGTCTCACAGGTGAGAAATTTCAACATTACAGCAGCAAGTGGATAGCATGGAATAAAGTAAATTGATAAGTGACATTAAACATAATACTAACAATATCAAAAATAAAATTATACAATACTACAATTACAATTATTTTTACAATTATAAAAACTATGTTTTTACACCTATAAAAACTTGGTCAGGTTAGTTCAGAGTTGGAATGTAAAATACATTTACTCAAGCCAAGCACCAGGCCAAGCAGATTAACTGAGTTTTTGAGTTATAACTACTTAATAAATAATACCCAATACTCAAGATCAATGTTTAATTTGATTGTTGCTTATGAATAGACTATTTAATGAAGAAATACATATGTCAGGTTTTGAGGGGCTTTAAGGTATGTTGGACCCTTAACGTTCTACCAAAACATCCACTCTCACATCAAGAGGACTCACTGCAAACGCTGCAGGTAAAACAAGCGTCGTGAAATAAATGTCCCATCGCCCGGCAGGCACTCCCTTCCCCCTGCACTGCTTTACTGCAACCTGCACAGCTCCCTGAATACAGACCACAAACACACAATACACAAAGATGAAATGCAACACTCACACACCTGCTGAATAATCATCTGTTTTAAGCCTGTAGAGTGCTGGAATAGATTAAAATACCATATTAAAGAGGTAGTATAGTCAGTGTATTCCTTCCTTACCAAAGTAAAGATTAGAATTATAATTTGGGTCCATCTCCTACAGTATTTTTCCCATTTGTCTCCGCCTGCTGGAGCCTACAGTACGACTGTCTGGGGGTCTAATTTTATGTGCGGTGCAGACAGCTGTAAGGGGAGCTGCTCTCTGGGTTTATGGGTGTTGCATTTGCTGCTTTTGGTTTGTCTGTGGTAACAAGCCTTCAGACCCCCTGACTCCTCCAGGGTGGCTGGCAACTAGTGGATGGCAACTGGTATATTTTAGCAGAAGTTAGGAGACCACAAGGGCAGTATTTTGATACTAATGGTGCTGGATCTGCATTTAAATTATCAATTTACCATTCAAATAAATGTTATTGTCATTGTGGGTGGGTGTGAAAAATGTCCCTAAATTCTATGAAACTGAAGTCACTTCTTAGCTGCAGAGAATACCTCATTTCAATCAATTTTCTTGGTTTCACTAACAGCGATTCTGCAGTGGAAAAAGTATTCAGATAGTTTAAGTAGAATGACCAGTCCAACAATGTAAAAGTACTGCGTTCCAAATCTTACGTAAGTAAAAGTACAGAAGTATTATCAGCAAAATGTACTTTAGTATTAAGAGTAAAATAACATTGTTATTATTTTAAAAGCAGCTTTCTACTGCTTTAGCTGGTTGAGGTGGAACTCATTTTAATTACTTTCTTAACAGGTTGTTTAGTCCATTAGTTTCAATAGGGGTTAGGGTCAGTCCAAAGGGTCAGAGAGGTCAGGAGATGGTTAATGCGGCAGGAAAGGCGAAGCAATTTTATTTGTGTAGCACCTTTCAACAATGAGACACTTCAAAGTGCTTTACACACACACACACACACACGTATATATATATATATATATATATATATATATATAGAGAGAGAGAGAGAGAGAGAGAGAGAGAGAGAGAGAGAAGGAACACAAGGCAATATAAAAAGACACATAAATATGATTTCAAAGGATTTAAGCTACATAAAATAGAAACAGAGTTTAAGAAACGTAGGCTACAAGTACTACAAAATGTTAAGTACAATACTGAAGTCAATTTATTTTCCATCACTGCAATTCTGTAAGGATGGATGAAACAAAGTTCATACATGACAAAAGCCATGGTCCATTCAAAACTCTAACCTACTTTCAGATGGTAGTGGAGGGTTTCTCACGTTTTTGCATGTGTACCAGTAAGAGGAGACAGCTCCAAACAGCTCCCCATTATTAAATATTTTAAATCAACTGAAATCTTCTTCTTTGTGCATGGATAACCAATCAATTAAATCTCCAGTCTTGTATAATAATGAGTAATATTTTGCCAAATGAGTGTTAACATAAGCTGCTGTAACTATGTTAGCCCTCACTTACTAATAGGGGAAAATAAATTAAATAAATAAAAAAATATATTAAAAACATGTTAATAACAAACAGGCCTGCTTTTTTTAACCAACAGTGTCCAAAATCTTTCAAAAAAATTAAAGAAATGCAATGATTGGTGCTATTGTCTGCTTTACTGCAGCCTTACACCTGTGTTTACCTCAGCTTTTCTCATTCTTCACACCTTTTCAAATGTCTGCGCATGTATAAATACTGAACCTTAAAAAACTTACAAACTGCTCCTATGTTTTGTGTTACTGCCCTCGTGTGGATTGTTCAGGCCCTTCATTCTGTGACTATATATTTTACGTACTCTTCTTCTATTTTCATGGATCTTTCTCTGATTTATGTTTCATATTTTCTATTTAAAACACAATCTGTTCTGTAAAATAATAAGTAAGAAGATGCCAAACATGTAGACAAAACTACTTTTGATGACCAACTAAGCATTTCACAATCTTATTAGTCTATGATAAACAACAAACCAGTATTGATAACACCACTGGACATGTTACACAACCTATATTGTCTCCAAACTGGCATGCTACTGGCACCGGAAACTTTAATGAAACTCTCCACAGCACATGTTCTACAGTAACATGGGAGGGGAGTGGGGAGTCTGACAGCTGCTGATTCTTCACTGAGGTCCCTTGTTGAGACTCACTGAGGCTGTCTAAACTCAACACACCACCCACTCTGCAAGCTGTCAGACTGGTTCAACAAAAATACTCAGTGTCACTTGTGTTTCATTGCAAAGGTGCATGTGTGTGTTTTATGGATCAAAGTGCTCTCATAAGGACCTATAAGGACAAATGAGAGTATTGTACCATTTTCACTCGTTCATCTGTATTGTTTAGTTTTGTGGTTTGTGCGTGTGGTTTAGACAGGAAAATATGTTGAAATTAGGCTACAGGAGTCAAAACTGAGGCTAGCTTAGGCTGGTGTTGGATTTACGGATCATTTTAGGCATTCTGCAATTAAATTATAGGTAAATTATTAAGGTGACAAGCAGCTAAAGCGTTCAAAAATGTAACACAAACGTATGTTTGTGAGTGATCTTGCCCTCAGGTATGTTACTGTGTAGGAATGTCTGCGTCATGGGGGCATGTGGAGGCAGGAGCCTCTGCAACATGGGAGTGTTGTACACAGTTTAAACCTACTATTAGATATCACACACAGTTAATCACATTTTCATCATCATTTCACTGTGGAAAACAATGCACCTGACCAGGCACAACCTGGTTTTAGAATGTAAACATATTGCTTATTTTAACTGTCACCAGAAAGATCCCTCTAGGGACTAAATTTAACCATCTTAATTCCTGATGTGTATAATATTATTCTCTTTAAATTATATTATTAATCAGAGGCATGTAACACTATTCATTTTGGGTATTGAAACATAAAGTAACCTCTACTTTGTGCTCTGTTTCCCGCACCCTTCTCCTGCCTCATTTTGGGGATACACAGCACGATGCCAACAATCCTTGGCATGTTTGGCTGTTTATAAATAGGGCACCCATTGTGCCACACAGTGAAGTCAAATAAGGACCTCGTGTCTTATCAACAGTCTATATCTTACGTATCAGCTCAGCAGTGTTTCGGCTCAAGGGAACAACGGCAGGGCCCGCTCCTGCTCCTCCAACGGTCAAGTTTGGGCAGGTAACCTACCTGTGGTCCACGCCCTCCGCCGTAATGCTGAGCAGGAAGTGGCTGTCAACGCCTTCGCTGTCGCTGGAAAGTGAATGAAAATGCTACTGCGTGTTTGAGAGACAAACAGCACCTTTAAAAAAAAATTTTACTAACTACATTTTTAATAACAGGAAATTCCTCGTTTTTAATGAACATGCGGCTCAGTGCGACCTGCGCGCTCCTGGGACTTTGGTTTTTGACGGTCTTCGAATCATCAGGTGGGATAACAATGTCTCTTAGCTAGAAACATAGGCACATTTTCATTTATTGTTTGGTGACGCTGTGTTTACCTGGTTCCCCTTTAACTTTATTGCGTTCCGGACAACATCATGAAAGGCCCTGATATTTATTCAAGTTTCCATTTTGTCAAACATCGCCTACTAACCGAGATGAGGTCATGATGTCTGTTGTGATAAAGCGTGCTCAGGCAAACCTAATGCAAATGGACTGTAGCCTATGCACTCACGATGAAATGAGTTATGTTTTAAGCTGTCTGTCAATAAATTAAGAGGTAATAGAGGACGTTAAGTCAGCGTTATGTATGATTGATTGACTTGACCATGGAGATGAAAGGCTGAAGCACATTCACTCTCAGTCCTGACTTCTAGTCCTCCATTTTCTGAAAGTTTATGAGACATTTATGGAGCTTCCTGGAGGCATGAATTCTTCATAGCTTCATTAATGATTGACTAGCAATCTGCTGCTGAGTTATGAATCTGGCGGGCTGTTTATTATATTGTTTGCTATATTTAAGCTCAGTGATTTCTTCCCCTCTGCCTTGATTCATGTTATGGGCAAAAGTCAGCAGCAGCATGGTGAATTTATTCTCTTTTAGAGTGTTTGTGGAAGTTATGATATTTATATTTTGCCTCTAAATATGACAGAAACCTGTGACATCTTTGACACACCCATATTGTTAACTGTCACATGAAGCCCTCTAGCCAACTGTTTGTGCTATATTGCTCTGCCTTGTTTTCAAGTCCTTGCAAGTTCAGGTTGTGAATTCCTGGTGTATTGCTATGTGTGAACTAACCACACACCTTCATTTAATTCAAATCTATTACTGCAGCAACAAAACTGCCACCAGGGTTAACATATATTGCAATGACTTATTTATATACTTTGGGCGTGCCTTTTAGTTCAGATTTATTAGAGGATGGTTTCATAAATGTATTTGGGATTTTTCAAGTTATATTTTTGATTTAAATCCTAGACTGCAAACACTAGGAGGGACTGCAGAGCTTCAGATAAGATCCAAACAAGCATAATTGTGATGTTTTGTTAAGTCGCTGGGAGACCATTTTCGGAGGAGAGGAATTTGTGGAAAGCAGAGCAGTTAATATTTGTGTATGCAGCTGGTGTATGTATAGCTATATTTGTATTTGTGTGTGTGTGTGTGTGTGTGTGTGTGCATATATAAACTATAAATGCTCTCATGGGTATGTATTTTCTTTCTTTCTCTTTTGTGCATTATTATTCTCTATGATTTTCTTATTTAAGAAGTTTTAGCAAAATCAATAGAATATAAAATTATAGTATAGTATAGAGTATTCCATTTAGCTAAAATACACGTGTATCTCTATTTTGAGGCCAATAACAATATCAATATTTGGGAGTTAAAAAAATCTGATAATGATATATCTGACATTTACACGGACACTGATATATCTACATGAAGTTATTCTCGGCTGTTGTATAGAAAGTATTCTAATGGAAAAGGACATGATTTAAGCCACTTAAGCTGCACTGGAACCACAGGGGAGACCAAAACAGGGACAAATGTGAAACCAAACCTGTAATGTAGCTTTTCAGCTGCTGATGTATAAAATTACAGTAACAGTATCACCTAAAAAGGCTGCGTATGCACAATTTCAGTAAAAGAAGAAGCTTGCATTTACAATATACGAGTCAAATATCACAGAAACAGCAGTTACTCGTGCTTTTAAAAACTGGTTCACCTTGAGTTCTTCTCTTTTCTCACAGCTAGATGACTCGGGGGTAATGAATTTGCTTTGGTCTGTCACTACACAACATGGGGATAGGTGTGCCTGGGTGCCTGATACCACTGTTTACTCTGTTAGCGTCAACATAAAACTGTTTGTGTGGGCGTTTGTGCCTTGATACCTTAAATTGTTATACAGGAGAGCTGGACAGTGTGAACTAACTAATGTCCACTCATCTTATTCCTTCAGCCCCCTCCAATGTTAAAATACGGCTTCTACAACTAACTGTTTTTCATTTTTAATTAATCTGCTGATCGTTTGTTCATTATATCGTTTTGTCTGTGAACTGTGAAAACCAGAAAGTATCCAGTTTAAAATCATTATACACAATGAAAAGCAGAAAATCCTCATTTTCAGAAGGCACAGCAGTGTTTAAAGCTAAATGCTAATGCTTACAAAGACAATGCCAACATTGTGATGCTAAGCAGGTATAATGGTTAAGTTATAATTTAGTATGTTAACATGCTAACATTTTCTGTTGATCAATTAATCAGTGAATCGTTTCCGCTGTATTGTTGAAGATCAAAGAACTGTTGTGAAAATATTTTTATGAGGAAGAATGTTGTCGCTTGTGTATCCAAAGACCCAAGTCCAAATATGGGAATATTGATCTCAAGGAGCTGAAATGCAGTTGCAAACGGACAATACTGGCAAAAAAAAATTTTTAGATCACAGTTTATAACATCTTTAAGGCTATTTGCAGCTAACTCCCTCTGATCTGTTCCCTCAGAATGCCTACAGATGGTGCGACCAGACAAAGGCTCGACAGTGACGGTGTCCACCGAGTTGGATGAATGTACTGTGTGTACAGTCAGCGGGGGGAATGACACACAGACATGCCAATCTTTTCTGTCTCTGGTACCTGAGGAAGAGGTCCAACTGTTGTTCAAGTGCAACCAGCCCATTGAACAGGCATATAGTGTGATGATTAATCGGACCATTGGTGAGTTTACAGATGATCTTATGATGCATACAGTAAACTAGTCTTAGCTTTACAGGTCTGTATTTTCAAATATACTCAGCAAAAAAGGTCAATGAATTAAAATTTCTTCGCATATTGTAGGTTTAAACATTATCATATGTACAAACAACTTTTATAAAAATGTCAGCATATTTTATCTTCTATGTAATCAAATAATTTGAATATTTGGGTTTTTACTTTCAAATTAGTGGTCAGTCAGCAATTTTTTTATATTGTTTGGTTTCATTCAAGTGGAATAGTGAATAGGCCTGAGTTTACAATGTGTAGTTGTTTCTGTTAGCTAGTGGGATCGTCGCTCTTTAATAAGATCAACCATATCAGATGCTGCATATTAGCTAAAAACCCCAGCCCCCCCATCATTTTTGCCTGACCTCATTCCACTGTGCCTTAGATATTCTGTAGGTTGCTGTGGTGCTACAATTCATTTAATTCCCATGACTTTTAATGTTTCTGTTTAATTAACATACATTTCTGTTAATAAATAAGAGACTTGCAATGTGCACCTTGCATGAGAGCTGAATTCTCATACCAATCTGTGCATTTTGTTGCGCTTCATTTGAATCCAGAGTGCACTAAGGACGCCTGCAGCCCTACAACAGTAGAAACTCAACCCTCCATCCTAACAGAGTTCACCAGAACCTTCACATGGGAGCTGAAGGCACCTGAGAAGACAACTGTGAGTCTGGACATCCTCGGAGAGGGACTGATGGCGACGTCACAGCAGTGCCCTAATGGATTTCAGTATTCGGTGGCCACATCTAAAACAAATAGCAAGGGCCACACTCAGTATTGTCAAGGTGGTTCTGTGACTCGTCTAGACCTGCCCAATGAAGCTGTTGTGTCTCTGCAAGTCAGTCCAAAGATTCAGGTCCAATCTGTGTTGTTCCAGGCCTCCGCTGGACCGTTAAGTAAGAAAAATGTATACAAACTATTTTAAGAAAGCCTGTAGTAGCATTGTTGATTTTATTTTATTTTTTCTTAAATTCAAAATTAACTTGGATGATTTTAAAGTACATTTCACAAAAATAACTTCAAACTACAAAACATTATGCAAATAAATGGCTGTATTAAGCCTACCTTTAATGATAGCTTCATATAGATATTTTTCAGTAGTCCTACTGCATGAATTTTACAGACACATATTTCTCCTTGTATTCATTTGTAAATTAAGCAAAGTCATAGCTACATTTACAAACGATTGGTTAATAATATCGTCTTGTCCCCTGAAACTGACATCTTTGGGAAATTCACTTATTTGCTTTCTTGCAGTGAGTTAGATGAGAAGATTGATACATGGTTATACGCTAAATGTGAAGCTGCTAACAACAACTAATTAGATGAGGTCATGCTGTCTGTTGTACTAAATTAAACTAAATTAGCTTATCACAAAGCCTCAAAACGTGGAAATCGTTAGCCTGGCTCTGTCTAGAGGTAACGTTCATAAAATATGTTAAAATGCTCTTGTTTGTTTGAGCCACACAAAGACCAAATGTGTAAATTACAAACCACTTCTGTGCCAGACTATTTCGTGGTCAGGACCAGTTGCCAGGCAGCCAGCAGACTCCACAAAGTTATTGGTTCCAACCAAGAGTAGGATTAAACAGACATGGTACGTATTAATGCATGAGTTTAGAGCGCTTTAGAGGCGTTGGTAGGCTGATTTACCAGACCAGTGGAGCCTTGGCTAGCTGTTTAGCTAATTTAGCCAGCTGCTGACGGACGTTTTCATATATAGCATATAGAGGGTGGTATCAATCTCATCTAACTCTTTGCAAGAATGCTTATTTTTTTTATTTTTAAGTTTAAATTTAATTTCACATGATTTCACTAGTCTGAGATTAGCTAATAGCCACCAAGACCTTAAGAAGGACTTTATGTACAGACCTAATGATGGATTTTTATTTACAAATAGCTATTGCAACCTAATCCTGGGGTCTGTCTCACTCTCTCCTTTTTACCCCCTGTAGAGGGCCGAACAGTGGTTTTAAGTGTTGATTCCAGCACAACTGTGATTGTTAGCCGGGATCCTCAGGAACCAGAATGTGAAGTGTGCTCTGGCGATGGCTCCACTTCCAAATGTAGCCCTACAGAAAAGACACTGACGAACGTTGAAAAACTGTTGCTAGAGTTCAGCTGCCCAAAACCTCAGGATGTTTACAGTGTGAAGATGAAGAAGAGAATAGGTGAGAACTGTGGAGTCTACATTTCAAAATTTACTTCAGTTACCATCAGAATTTGAGATTGGTTAATTTGGGATTAACTATACATTAAATTCTCGTGGATATAAGACAACAAATTACTTATTCATCAATAAAAATAAATAAAATACTTAAACAATTGCTGGAATAAATACAGAAATATTTTTTTATTAATTAATAAAATAAAAAATTAATATATAGAAACTGTAATGAATACATAGTTAAATGTTAAATTAACTAAATAAATGTTGGAAATAATTTTGTATATGAATGAATCTTTCTGTCTGTAATTATTTATTTCTGTATTTCTAAATTTCTGCTTTTATATCTTTATTTACTTCTATGAAATGAGTAAAAAGATTAATTAAGTTTGAAATACATAAATAAATAAAATTGGTAAAGAAACATAGAAATAAACAAATAAAGATTTATAGAAATGTAGAGATGAATGAAATATATTTATTTCTGTCCCAATTATGACCATTTATTTATTTATTCAGTAATCAAAATATTTATTAATAATTTCTTTAATTATTTCAGAGGTTATTTATGTATGTACTTTTTAAAATTTATTTATAGATGATTGAGTGATGTTTTGTCCTCCAAAGGCATGATACTGGAAGTCTGTATAAAATTCATATGTCAGTCAAACATTTTTTTATCCAGAATGCACCAAGAGCTCCTGCACTCCTGCTGCAGGAGAGGTTGATCCCAACCTCTTCAAGGACTTTAGAAGATCCTTAACATGGGACATTACTGTACCAGAGGCCACTGTATTAACTTTGGACTTTGCTGGTGATGGATTAAAGGAGATATCTGGAGCAGAAAATTGCCAAAATGGCTACCAGTACTCAGTGAGTACAACTAAAAGTGACGGAAAGATCAAAACTAACAGCTACTGCGAGGGTGGGATATTGTCTCATCTTGAACTGGTTGGAGTGACGACTGTGACTGTAGAACTGCCCAAAGAAGGAGAACTGAACTCACCAGCATTCACTGTCAACGCAGCACCTAGAGGCAAGTGTTTGATTAATAGCTATTTATTTTACAAAGACATATTCTTAAAAACTGATGCTATGTCCTTCAAAATGAAAGATGCTTCATTAAAATATATTAATTTTACATAATAGTGCAAAGCTCTTTCCATGGGTATAGTTTGGTGACTAAAGCTTAAATGTTAGCTTGAACATGCTCATAATCACATGCATGCTAATGTTAGATAGGTATGATGTTTACCACGCACACCATCTTAGTTTAACACATAGACTGCATATAGTTTAATGTGTTAGCATACATTTGCTGATTGGCACTAAACACAAAGTACAGCAGAGGCTGATGGTTATGTCAGTAATTTTGCAGGTATTTGGTAATAAACAACAATAACAACTTTTTACCTGATGCTGGCACTAGATTGAAAGTTAATGGATAATCAAAGTTATTAGATTTTGTCCTGACAGGGACATGAATTATTGAACCAAGTGTTATGGCAATCAGTCCAATAGTTGCCACGATATTTAAAAGCCAAAAATGTGAATCCTGTTGTGACACTAGACTAAATGTTTGGCGATCACCAAAGTCGCTAGGATTCATCCCCTGATGTATGTACTTAATATTATGGCAATCCATCCAATAATGTCTGGACCAAAGTGATGGCGCACACACACACACACACACACACACTGCTAGCATAGCTAAAAAGTGGGGACTGTATACATTATACTGATGTAAACCATTAAAAGAATATGTAATGTTTTAACATATTAATTGAATTTACATTGATCTACCTTTCACTTTAGGTGGCAGGATTTTGTTGGTGACCCCTGATCCGAACACCTCCATTATCATCAGCAGAGTGACCACCGAGCCTGACTGCAGTGTGTGTATGAAGGAAGGATCTGGAAAGACATGCAAACAGACACAAATTACCCTTAAAAAATATAGCAACATCTCGGTAGAGTTTACCTGCCCTCGGCCTCAGGATGTCTTCAGTGTGGTGATCAACAGACAGATTGGTATGAATATCTAAACATAGAAATTTGATACGGTATTTTTAATAAATATTTATCTTCAGGTTTCTCACATGTTCTCTGATGACTGTGAAAGTCTTCTTAAAAGGCTCCTAAGCCACCTTGAAAGACGTATTTAGTATATGAATGGTACCGTAGTAGTCTTTATACTCTCGTCCAAACTACAGTGGAATGACTCAGATAATGTGTTAGAATGGTAGAAAAATCTCTTGAATTACTAACTTATTTTTCACAACCCTAACTCTTCTTAGGGTGATGTTTTTGACATGATGTCATGTTTGTTTCTCATTTAAATAAAATAACACACAACTCAAAGATTATTAATTTCAACAGTATTGTTAATGAATAATAAAAAAATGTAATTTGTTTGTCTTTGTGGAAGCATGAGATTAAGTACACAGTCCTATGATTTTCTCTTTTCAAGACCATTTAAAAAGAACACCCTCACATTGATGACTTACTAGATTTATTTAGATTTGATAATGGTCACCAACAGTAAATTATTTCCTGTTGACATCTTGCGATAAATTCATCTCTGTTTTTCCAACTAGTTTTAATGCTTTAACAATGCAGTTGTTTTTATACTTTTAAAATTCTAAATCACAATTATGCTCTTGTCTACAAATTCCAGCCTGCGCAGAGAACTCCTGTTCTGGTAACATTGTTCAGGCCGAGTCCTCACTGTTCCCTGACTTCAACCGAACCTTCACCTGGGATGTGAAAGTTGTTCCCACCCGGGCCTTCCAACTGGACTTCCCAGAAATGGGAATGCGACAGATTCCTAATGGGGAGATCTGTCCAGATGAGCACACATACTCTCTTGTTACCTATCTGCGCATGGGGCCAGCAACCATTGGCACTTTTTGCAGAGGAGGAACTGTGACTACCATCCTGCCTCGCTACAAGGGCCGTATTTCTCTACACGTGCCTGCGGACAGGAAGCTGTATCCTGTTGACTTCAAACTCACTGTTGGGCCTGAGACCACCAGTAAGTTAGTTAATTAGGCTGTGTAATGCCAAACATTTGTTTAAAAGACACCGCTACATATCAAACATCATGTAACAAGACAACTTAAGCTAACACATAGACAAAACCAAAAGAAAACCATCAGTTCCACAAGTAAGAAAACCTCCATTCAAACTCCCGTCAATATTTTTAACAACAGTAAAAATTAAACAGTCCAGCCTCGGGACAGAGCCTTTCTCAGCAGTATGTCAGGTGGTTCACTCCATATGTTTGGATAAGTATGGTATTTAAAAAAAACAACAACAATGTAATGTCATCTCATCTCATGGCCTTTAAAGAACATAACTGCGGACTCAGCAGAAGAGGTGAATCTATCAGCAAGTCAGTGCAGAGAGGACAGAGAGGAGCGAACAGTGCAGATGTGGGGAGATTGCGGTGGTAATCTATGTTCATTACCATTGACGGCAACATTGCCCAACAACATTGCTCCGAAAGTTGCTCCGTGTATCATCAGCTTTAGAATATGGAAAGCAAACTTCAGGAACAGGTTTCGTTTTTACCGAAAGAAGTCTTTGTACATCATTCATGTTTAAAATATGCATTTCTGTTTCAGTCAATTTCTTTTTTATGTTACTAAACAAAGTATTGTGTGGCTTCTAGTAAAAAGGACAAAAATACACTCAACTCATTTTCTATATCTTTGAGAGAGCACATTGCACAATGTGCTTTTCTTCCTCCAGACTTATATATTGTCCAGTTTCAACATTGAGTGGTGAAAATATCAGATCATTTAAAAGTGTATTTAATTTATATATATATTATCTTCTTGTTTCTCTCAAGTGGTGGCCATAGTGAAAGTCAACCTTCCACGTGGTGTATCAGACACAGACTTCATCACAGCCAACTATCCTAGTGATTTCCCTGATAACCAGCAGATGCAGTGGGACTTCACTGTGCCCGGCATGCACAACTACACGATTCTCTTCCGTGATCACACAGCTCCAGAATGCCTCAACAATCAAGTGGAGGTGGAGTACCAGAAAGAGGGCAAGAAGGTGACCCAACTGACCCTAACGGAACCACAGCCGGAGCATCAGCAGGGCAACTTCAACATGGTGCTGAAAAATTGTGAAACCAACAAGACGCTACAAGGACTGACCTTGAACTACAGAGTCTCTGTAATGAGGATTGGTCATCCAGGTACAGTATACATATAATAATGAAATAAATTTTTATGACGTGAAGAGCTGGGAGTCGTGGTGGCTTGACTGAGCCCAGTTCTGTTGAAACTTCAGATTTAAATGTTGTCTGAAAGGTCACTTTTTGGATGTTCAACTTCCTTTGTTTTCCTGAACAGATCCAAGCAGACTAATTTGAGTTTTATTGATACATATAACTAGAGATTTGTTAGTTTGTTAAGAAAGTTATGAATATGTTGGCGTTGTGAGTCATTGACCCAGTTTGTGGCTCTTGTATATTTTCGTTACGTTCGAGTCACAGAGCTAAGCATCCATTTTTCAAGTCCAAGTGTCTATTACAGCCATGCTAGTGGCACTGTGAGGCAGACCTTCAAGCTAAATGCTGATATTAGCTTGGTAATATGATCACTATGTCAGTGTTAACATGCTAATGTTAAGCATGTCTAATGTCATGTCCACCATCTTAGTACAGCATGTAAGCATCCTAACATTTGCTAATTATCAATAAACACAATGTACAGCTGAGGCTGATGGGAAGTTTTGCAGTATTTCGTCTTAAACCAAGGTATTAGAGAAATGGTGGTGCTAGAGTCAGTGGATCACAAAAGTCATTAGGAAACATCCTTTTGAGGACCTTGGACATCGCTAGCAAATTTCATAGCAAGCCTTAAAAATATAGTCTGTCTATTGCACAATAAAATAGATTTTTTTTACTACTGCTATTTTTTTTTCACTGTTGCACTACAGTTGTAAGTAAGTAAGTAAGTAAAAGTTTATTTCTATAGCACCTTTCACAGGTATAGGGCCACAAAGTGCTTCACAACAAAAACATTAATATCATAAAATACACACAATAAAAGCATAGACAGTACATGATCATATCAACCCACAAGTAGCTAATTGAAAGCCTGAACAAATAAATGTGTCTTTAGTCTGCATTTGAAGGCATCAACAGAATCAGAAGAGCGCATAGATGGTGGAAGGTCATTCCACAACCTAGGGGCAACAGCCTGAAAAGATCGGTCACCTCTAGTACGGTAGCGAGTGCGTGGAACCGTCAGCAGGTTCTGATCCACAGACCTCAGAGCACGCACAGGGGTATAATTTGTTGTCTAATCCAAACGAAGATAGTAAATATGCGTGAACATGAACCAAAATAAAAACAAGTATCAGTTGTATTAGTGTATTTCAAGGTTATATATTACATTGTAAAAAATAGTGCATTCAAGTACATGTAATTTTTTGGTGATCTTGATTGGAAAATACGCACAGTTTGAGAAACGGGTTGAAAATCTTGTTGTTTTAATGCAGCAGGCAGAATATTTAATCCTGATGGTTATAGAAGTCTTTGAAGATTTGAGGAAGTTTTGTGTAATGACTTTCTTGGTTTTTCAGATCCTCTAATATATATTTTTCACAAGATCCAGTGCTTGGCTCTGTGATGCATGGGCGGCAAAACTGGGGCTATGCGAGTTCAAATTTATATGACTCATTTTTGAACATGAGGAAAAGGAAATACGAAACTTTTGTTTTAACAGGATTTATGATAAAGTATTGTCACAATAAAAGCTGAGATGTAACCTTCATTTTTGATAACTGATCAGTGTCTTTGTATGTTTTATTTCCCCTCTTAGTTCTGTGTACAGTGGAACTAACCAAACAACAAGGGGTATCTCTGCAGATAGAGAAAGTGGGTTCTGATCCCTATTGTGAGATGAGCATCAACTCGAAGGTTGACAAGAAGATAAACGTGGCAGCTGGTACTAATGCCCGCCTCTCTTTCATTGACTGTCCAAATGAAGATTTGCGTCTGACTGCCAATAAAGATATTGGTAAGAGATTTTTTAATTTTCACGTTCACGAATAGCTAAAATAATGTAGATTTTTTTTGTTTTCTTGTTACTGATTTTTTATTTTTTTTTAAGTAGATTTCTATAATCACAGTTCACTGGTTAAAGCCAAATTCAAGTCAAAGTTTGAAGTCTATTTAAACCTTTAATTCCTCAATATTTTGGGAAATACGCTATTGGATTTCTTGCCTAGAATTAGATGAGAAGACTGTGATGTCTGTGTAGTAAATACAAACTTACAGCCAAGAGTCATTTAGCTTAGCTTAGCTTATCATAAAGACTAGAAATGGGGAAACAGCTAGCCTGGCTCTGTCCAAAGGTAACAAGATCCACCTACCAGCACCTCTAAACTCACCAGTTAACACATGTAAGTCCAAATAAACTTTTTGTCAGAAAGTTTATCTTTGTATTTGTCATTTGGGCTATTCCTTTACATGGGAACTTGATATTCTCAATCTCATGTTGTGCCTTTTAATAACAGCGTGCCAAAATGTGGCGTCATGCTCTGCGACTGTCCTCACGGTGCCCCAACTGGATTCCTGTCTGCCAATGTCCCTCACCAGCTTCACCTGGCACCTCAACATCCCTGAGGACAGCACAGTGAATCTGGAGTCGCCCAAAGGGAGTCTCCGACAGTCCCTGCGCGGCCAGGAGTGTAATCAGTCGGTCTCCCTGCATGTGGCAGAGGACGATGGGTTTGCTGTTGGAGATTTCTGCTATAATGGAGACATCCAGAAGGTTCAGGTGCACGCCAACATCTCCATCACAGCCACAGCCCAGGACTTCAGCAAGACCACGGAGCCTTTTCTCAATGTCAGCTTCAGTCAGGAGTTCTCAGGTAAAAAAAATATGACTATGTTGCAGGCTGCAACTAAGGATTATTTTAATTTTTGCTTAATCTGCAGATTATTTTCTCAGTAAATCCATTAATAATTTTGTCAGAAAATAGTGAAAAATATATTTATACCCAGAGCCCAAAGTTCCATATTCATTTAAACTGTTAACTGTCCCACATACTGCAAAACTCAAATATATTCAGTTTATTATAGAAAAGCAATTTTGGCATTTTTGCTTAAAAAGTGACTGAAATCACTTTTTAAGCTGTATTATATTATGTTTTCTTCATGGTTTTTATAAACATTAGAGAGTTGAGTGGATTTCAGGGTGAGCTAAAGTGGATAAATAGCATGCCACCCAACGGCTCATGACAAGGGGGAGAATTGTGAGAAAATTTTAAAACCTTTTTTACGGCAGACATTTTGACCTGTCAACAGGTGCAGCACATAACATTATCAGTTGCTGTATTGCATTGCAATAATTACTGGAACAGAGCCATCATTAATGTCACTGGTAACATCTAAGCTTTCCTGCTATGACAAGTCAAAATGTCTGTGGTGAAAAACACCTGTGAATGGAATTCATCTGGGGACATTAAAACAAATTCGTTAGCAGGTTACAGTTGAAATTGTATCTGCTTCTGGCAGATCCAGTTTGGGAACAACTGCTGAAACTATTCCTGTGGGAAACAGGGAAAACAGATTTTAGCCAGTTTGAAGTCAAACAACAGGGTTTTCTTTCCAGCTTTACCTTCTTTATTTCCAGTGTGCGACAATTTTATTATGAACAAGGGGATCAAATGACTGAAAAGGGCAGCTCATGGGGTTAAACCAACAAAGAATCAATACCCTACTCATACTCCCCTACAAAGCATTTGTGTTTTAGAGCTTATGGTTTTGGTTTTACGGCTCGCAGCTTTTACTGTTTTGATTCAGTCACTGCTCTTATCAACGTTAGCAACTAGTTTATGAACATAGTGGTGCAATTATCAGCTAAAGAGACATATTCCCCTAATTTATTAATTCAGACCAAGACTGAGCTTTAAAAAAAAAATATATATATATTGTACTTAGATTTAATCATTAGGTGGACACAAACGCAACTCTAAATTAATGATAATGTCGCTCCGTAACTGCTGAATGTGATTAAGCAACAGTTTTTTTTTTTTAATAAGGTGATAGTCAATGTTGTGTTTACAGCTTGTCCGGTGCCCACAAACTGTAGCTTAATTGCTTTGACTGACTTTATTAAATGTCAGTTCTACATTTTGATCTTCCCCTACATCAACAACTAAATGCATCAAGTTTAGATGTGTTTTCTCAGTGTTTGTTGACAGAAAAAGTTGAAGCAGTGTGGATGACACAGATGAAGATGACGGGTAGACTGCTGCACCAAAAAAGTAAAATCCACTAAACATCCAGAATGGTGACATTCGACACTATAAGAACTAGAGTTGAAATGATTAGTTGGTTGTCAAAGTCTTCTATGATTGTAAATTCAATACCTTTTTTGTGGTTAGATAAACAAGACATCTTGAAGATGTGGCCTTAGGAAATTTTAATGGCATTTTTCACTATTTTCTGACATTTTACAGACCAAAAGATTTATTGATTAGTCAGGATAATAATCAGCAGATTCTTTGATCAGCCCCAGCAGGAGGCTCTGTCTGCGTTCTCCTATTGTGATTTTCCATTATAATTATGGTCAAATAGAGCACATTCATTCACTTTACTTTTAAACTCCACACAGGGGCGCTATTGTACAACGAATGTTGGTGACACTTTTAAAAAGTGTAGACCAGCAGCGATGAATTACCCACATGACACAGCATTATTTCCATCCCTTTTTAGAGACCATTATTTACAGAGTCAGTCCGATGACGACGTCGCCGACCTTGCTGGCCACCCCCAACTGGCCTCAGGGTATGAGGCCTTCCTCCACCATATCCTGGATTGTTACTCTACCGAGCCAGTACCAGGCACACGTTCAGTTTGTCAACGTCAGCCAGCCCAAATGCAGCGACTGGCACACCAGCATCAACGTGCAGATGCTGGGGTCCAAGGAGGAGCTCATGAGCCGCAGAGAGGATGAGCCGGTGGAAGAGAAGCTGTTGGTGCCACAGAGTTTCTATATCAACATGTCCAACTGTATACCAGAGGACGGACACTTTGGTGCAATGACCAAAATTATTCTGGAGAGGAAGACCAGTAAGCAAGAAGGACTTATTTAGCCCTTTCATGTACAAGAAGAATACTTACCCTAAATAACTAAGTTAAAGGACTTAATTCTGCTCTCTTCTATTTGCCTCTGCAGATCTCTTGGCCATCATCCTCGGCATAGCGGGAGCTCTTTTGCTTTTGCTCATAGTGCTGACTGTAGTATGTGTCACAAAGTGAGTGTACAAAAATGTTTTAACCTTTGGGCCCGCACTTTTCATGCATACCATACTAACCTACCTCATCTATCCGCAGCAGAATTTTCCTGCCTGCCAATTTGACTTTCTTTTGTTTCAGTTTCAGCCAGTTTCTTATCATTTCATCTCTATTTATACATGTGTATATACTACAAATATTTTAAATTGTTAATTTTGTAGATATGGTGGACGTATAAAAAAAAATATATATAAAATGTAGATGTTGAGGAAAACCTTGCGTCTCATTGGTGACATTGCTGCAGATTATCAGACTGTATAAAACAGGCCAGTTAAAAGTTTAACTGAAAATATAAATTCTATTGTTAGTAAAATTATTGATACATTTTACAATGTTTGTCAAGACCCCCCCAAAAAAGGAATGGGATATATGTGGGCCCTGGTTTTTTTGTGGATTGGATAATCATATTTTTGACAAACTGATTTGTGATTTTTATTTATGTTCTGTAAAATTAGGTCTTTCTTATTGTTTGTGGTCTGCTTAATTCTTTTCAAACAGGAAAAAGAAGAAAGACAGGAAGAACAAGGAGTCATCCATCTACTTGGGCAAAGGGAACATCTTCCGCCCAAGTGACAGGCACTTCACCACAAGCCGGTCGGAAAACGAATACCATGTCTACAACTCTATAGACGAGAACATGGTGTACAGCCACCTGCTGGATGACTCCAACTACCCGGGCAGCATGCAGGACTTCAAAGGTGCACAGGTGGACTCCTATCAAACATTTACGGGCCCCACTGACAGAGAGTTGCCTGTAATCAAAGAACCGGACCACGAACCCGAGATGGACCATTACAAGCCGTTCACGACCATGTCTGAGACTTTCATCCCGTCCCGTCCACACACTCCTATTGGGCGGGAGGACAGCCTCGGGTTCCAGGACCGCAGGATGATGGACAACGAACTGTACACATTCAAGAGCACAGGATATATAAACACGATCCGGCTCTCTGGCACTGACCTGGAACCACAGCCACCAACAACAGAGGAGTCCTTATAGTGTGTCAGGACTGTAACTGCCCGATGGACCACTGTTACTAAATTCTCGTTACAGCCCTGAGTATCTCTGGACTGCACCGATGTGAACTCCTGTGCCTCGGCCACACTCAGGGATTCTGAGTTAGATGAGCTTCTGAATGCGATGTGTATGTTGTCTTTATCAGGACTCAGACATTTCTAAAGCTTCAAGAGTAGAAGCTGTGATCCTCTACTTTTAAAGAGGTTTGGCATTTGGGGAGATACTTTTTGCTGAGAGTTAGATTAAATGAAATGTCTGTGAAGATTCTATGTCATCCAGGTCATGGAGGTCCAGAGGTAACCCACCTAACAACACCTCTAAAGCTCATTAATTAACACATTATGTCTGTTTAATCTGTACAGTGACCTCCTGTAGTCTTGTCGTCACATTAAGAGACTCTAGGATGTCACTGCTTATGGCCAAGAGATAGCCGGCCAAAACATAACCTTAACTTTGTTTTTTATATTGATCAAACAAATGGGATTTAACATATTTATTAGTGAGATTTAGAGGTGCTGGATTTTGTTAGCTAGCTGTTTCCCATTTCCAGCATTTGTGCTAAGCTAACTCTCAGCAAAAAAGCAGCAAAAATGTCAAATGATTTCTTGAATGTTTGATGTGTTTAGTTTTATGAAATCTTGCCTCATTCTCACGTGGCACTGACTCACGAGCAGGGACTATGGAAAAACGTGCAAGCACCTCTGGTCCTGTGTTTTTACCTGTTTTTTGCAATAAATACTAGGAAAATGGCCTGATGAGGAAATGGTTTACTTCTTGAGGTATTTGCTGCCATCACACTCCATTTTCTTTCTTAAGCTGAAAAAAGAAATCACCTTTTGCATTCTGGATGGTGAAAACAGCTTCCACCGCAGGAACTCTGGCCATGAAAAATAATGTGAAGGAGGGTGTGGAAGACTGTAGCCAATGTTTATCATAGAAAAGTGTTTTTTACTGGAAACCACAATTGCAGAAGCCAGGTTTACATAATTGCGCCACATTTCTTGCAGATGTAGGTTTAAAAAATGTTAAATAAACTTGAGACTTTTTACATTTTGGGGAAACGCGCATTTACTTTCTTGCTGAAAGTCAATCATCTCATCTAATACAACTGTATTGCCTAAAACCTTTACTTCAAGAAATTACCATAGAGGAATGGGTTTTCATAGTTTATTGATGGTCATTTTACAGGTTACATCAGGCCAGACATTATAGGAGACTACAAGACCAGCAAACTGAAATAATCTCTTGAAAGAATGTATTGTAATTTTTAATGCAATATCACATATAATTCTGACTGCATGCGAGTCTTGTCGTTAAAATACAGTAGTTATGAAGGGATGCTTAAGTTTAAACAAGTGGTTCTCAACCAGTAAGTCATGGATCTGCTGTAATAGAGGTGTGGATGTGTGAAAATAATGGAAAGTTACAGCCAGTTTTTACATTAGTGAAAGGTGCCGACACCTACACACCGCTTTTGTTGCAGGAATACTGGTATTTTGAACTATGATCATCCAATAGATATGTTTCTAAATTACTTTATTATTTTTTTATAGAAAATGTACAAAAATACATTAAATGAAGGTAGAAATCATGGATTTCCTTCCGCTTATTCTGGACCGCACTGCATTCTCCCTGGTTTTATTGTGACCAGAAGGAATGCTGCAAATGACATGTCACCGGATCACTTTAGTCAAAACGAACAACTTCATATTGACTGTGACTTCAAGATCAGAATGTAATCTTGATGCAAAACCAGCTGAGAACCACTGGCTTAAAACTCCTTTTAGAATAGCAGGCAGAGTGGCATTGCAGCAAGAGTAGACAGTGAAAGCAACTATAACCATGCACAGTCTATGATGAGATAAAGGCGATCAAACAATGTTGAATTGGCAGACGGAGGGCTTCTCCTCACGACAGCTCTCGTCAAACCACTTCCCACGGGTGGCCCCGGACAGGACCGCGCAGTTATGGGACATTCCGCCATCTGGCTGAGGGGACCGGTTGTTGGACGTGTCCCAGTTTTTGTATGTAATGCTGGAGCCCATCTGGTCCACCCAGGTGCCCTCAGTCACCATGTCGTTGATGCCCAGCCAGATCTGCTCATCTGAGCCGATGCTCTGGCGGATGTAGTCTCTGAGCTGGTCGTTTTCATCGCTGGATGTGGGCGTACCGAGGACTCCGCCCAGGGCGTTACAGTCTTCGCTGGCAGTGTGATAGGTTTTTCTCACAGGGTCAGCCAAGAGACACTTGCCATGAATCTTTAGGCCTTTCAAACAGACTGAAGACAAACATAAAAGGGTTAGACCTAAAAGGTGATTTATTGTCATACAGGGATCTTTTCCTTTGGTAATATGAATAAACGTAGTCCTGTGGTATTTTGGAGACGGGGTATAACCACAGTATTCTCAGAGATAATGAGCAACATGATGAAAAGCCTTTCTGTACTAAAGATTTTTGGGTCATTAGGGAACAACTGGATATCATTTTGTGTTCTGAACAAGAGGTCAGACATGGGTTTGTCATTTGTTGTCCATATTAAAACTGCACATGTATCTTAACTGGCTTTTTTTAAGAGAGGCCTACCTCAGGCTGCTGACTCCAACTTGAATACATATTTGGTGCGCTGAACAATGAAGCTCATGCCACATTATCATGCAACAATTTAAAACATTCACACTGTAATCCACTGCAGGCAGAAGAGAGAGTGAGTGTTGTGATACTAACGGCTGCTTGCTCACCTCCACAGGTGATCATAAAGTAGATTCAGAGTTGTATGTCTATGGCTGGAAGGAGTTCATCAAGTGTAACTTGTATTTTATCTGAACCATAGCCGATTAAGCTGTTTGGGGGACCCAGGGCAAAAAAAAGGGCCCCTATGGACCCTCAACATGTCTCCTGGCCCCAGACTTTCTGGCAGGGTCACAAGATTACATATTACCTTACACCGTACTTAGAGGAATTATTTGTATTCCTTTATCAAACAAGATTAAATGTATGATCCTGCTGTACAAAAGTCGTGCTTACCTGTCTGCAGGGCTTGCTGTTCCTTCAGTAGGTTCAGCTCCTGGATGATGTCGTTAATCTGTTTCTGTAGTGACTCAATGGCCGCATCCTTAGTTGTATCTTGTTTCCAACAATTCCAGACACACAAGGAAACTCAAATCAGGTGTTTGTGCATGCTCAGTGATGACCAAATAACTTTTTTTTCCTTTTTTATTTTAAATAATCTCTTCTTCCAAGGATATTTAAAAAGAAAATTTTGAAAATAATATTTGACAGTGGTATCTCAAACAACAAATTCCTACAGACTGTGAAGCACCAGATGTTTATCGTCTACCTTTTTTCACTGGCTTCCTTGGTGAAGTCTGCTGAAATGAACAGTTCACCAGTAGTAGTACTCCCAGCAGCACACACACTCCTTTGAACTCCATGGTTAGACCTGTTGAATGAGGCTGCTCCAACGTGGATGCTTGCAATTTATCTCTCTCTCTCTCTCTCTCTCTCTCTCTCTCTCTCTCTCTCTCTCTCTCTCTCTCTCTCTCCCTCTCTCTCCCTCCTTCTCATCTCTCTGAACAGGGAAAAATACTGCCATTTGCAGGAATAACAATCCAACCGCAGAAGCCTTAAAGGATGGTGTGTGTGTGTCTCATCTGGCTTTAAAACACTAAACACGGAGGGGCAGTGCTAACCAGAGCCAGGCCTGGAAAGCAGGTGGAGACTGGCAGACAGGGTGAGACACTGGGAAGCAGTTATGACATAACACTGTGCAGCTTTGGTCAAAGTATATGAAAAAGAAATAAACAAACACTGACTCATCTGTTGCATAAAAGCCTGAATAACCTGGTTACAGTTTATTCCTTGGCTCAAAAGACTAGTTTACTCTTGAAAGAAAAAGATGGAATAGAATTTTTTTTCAGTTGGCCAAAAGGTGTTTTGTAAGTCATCTGGAGTGGCCTCATTTGGAAAATTTTAATATTTCCAGGTGTTTCTGGCAGCAGTGAGGCACTGAAATTGAAACCCATTAATCATTATTTTCTTACGCAGCATTGAATTACCTGTTTACATACCTGCAATATTATAGATTAATTTAAAGGTTGTACCATTTTTTGACCCATTCTCTGCACACGTTTTCTCTATCAAATTCTGATCCCAGCTCAAGCCATATATAGTTTGTTTTGTACCAATCTGCTTTCAGCCAGCACGCACGCGCGCACACAAACACATCTGCGGTCAGAGTGGAAATGATCCAGAGTCACATCTGGTCTTTCTGTAAGACTTCAACTTTACACAATCTTCAACTGACACGTGGCAAAAACAAAAAGACAGAGAGGCCTACCTCAGGCTGGACTTTTCCTGTGCACTTCAGTACAGTAACTGATCTCAGATCTGGTACCAGGACATTTTAAAATGTTACAACATAGCAAGTTCTTTCTGTAAAATATGCTGTTCAGCAACATTATTTTATGGACCTATTTGATTTTAGTCACTCTGTAATATCCTTGGCATACTTTGTTATCGTTATCATAAAATGTACCTCAAGTAGTAACACAAAATATACAGGTGAAACTTGAAAAACTAGCATATTGTGCAAAAGGTAATTTATTTCAGTAATTCAACTGGGGAAGACTGCTGACCTGACAGTTGTGCAGAAAACCATGTGTGGAAGAAAAAGGTGCACAAGCAGCAGGGATGACAGTAGCCTGGAGAGGATTGTCAGGAAAAGGCCGTTCAAATGTGAGGGGGAGCTTCACAATGAGTGGACTGAGGCTGGAGTTACTGCATCAAGAGCCATCACACACAGACGGGTCCTGGATATGGGCTTCAAATGTCATATTCCTCTTGTCAAGCCGCTCCTGAACAACAAACAACGTCAGAAGCGTCTTACCTGGACTAAAGGAAAAAAAGAACTGGTCTGTTTCTCAGTGGTCCAAAGTCCTCTTTTCTGATGAGAGCAAATTTTGCATCTCATTTGGAAACCAAGGTCCCAGAGTCTGGAGGAAGAATGGAGAGGCACACAATCCAAGATGCTTGAAGTCCAGTGTGAAGTTTCCACAGTCTGTGTTGGTTTGGGGAGCCATGTCATCTGCTGGTGTTGGTCCACTTTGCTTTATTAAGTCCAGAGTCAGCGCAGCCGTCTACCAGGACATTTTAGAACACTTTATGCTTCCTTCAGCAGACGAGCTTTATGGAGATGCTGACTTCATTTTCCAGCAGGACTTAGCACCTGCCCACACTGCCAAAAGTACCAAAACCTGGTTCAATGACCATGGGATTATTGTGCTTGATTGGCCAGCAAACTCGCCTGACCTGAACCCCATAGAGAATCTATGGGGCATTGCCAAGAGAAAGATGAAAGACATGAGACCGATCAATGCAGAAGAGCTGAAGGCCGCTATTGAAGCATCCTGGTCTTCCATAACACCTCAGCAGTGCCACAGGCTGATGGCATCCATGCCACGCTGCAGTGAGGGGCCCAAACCAAGTACTGAGTACATATGCATGATCATACTTTTCAGAGGGCTGACATTTCTGTCTTTAAAATCCATTTTTAATTTTTTTTATTGATTTCATGTAATCTAATTTTCTGAGATTTAGAATTTGGGGTTTTCATAAGCTGTACGCAATAATCATTGAAATTATATCAAATAAAGGCTTGAAATATCTCACTTCACATGTAATGAGTCTATATCTTAGTTTCACCTTTAAGTTGAATTACTGAAATAAATGACCTTTTTGCACGATATGCTAATTTTTTCGAGTTTCACCTGTACATCTGTGCAGGATCTTTACCCAGACTCAACCAGACCACTATTTATTTATAACTTCACAGGTTCATCTGTTGTGATTCAAATGTAAATCACTCTTAAAGTGAAATGTGAATGAAGTGATCCTTCATCACTCTATTCTTCCTCCTAAAAAGAAAAAGTTCTTTATATCCATTACCACAGCTCTTAACTGATCAAGTTCAAGTGTGTACAATTTACTTAATCTAGCATAAGCTGCTTGCTCTGTGGCTAATATTGTTTGAGGCAGGTAACCACACTACAGTCTATGTATTTTACATTTCAGTAAGACTGTTCAAAGATGTAACTAGGCAGTGTTTTCCTTACACTGAAGTTGTTTTTTCACTTAACATGTGGCTGGACAGTAAAGAAATCTGTACATTTAACATTGACATGTACATCCATCCAGAACCTTGTCACATCAGGCCAGAGCCACAACATGTGCTAGAGCAGTGCTTAAATAAAGGATTATTTAAATCAGTTCTCACATGTACATTTTTCAAATGTGTTAACCCCAAATGACAGTGTATTAAATTTTAAGCAGGTAAAAAAAGACAGGAAGGCTGTACAAATGAAAAGTTTTATTAGAAAATGTTGTATACATATACACCCTGTAGATAAATACAGTAACTGATCTTAACCAAGGAAGCCAACTTTTTGTCGCTTTGTTCCCAAACTCTCCTCCTGCTGCAGCAGCTTCATGAGCGGAGCATGAAGAGCCTTCCCGACCCGTTTACCTGCCTGGAGAGAACAAAATACATTAGCACCTTTCTACTGTACAGCCTTATTTATACCTAATCATATTTAAAACATGTATTGAAATCCAAAGAGTCAGTACCTTATGTTCATTGTAATTTTTAGAGTTATGAAAGTTTTACCAATCTTCTGTATGTTATACACATTTTAAATGGCACCTGTGAACTGCGCATATGCACCAGCAATTTCATCCAGCTGATATATAATATGCTGCTTTTTAGCTCAGTTGGTGTTCCTATTTTTGACAAGACAATGGTTAAATAAAACTGAATTTAAATCACATTATGCTAATGCTCTGGAGAGAGGAGGCCAGATGGTCAGGGCAGACAGCTTGACTCACCTCTGTCATTTCGAAGATGCTCTCTGGATCCAGGCTTCCTCCGCCCACCTTCCTCGTGCAGGTGACCGTGCCCTTGTGTGTGACAGAGATGATCAGGCTCGCCACAGAACAGGCCTTCTCCTGCAGAGTCGCGTCCACAACGTGTCGGTGGCCCACCTGCGCAGGAAAACAGACAACGTCAGAGGAGCCAAGCAGCACATTTGCTTCACTGTTTGTGTTATAATTTTTCTTTTTTTATCAGCAAGTAAGCTTACCTTGCACAACGTCACTATACAAGGAACGTTTTCTACATTGAGTCTCATGCAGTCATATGGGTCGTCTGACAACTCAATTTCCTTCCCTCCTTCGTCGTCAGCTGATATGTGCACTCTGGGAATTCTGTCAGTAAGGTAATCAGAAGAACTTACTTAGTCTACATGAACAATGAGCTCCGCTGTAAGATGCCAAAGGATAAGACCCCCTAAAAAACACCAGCATAACACTTTACTTACTTTGTATTGAAGAGAGCTGCTTTGATAGCTACTGAGATGGCATCGTACAGGTTTCCGTCACACTGCAGGAGCTATGGAAACATGCCAGTGTGAGATTTTACTTTAGTTAATCATCATGGAACTGTATGAGCACTGACCAAATAAGCTGATTGTCATGTAACATGTGCTGCTTCGATTCATTCGTCAGACTTTGTCCAGGACAAAGTGAACATCTCTACGTGGTTTACCAAACAGAATGTCACATTAAATGAGGAGTTATTATATCTTAGCAGACAAATAGGAGTAGAAATTGAAGTACAAAAGCCACATACATTTCAAACAAACTTAACATTTTGTTGAAATCTACGCACTTTTTACTATATATGTATGTCTTGACATGTCAATTTGCAGCAAAAATACTTAAGTCAGGGTAGTCAGATGCTGCCACTCACCAGCACATCCACATAGAGAACCCAGCAGTGTTCTCCTGCACTGATACAGAGGCTCTTCAGGTCCATGCTGTGTTTGTTGTTGAAGACTTTGTAGAGTGTGTTACTCAGCTCTGTCCCCAGCTCCTCACCACCTCTGCCCTCAAACTCAGGGGTTGCATTGGCCGAACTAGTGATGGAAACACGACAATAAACAGTTATAAAAGTTAACAGAATATCTTTGAGATGTGTTATTCTTACTTGGGTCAGCGGGAAAGAGGTAAGAAAGTGAAAGTAGGGAAAGCAATGAGGCCGGCCGGCTGGCCGACCCTGCTACCCCACACACAACTATAGCATTTTTATGGCAATATGATAATATTTTCTTACCACAATCACTTGGATGTGTTAGACATGCACCTCTCAGTGAACAGATGATACAACACTACCTCCTAGTGGCAGGGCATCTATCAGCACACTACCAACAAGTATTGACCAATTCCTAAAATCATTCCATCATACATTATAAATTTTGTTCTGTCCAATAATCTTAATTTCTACACCATGCCACTACCTCCTGCTGAATTATATATATATATTAGCTTTTCCCCCCAAACTGACACTTTTAAATTCAAATTTATCCTCAACACTGCTCCAAGCAATAAAGTTTATAATGTATTTCTGTTGACCATTTTATGATTGCTGTAAACTGTATACTGTCCATGTAGCAGAAGGGAGTTGAAAACTGCATTTCATTTTACAACCCTGTAGTAATATGACGATTAAATCTACCTTGTACATAAAAGCTGGTAAGTACAATGTCTTCATAATGGGTTGATTTGGTGGCGAAATCTATAAAAATAAGCCTCAGTTTATAAAAAGCCTAAGTCAATTTGCACCACACCTACCAATCAACAAAGAACTCCAAGTAGCCTTCATCTGGCACCATGGGCCTTGGTTTTCCAATTTCAGCTTTAATTCCAACTAGAACCGCTGTGTGTCCCTGAAAGAGAGATAGTAGACATTATATAGACTCAGATATAACTAATAGGCATGAGTATATGCAATTGGAAGTGTTGACAGGGTGACAAGTGGCTGAGGGTGCACAGATGAAAAGATTTAGAGCATCTTCTTGTTTAAACAGAAAATGAGTCATCATGTAGGACTACCAGTGTGACTTTGGCCGAGCCGTCTGTGTTGGACACCACGTCGGTCTCTATTTCCATGTGTCTATAGTCCTCGCAGCCTCTTCCGTCCACTCGTAAGTCATCCTGACGACAAGGATCAACATGTAAACAGTACAGTCACGGAGTTAGCGAATGCTAACGCGTCTAGCTAGTTTTCGGCAGTTATAGAGCATAAATCCCTGTTGTGGCATTTTTAGATTCGTTTTCATTACAGCGGGTAAAAGCTCAAGTCAAAGTGTTAGAGACTTACCCGTATACCGTGTAAAATGTACACTTTTTCAGCCTCGCTAACTTGTACTGTTGCCATAATGTAAGTAAAAACACTTGTAGCGTACTAGCATGTGCGTCGCTTTTCTGAACGTCATCAAAAGACGACAGATTAAAACAAATCGCAGGTTGCCCATAACAGTGCCTGTAGATGCCCGATTTTTACACAGTACATAAGCTACACCAAGGTTCGTGTAAACCTGCAATCTATCATTTTCCCCCATGATTATATGAAACAATGTTAATCCAAATCCAAGTACTTTCTACCCAAATTCTGACACGAAAACCTTTCAGTGGCTGGTTAAGTACTGACACCTTGTAAATACTTTGGGCACTGAAATTACTAACTACGGCTTTACATTGTTGTCCACACCAATCTGTCTTTCTGTTGCTAACAGATTTCTTCGTCTGGGGATCAATAAAGCAGTGACTGACGATGTCAGTCGCAGTCATCGCTAACTAGGTTAACTTTAAGATCAAACCGTGTCCTTTTAGTCGTCTTTAAATGGTAGTAACTTGAGTTTGTTTTGGTGTAGAATGTGGACTGTGAATGTACAAAATAAAGACAAAGAACCATCGTCAGTCTCTGCTGTGATAAAGAATTTTCCTTCGGGGATCAATAAAATATTTCTGATTCTGATTCTGATATGACAACATATCATAACTATGACATGTAACGTCAATACTTTATTGACCCCCAGCTGGGGAAATTTGTTTGCAACAGAAAGACAGATTGGTGCAGATATCAATGTAAATCCGCAGTTAGTTATTAAAGTGCCCAAAGTATGTACAAGGTGTCATTATTTTTTTATTTATCTATTTACCAGGCACTTAAAGATTCTTGTGTCAGAATTTGGGTAGAAAGTAGTTTAAACTTGGATTAACATTGTTTCATATAATCATGAGAAAAATTATAGATTGCAGGAATCTTGATGTATGTATGTCTGACATAAATTCAATGATATGGTGTTTAATAGACCAGTTAACACAGTCAATATGTCCACCAACATAATTTACCTTTTGTTCTAGTTAGTGTTAATGTGCAAACATGGAAGGAAGTTAATGAATCATGCCTCTTTTGTTTGTTTTTTTAACTCAAATAGACAATCAGTTTTTCTATACCGGCCTCAGCAGGCAGTACATGAGGCTGGTTGTTCTGTTTGATGAGCAGAAGCGGGCAGTACTTGAAGAGTGCCACAAAAATGTGGGCACGGGCAACCACAGTGGCGTCAGGAGAACCAGAGACAGGGCGACTGCAGGTTATTACTGGTCCAGTTTAAAGAAAGATGTCACAGATTGGGTAAAGAGTGTTTCATGGAATTAAATTAAAGAGGTGGTATTATGCTTTTTGACTTTCCCCCTCTCCTTTATTGAGTTATATATCTTTTTTGTGCATGTAACAGGTTTGCAAAGTGAAAAAGGCCAAAGTCCAGCCCAAAGGGAGTTCCCATCTCCCACAGAAAGCTCTGCTCTGAACCGCTTGAAAACAGCTCGTTTGTAGTCCAGCCCTTCACTTCCTTTACTTGTGACGTCACAATGAAAACGCGTCATAAAGCTTGCCAAGCAGCTTGCGGGGTCAGGCACGCCCTCAAACCAAGCTAGTCTGAGCGGAGGCCCTTTGGCTCGACTCGCCTTCGTTTGGTTTTCCATTGTAGAAATGTTGCACCTGTACCTGCTTCCAGGTGCTTTTTTTCGTATCACCTCACCTCCAGGTTCCAAGCGAGCTGAGGGATACTAAAATGTAAAGTGAAAACATGACAGACTGCTGATTGACCAGAGAGAATCGTCAATATTCACATCATTGCTGCACCAGACAGAGGCCAGCAACAGATTATATTTTACAGTTTTCGTATGGAATTTCATCACTAAATCCACTTCTGGGAAGTTTTGAGGTGAGAAATCAGCTGTGTAGATTTCGAATATTGACAGTTTTACGAGAAGTGATGGAGGCCAGCCGCCCGCTCACAGAGCCCTCTGCTCCCGCCATCACACAGACCGCTGCAGCAACAACGGCAGAGGAAAACACAGCTGGAAGGTTTTCATACCGCTTATCTGTCTTTACATTCTGAGGAATGTTGAAACGTTTTAACTTAAAAAAGAGAAAGCTGTGTGGGTCGCTGATGTGTGTGTCGCATTGAACATTACGTCGCGGCAGTTGTGTGTGGCGTCGCTATGACGCTTAGCTAGGTACTATCTCTGGGTATTATCTGCAATAGAAAACAGAGCAGGGCCGAGTAGAGTCGAGTCTATCGATTTGCGTTATGGTAGCTTTTTTCGGCAAGGCAGCATAAGTCGTCAGAACACCGGCAACAGTTCAACGTTTAGTCCTAAAAGACGACGCAACTCCAACTCTGTTTGGGCTCACAATCACAACCTGTAAGTATGCTTTATTGGTTGTGAATTATATTTAAAATAAACATGGCAATGTAACTTCACAGACTGTTCAAGTGCGGAGTTGTTGTAAATCTTGGCTAAATATGAGCATAATACCACCTCTTTAAATATCATGACTACCCTGAACTGCTTCAGAGCGAATAAAAGAAAAGAAATAAATTAACACATTAAGCACCAAACTCACCATTGAACACCCCTTTTGTGTACTGCTGTTTTGAAGACAATTAAAGACTCCTAACCACGTGGATAAAAAAAACTTACTGAATGATTAAAAAGATGTTTAATCGATTACTCAAGTTTAGACATTTCTGATAATCCAGAAAGTTAATATCTGAGGATTCTGGAAATACCTTCAAAACAGTGTTAAGAAAGGCTGTATTAATACAGCTGGGCAAAGCTGGTAACCTCTCCAGACATCCAACAACGCCCAGGGTTTACAGTGTGGCAATGAATTTATGGTAATATGAATATTTGTAACTTTATTTTGGGAACATACAATAACTAAGGCAAAGCAGGCAACTGTCCTGGGACCGCAAAACTACTGTGGCCTCCAAAGCTACAGGTGTGTCAACTATTTTGTGCTAATTAAATAGAAAATCTATTTAGGAATATGCACCCAGGGCTTAAAGTTCTCCGGCGCTGTGCTGGAATTCCGGGGCAAGGCATTTTTGTATTGGACAATATATAAATATGTTTGTGGAAAATAATCTTTAAAAAAAATATTATTCCTTTTTTTAAACTGTGCATGTTATGTGTATGTGAAGCGCCAGTCTTCCTCTGCACAGTTGGTGTCGGTGTATACATTTTTATATACAGTCTATGGTGTATACCGAAAGAAAAGGGACTGGCACTTCCTGGCGACGTGGACACTCATTGGCTATTGTAGGCCGTGAACAGGGAATGGAAGTTTGTATTGGGTCAATTAAGGTGTCACTGAAAAGGTCAACGTGTAGACGCGTTTTTTGTTTAGATGCTAACTGTAGTTAGGCTAATATAAAGCGATGCAATGACAGTCCCTGTGTATTTATTGAAATAAATTGGTGTCGTGCCGAAAAGTGATCGTCCGCCGAAAACTGATGTTTGGTAGGCCTATGTGTAATATCTTTGTTTATATTTGGAAAACGGACTGTAGCCTAATTAACATGACTTACTGCCAACTTAGATATAAAATGAAGACAATTTTGTAATTATCCTTATGACTCTGCCTTATTTTACTTGCTGAGTAGGCCTACCAACCAGTCCACTCTTTTTTACCTGTTAAAATACCTTTAAATGGCCAATACAACTCATAAAATGGAGTATTTAGCTTGCCAGAAAATGATTGAAGCCTTTTGTTATTGACTGAAAGGTTATTTCTGGCCTGAAATTAGTTTATTTCATTCAGAAGAGTTATATTTGACAGATTATAGCTCACCTAGTACTTTTTACATCTTAAAATACCTTTAAATGGCCAATTCAACCCATAAAATGCAGTAGGCTATTTAACTTGCCAGAAAGTGATTGACGAGACTGGGCAATACAGCTCCAGCAGACTGCAATCAGTTTTCGGCGGACGATCACTTTGGGCTCTATGTGGCGCTCATCTGTTCCCATTCTCGCCTGTTTGCTAATCTCTGTTGGCGGAGATGGAGCAGGTGGAGACTTTCATGCAGCCATGAGCTCCCATGTGAATGGCGAGTACCAGCAGGGCCGGGCAATAAAACAATGATAATTATTGCAATATAATTTCCCTCAATAACAATATAACAAATGTTTAATGTGTTTTCTTTAATTCATTTGAATCACTAACAAATCAGCACTTTACTTTGTTGAGGAAAAGGGACTGAAAAAAATATTACTTAATAGAAATTTACTTAATCATAATTGTTTTGAATGTTTTACCTCAGATTTGTTAAGTGTTTCCCACAGAATGACAGTGTAACTGTGGCACCAGCTATAAACAACGTGCTAACCTCGACAACCCAGCTGTATTGTAACTTAACTTAGCTCTTCTTATTAGCTAGGCTCCTTCCCTGCTTGCTAATAACTTTTTTTAAGATGGGCATCCTACAGCTTGTATTGGACAGATTTGTGCAGCGGTAAGGCGCTCTGAAATCAAATAGCATTTTAAATAGGCCTAGTATAAAATAAAAAAAATCGAAAATCAATATGTGGCAGTCAGCTTCGATGTTGTGGCGAGCCACCACAAATAAATGAACATATGGGAAACACTGGATCCACTGTTTGGCATTAAGTGTTTGTTCTGACCATAAAAATAGTTTAAAACCACAATTAACCATCTGGTTTCTTCAACTTTCACTCAGGAGCAAAAAGCTGCCTTATAATGTCTATGAAGATTCTCAGTCATCCAGGTCATAGTTATCCAACGAAGGTTAAAATCAAGGGCAACTGGACTTGGTTGAAGATACTGGAAGACGATCCATCCAAAAGGACTTCTTCAGTTCTGAAGAAGAACTGAACTTTCGTTGGATGCCTTATAATGATTTGCCATTTATCAAAAGAATATTCAATATTGTATGATGAATCTTAAAAAAGTTGTGTTTAATCAACTTGCCATAAAGCAAATCTGTCGCCTGGTCAGACTCTAGCATAGAAAAATTGTACAAATAAGAGATTCAGCATTTCAGAAAGAAACATTAATTCAGATATCACAAAACAATATTTGATTTATTAGATTGATAGTACTTTTATTTAGGGTGGTGCACGTGCCTGTGATAAAGTTCTGCCTGATAGACTCCGCTCAGGGCACAAACACCCATTACCCCGTCTCGTCAGGAGAGGGTATCGGACTTCCTGGTTGGCTCGTTGTGTTGTCCTTCGATCCGCAAAGCTTTCTGGATCTGACTGAGAGGGATGCAGGTAGACAGCGGCCTGTTTTAAAGCTCGCCCCCCCCCGCAGTAGTTAGCGTACGAACGAGGCTAATTAACGCCTCGTCGAAACCGAGGGAGCGGTGTAAGCTGGACCCCGGCCGCGGAGCCGTTGAGTTCCCGTAGATAAGTGAGGTTAGCTGGTACTGCGCAAACAGACGGAGCGGCGGAGAGGACACTCGCTCTCAGTTTGGTGTGTTTTAACTTCCAGAGGCTGGAAACTACGCTAGGACATCAAGAAACTCTTGTCAACAAACCGGTAGATAGTGAGGTAGGTGTTTTTTTTTCTTGAAATAAGTTAAATGTAACGTCCGCTGTGTGACTGTTACCAGCTATGAACTAATGGAACTCCAGAAATCCTGCTGCAGCTGCCAGAGTTTACTTACTTCCTGGTCCATGGTCGGGTGATTGTATTAGCGCTTTCTAGAAGTTAATTCATTACAGCCCAAAAATGTCATAATAACTGTACAGGTCCTGTTAGACATGGCAAAAGCCAGAAGTCAGTGTAACGTTTGGTAGAAAACAAAAGTCCTGATCAAGGGCTCTTAAGATATTTGAATTTCCTAGTCATTACGTTTTCCAGCATATTAATGGTTATGTCTTTTATTTCCCTCCACGACACTCATAAAGAGTGTATACCAAGTCATTCTATTAGAAAGGTAAAAGACCTAGAAATGTTTCTCTGGAGGCTAAATTTAAGTTAAGTGAATGAAGTTTGGATTTGAATATGTGTGATGGCCAGAAACAAAAACAGGCCTCCAATGGGAAGCTCATGTGACTCTGCCATAGACTGTATATAAAAAGGGTTCTGCTGGTCAGACAGTTGGCATATATGCTGCTGATAGTGGAATCATGAGCTAGTCGTTTAACAGGCCACTATTTTGATAATCATTAATTATTATTAACCTTTTTCAACAAAGGGTGGATGATAGACATTGTCAGCTGTGTTTTTACAAATGGCCCTTAAGGTGTAGGCCTATCCTGATATTTAGCAACATTCTGTATTTTCTGCATTTTTGTCCTGTATCTTAGTCTTGCTGCAAAAACCAGTTGGTTACAGCTTCTCAAATGTGAGTATTATCTGCATTTCCTCATAATTACCCTAACCCTTTGAGTGACAAAAAAGCCATTTGAAGAATCACCTTGGGCTATGAGAAATGTCAACATTTCATTGACTAATTGATTAATCGAGAAAACAATCAAGCTCAACTGAAACAACCTTTTGTAACCTTTTGTACTGTACCAACACAGGGGCACCTCACATGAGAGGTGTTAATTAACTCCACAGGAGGTAAAATCATCTCTTCATCAAGTCTCTCATCCTGCCTCTCCTGCCATCAGTTAACGCTGTCTGTTACTTTGAAATGCATTTTAGCAGCAGGGTTTCAAACACTCATAGATCATGAAGTGAATATATGGCTATGCCACGCCTACATTTTGATTTAGTGAGTCACTGCCATAGTAGAAACTGTGCTTTTTGTGCATACTATATCTAATCTTAAAGTACTGCAAGGGCATCATGATAGAGCTATTTCACTTTGCCAAAGAGTACAGAAAGTCTTAACTGTTGCTGCTTTGAGTTGACACAAAGCGAGTGCTGTTCTGTTCTGTGTTTCTGTTCAGTCAAGTCAGTCAGTTTTCATTGTACAGCTATTGAACAGTTATTCGGCAAGATAAATCAATAGACTCATTCTCATTCGTTGACAAAAAAAAAATCATTGACTTGGTTGAAAGTTGTTATTGAACTCTGGTTTAGCAGGTAGTATCACTGCAGATCTTTCATTGCTTTATTGTAAGAAGTTCTCTCGGCATTTTCAGTGAACACAGTTTTTAAGGGCAATTGAAGCTTCTTTGGAGTGAAACTTCACCAAACAATTACATTACAAGTCGTTATCAAGCGCCCTGTATCCAGCTCACTGGAACAGGTTTTTTGTTAATGGGCTACTCCCACCAGCTGAGTCAGATCTATATTGGTAAATAGTCACATCGATTACTTAATGTCAGCATGACTGATGCAACAAAACCTGTTTAACATGGAGTTTCCCAAGATATTGGTATTTCATCTTACAGTTACTGAAGTATAAAGCCTTGATAGGATTTCCTTATATATATTTTGTGTGGAAGGTAGGTCTGAGGATATCTAGGGAAATAATTACAATATAGTTGTCCCTAATTGGCTACACGAAATTAATTAATACCCCCTTTTAAGGTGTTACATTATTATATTGTCTGGTTATTATTATTGATGCATTAACATGTAAGTGACATGTAAGTTTAGTATCTTGTCAAGGTGGAGCTAGTTCTACCTACAGTATACTGCTAGGTAGTGTTATACTTTAACAAATCATATTTTAGAAAATTATGTGTGTCAGATGAATTGGAATAGTGTCTGCAAACTAAACTAAATTTAAGGCAGGGGTGGTTTGTTTGTAGAGCATGTCTCATGTAAACATGAAACATTTTGTAATTTATACACAAGCACCAGCGATTTAAACTCTATTAGTAAGAAGCCAGTACAGAGATCGGAGGACTGGTGTAATGCGTTCAGCTTTCTTTGTCTTTAGCAGCAGCATTATGAACAAGATGAAGTTGCAAAAAAGTTTTTTTGTAGTGAAGTAAAAATATTTTAATAAAACATACGTCAAAATACTGAACTAAAAGCACGTATGTGTGCAAATATTCTTACTTTTACTGCCACTGGAGCCAAGACAAGTGGTAAAGCAATCCCAACTTTTAAGTTGGAAGTGATAGCCATAGACACACCAGACCTCCAACATCACCTCCCACTGGGCTTGACTCCTGCTGTGTGATGAAAGGTGTGGTGAAAAGGGTCAAGAAGCTACGCAGCGGTATTTCAAAAAAGAAAAGTACATTTTTATCAAGACAGTGCCCAAACATTTTCAGGGATGGATTGCTGTGGTTGCTGTCATACAGATAGTTACATTTACGTTGTTGAAATTTAATCACTGTAGAATTATACAGTTATCATCAATGAACTGTTAGCCTTAGCTGAATGATTTCAGGCTGAGAGTACTTTTGGTTTGTAACCTGGCTAATTCAAGTGATTTACAATCCTCTGTTCATTTTAAGACTTGTTGTACAGCTCATTGAGTAAGTCTTGGCAGGATTTGTGTGAGTTTTATAATTCTTGTTATTTCCATATTCCAAAAAGAGTCATATTTCAAAAGATTGCAATATAATATTATATTGCAGACCTGTACAAATGCAGGTCACGCTTGGAAGATAACCCCATAACAGGGTCAATTGCAGTGTTTAAGAAGACAAGTGGGCCACCTTGCCTGAAGCAAAGACTCCCTCCACAAACATCATAAACAATACTCATGACTCTTGCGACTCTGTGAGGCTGTAGTTGGGCACAGGGGTGCTTTGAGCTAAATGCTAACATCAGCATGCCAAAATGCTCACAACAACAGTGTTGACATACTGCACTGTTAAGCAGTTACACAATGTTCACTTTCTTAGTTTTGTAATTGGCCCTAAACAAACACTACTGCTGAGGCTTATGGAAATGTTATTCGTTTTGCTGGTATTTGATAATGTATAAACCAAAAAATTGGACACATTAAAATTTGGATGAAGATGTCTAATGATAGCGTTGGAGTTAAAGTGATCACCAAATTTATTATAGTAAATTTCATGCCAATCCATTCACTCAAAAGTGTTATTGTCACCTCATGGTGGAACTACAGAAAAAGTCAGAGAATCACCAAAGTCAGTAGGTTTCGTCATCTGGGAACCATCAATGTCTGTACCAAATTGAATTGTTATCCATTCATTAGTTGTTGAGATATTTCAGAGATGTCGACTGACGTTGCCCTCCATGCAACTAGCTTTAAAAAGAATCAAAGTGAGATAAAAATTAGGCAGTCCTGTACAAATTGGAAAAGCATGCAAGGGGAGTCTGGGGTCATTCAAAGGGGTAAGGGGTCTGGACTCGGGCTGTGAGACGTTTTAGTTAAATTCAGAGATTTCATCCTAAACGTTCCGTAGGTATGCTGTATCGTTTTCATTCTGATTAAATTTCTGTGAGGTGGGGGGCATGCTTAACTGCCAGGATCACTGGCCAAGCCCTAATTAATACGGACATAAAAGTGAGATTAGGCTGTCTCGCAGTTAAGCCGAATGGATAGATTGAATAATCAGGAATGACTAGGCAGTTTGATTGAACTCACTTGAAGCTTAGGTTTTAGCGAGGAGAAGGGCACTGAGGTCCAGACGTTCGCAGGGAATAAGCTGTGTTATCTGCATATAACAGCAAGGCATATTTTTTGGTTTTCTGACATTTGGTCCTCTTTGAAGTCACATCATCTTTGTACACACACACAGACCTGCTCAATTGCTTATTCATAAGCCTGCTCTCCAAACAGAGCTGGACACACACTTAGTGCAGGTCAGGACACCTGTGTAGGCTGCTGAAGCATTTTTCACTTTTAAGGCCAAATGGTGAATTACAACCTCTAAATCAACCAACAGCCTCTTTTTGCTGTAAGAGGAATCTGCATTGTTTGGCCTGTTGGTATTGGACAAGTTAGTGTATGTTCTTCCCCCTGTTAATGCTTTCTCCAGAGTACTGCCCTCAAACTCATTTGCTGATTCACTGTGTCTAATTAGCCCCCTCTTTGTTTATATTTGAAGATGTAGAGCACAGATGGTTTACACAGACTAATTGTTGGACAGCACTGCACACTGTGATGTTGTTGTAATGCGGACGGGACACTTATATAGACATCATCGATTTTTTCAGTCAAAAATACCAGACATTCTCTTGTTTTAGCTTTTCTTACATGAGGATTAGCAGTTTTTCATTTTACATTATAGTAAATCTGTAATTTGGGGTTTTGAGATTATTGGTTCACCTAGCAGTGTTCAATCTCTGGAGGGTATCTTTCACTATATTTCAAGATATTTTATAGAAACAAACAATTATGAATGAAAAATCTAGAAAATAATCAGAAGATCAGTTATGGTAAAAATAATTGTTGCAGCTCTACCTTCCCTCATCAACATGTACTCATGCAGCATCCCTTACCTAATTCTCATCCTTTTCTTCTTTCATTTTCTTCCCATCTCTCTGCTCCCCTCTTCCTCGCCATCTGTCTCTCATCTCGCCACGCAGCATGTGGTCGGAGCCACGGGCGTTGTAGGATGTTGAGCCCGGCGCACCGCACCAGGGACATCGAGCGCCAAGCTGGCTACCTGAAGCCCGAGCACTGCGCCCCTCCCCCGCCCAGCACCGGCTCCAACACCATGTGGTTCATCCGCGACGGCTGCGGCATCGTGTGCGGCGTCATCACCTGGTTCCTGGTCTTCTACGCCGAGTTTGTGGTGGTGTTTGTCATGCTGCTGCCTGCCAAGAACGTGGCCTACAGCCTCTTCAATGGGGTGATCTTCAACGGCCTCGCTTTCCTCGCCCTCGCCTCCCACGCCAAGGCGATGTGCACAGACCCGGTCAGTCAGACTCTAATGTTGGTTATTTAGCAGACTACTTTGGTTACTTTATAGGAAAAACTAAATCATATATAGGCTGTAATACATCTTCTTAAAAACTGTCTCTAATAGTACTGTAATAAAACATGCCATGCAAGACTAACTTGTAAATTGTAGATAATAATTTTTTTGGTAGTTTTTAAAGCTAGTTTTACTACCTTGTTAATGTTTCAGTTGATTGTATGCTTAGATGGTCCATATCCTTAAATACATTTGTGTTTTAATCAAATCATCACAGACTAGCTGACACACAGCAAGCCTGAGGCAGGATGGGATTCCAGCATAGAAATACTGGTTAGTTTCTGTGACTGAGCAAAATGGGTTGGGACCATTCCAGTATCATTTGGGGCCCTACAGCTAATTTATGACCCGGGGCCACCTATTAGCTTAATCCTGCCCCGACTGTAATATTCAGTCATGTTTTTCTCTAGTTGTGTAACTTGGCAAGTTGACTGATCTGTCTTTAAGTCAATTTATTTTTGCTGTGTATAAGGAGCAACTGCAGCAAAGTGGATGAGAAGGAAACACTGTTAAACAAATGCAACGGAAACCACAAGTGAATTCCTCATTAACACATCTTTTTTTCTCTCAGGGAGCCGTGCCTAAAGGGAATGCTACCAAAGAGTTCATTGAAAGCCTGCAGCTAAAACCAGGACAGGTGGTGTACAAGTGTCCCAAGTGCTGCAGCATCAAGCCCGACAGAGCTCACCACTGCAGGTACAGCTTCCCCTGCGAATGTGTAGATTGTAGGCAAGGTTACAGTCCCCACTGCAAACTATGCAACTTTTAAGATGTGGGTCTAGGCGAGTAGAGTGTCTGCACCTTACAGAGAGAAGTCCTGATGCGTCTCTCCCTCTGGGGACTGTGTGTGTGTGTGTGTGTGTGTCAGTTGTTTTTTTTTTTTAGAGTAGCTGTGCAGCATTTCCCTGCAGACTCTGCAGCTTGATAATAAGGAGTTCCCTCTGTGGTGGCTCAGTGTTTTCTCTGGGATCGCACGAAAAGCACAAAAAACACCGCAGAGTAATTGAATTGTAAAGCCAGTGAGTCATTCTGTCTCATAGGCTGAATGGGTGTCCGTTTGAATGAAATAGATAATTTTTCTTGCTTCTTCAGTTGATACACTTGTCTTTAATGACCCGTAAGAGTAATGTATAACACCACAGGATGGCAGCTTTGAAAATATAGATTTCCCTCAGAAAATGCATACAACAAAGCACACGGTTGGATTGAGTATGACTTTTTGCTTTGTCAGATGATAGATTGTGAATTGTCAGACCTTACTTGAGTTGTCGACCAGCTGCAGTTCTGTGAGATAAATAACCCCTCACACACACACACACAACACAAACATACACAGTCCAGCTACCATGATTGAGAGCAGTCTGTTCCAGTCTCTCACATCAGTCGGTGTTGACGGTGTTGAGTGAATTATGCTGCTAAAGGCGAACTGCGTTTGTGTGTGTCATTTTTGTGTTTTGCTTTACTCTGGCATTAGTTTAATATATTCTATTCAGATTGCTCTTCCTTTGCAGCATCAAAAGGTCACAGTTGGCCAGTAATGGTTTTAATTTTTATTGTGTATCTGTGTGTCCACAGTGTGTGCAAACGCTGCATCAAAAAGATGGACCACCACTGTCCCTGGGTGAACAACTGTGTCGGAGAGAGCAACCAAAAGTACTTTGTCCTCTTCACAGTGAGTCTCTGTCTCTTGCTTTTTAATTTGGCACCCATGCTAAGGTTAGAGCAGCTACACAGCCTGCGTGAGCTGCAGCGTGGCGTCATCTAGAGATTTGGCCTAGAGATTTTTTCCACACTACTGCCGCGGTTCTCTGCAAAATGCATAGTAAAAATTACCTAGTCATATGGATATCATACCAGCAACATGCATTACACATTTCACTACAGTTTCAATGTCTGTATCTGTAGAATGTCAAAGTTTATATTTATCAAAAGACAAACTCAATGTACAAAGACAGAACTGGCAGTAACAGCACCACATTGGCAACGCTGTCTGTGTTGCCACAGCAGTTCAGCAAGGTAGCCGTTAAAGGTGTGTCCTGGGCGTTAAAGTTACTTCAGCATAATAATATTAAATAAATAAATAATATTTATCACATCAACCTCGGGAAAGATGCTGTGGAGTTTACTTTTGTTATAGTTTTAACATCTAACACTATATAATGTTAAACACTGCATAACAGAAAAATAGCATTCATGTCATCAGGCTCAATCTCAATAACTATAGTGCCCTATATCTCAGATGTGTCCTTTCATATTAAACTATATGTATCGACTGTATATAAATTTACACATATGCAACTCTAATTTGAATATATTCAGAATGAAAGATAGTATAACAGGCTCTGATTGTCCAGAAATCCACACTTGGACTGTTCAAGGGTCAAGCCAACAATTAAAATAGTCAAAGTGTGGACAGATGAGGATACAGCAGCTCTGCAGGACTGTTTTGGGAGCACGGATTGGAGTATGTTCAGAGAGGCCGCCACCCAGGAGAGCCACATCAACCTTGAGGAATATACATCATCAGTGACATCATATATCAGCAAACGTGTTGATGATGTGGTGATCACTAAAACGATAAAATCATTCCCCAATCAGAAGGCCTGGATGAATAGAGAGGTGAGAGCTCTGTCCAGAGCCAAAAAAGCTGCTTTTCGGTCGGGTGATGAAGAAGCTTACAGCACTGCCAGAACGAGACTGAAAGCTGGCATCAAGGAGGCAAAGTGGAGACATCAACAGACACTGGACAGAGACCTCAACACCAACAACACCAAAGATATGTGGCAGGCCATCAAGAACATCACAGGCTACAAAAGCAGGAGCTCCCCTATCATGTGTGAGGTCACATTACCAGATGAACTTAACACCTTTTATGCTCGCTTTGATCTCCTCAACAAGGAGTCAGCTATAAAGCCTACTCCACCTCCAGAGGACCGGCCACTGTCAGTATCCACAGCAGATGTTAGGAGAGTCCTGCTGAGAGTCAATATGAGTAAATTAGCTGGGCCTGATAACATTCCTGGCTGTGTACTAAAACCCTGTGCCAATCAGCTAGTTGATACATTTTTAACATGTCGCTGTCTCAGGAGAGGGTTCCCACCTGCTTCAAGACAGCCACAATCATTCCTGTACCTAAATAGTCTGTAGTGTCTAGTCTGGACGACTACCGCCCTGTGGCTCTCACTGCCATTCTGATGGAGTGCTTTGAGAAACTGGTTCTTCAGCACATAAAGAACAACATCCCAGCCAGCCTGGACCCTCACCAGTTTGCTTTCAGAACCAACAGATCTACAGGGGATGCCATCTCCACTGCCCTCCACTCAGCCCTCACACTCCTTGAGGAAAAACATCACCTACATCAGAATTCTGTTTGTGGATTTCAGCTCCGCATTCAACACAATCTCCCCCATTAAACTTATCAGCAAACTCCGCACTCTGGGTTTAAATATAACACTCTGCAGCTTGGACTTCCTCACAAACAGACCCCAGTCAGTTTGGATTGGCGGACTCACCTTCCCCACTCTAGTGCTAAACACCGGAGCCCCCCAGGGCTGTGTGCTCAGCCCCCTCCTGTTCATGCTGTACACCCACGACTGCATCCCCCAACACAGAGAGAACTCTGTTGTGAAGTTTGCGGACGACACCACAATCATCTGCCAGATTTCAAACAACGATGAGACTTCTTATTGGGAGGAAATTGTAATCTTGTAGAGTGGTGCTCCGAGAACAACCTACTACTCAACGTCAGCAAAACTAATGAGCTGATTGTTGATTTTAGGAAGAAGGCGATAAAGACACACACTCCTGTCTTCATCAGTGGTGCTGAGGTGGAGCAGGTGAACAGTTTCAGGTTCTTGGGAATCAGCATCACAGAGAACCTGACATGGTCATCTCACATCTCCACACTGGTGAAGAAATCTCAGAAATGACTATATTTCTTGAGGAAGCTTAAGAAGGCCAAATTCCCACACCAAGTTCTTGTCAGCTTTTACAGAGGAGCAATAGAAAGCATCCTGACAGGAAACATCACAAACTGTCATGCGATGTGCACAGCCCAGGACCGGAGGGCTCTGCAGCAGGTGATTAAAACTACTCAGAAGATCATTGGTACCCATCTCCCAAGAATCAGTGAAATCCGTGAGGTGAGGTGCTTATGCTGAGCCCAAAGTATACTAAAGGACAGTACCATCCCCAGCCTCAGCCTGTTCACCCTGCTGCCTTCTGGGAAGAGATATAGAAGTTTCTGCTGCCGCACCACCAGACTGCAGAGCAGCTTTTTCCCCCAAGCTATCAGACTCTTAAACTCGAATTCATCCTCAGCACTGCTCCATTGATTATTGATTCTATATTAATGTATATTTTCTGCAATGTAGCAGAAGAGAGTTACAAAACACAATTTCACTCTATAACATGTTATATTGTGACAATAAACCTACCTACTTACCTAAATGTTGTCTAAATAAAACTGACATAAAAGAGCTCCCACTTGTGTGATGTTATGACTGTTTATGAGTTTATTTAAGAATATTATCTTAACTCTAAATCTGTGCTTTATTTTACCTCCCCCAGATGTATATTGCACTAATATCCTTCCATTCACTAGTCATGGTGGCCTTCCATTTTGTTTTCTGCATTGAAGAAGACTGGACAAGTAAGTAATATACTGGTGTAGTCTTACCAGCCGTTTCCAGAATGTACCATCATTATTTATTTGCTTATCTCCTGTTAGAGCTGACTGTACTATTTATGTACCTGGGGCCATTTAGTGAGGGGCTTTACTCTATTTTGTAGCAATAAGGATTTCTTCTTTTTGACATGAACAATCTTTCTCTCTTTGCTCTCTCTCCCTCCCTCTCCAGAATGCAGTAGCTTCTCTCCACCAGCAACTGTCGTCCTCCTCATCCTCCTCTGCTTCGAGGGTCTTCTTTTTCTGATCTTCACTGCAGTCATGTTTGGGACGCAGGTCCACTCCATCTGCACCGATGAGACAGTGAGTGAAAACAGGACTAATTTCACCACCATACCTCACTGAAACAGCAGTCAGGCTCACAGAGTCTGTTTAATTGTGCCTGAACATTACACATGACTAACCTTAACATGTTCAGGAAGCCAATGTGTAAAAAAAGATTTTAGAATACATCATTTAATTTTATTTTAACACATTGTGTATATACTTTCAACACAAATATTTTATATTTTAGCTCAATAATCAGAAAGTTGGGGCAGAGATTTGCAGGTGAGCACTTGCATCTGTTACAAGCATCTTCATGATTTTTGCTTTTTTAGTATTGTTATAATGGAATACATAAAAAAACAACAACCATTGTACAAGATAACAAAATTAGAGAAATATTTTATTATCAAATTGATTCCAAAGGCTGAGATAATTTTGGACATATTTTCCTTAAGCAGTATGCCACAAGATGGTGCACTTTGTTGTACTTTTAGAAATGAGAGAAAGGTTGTTTGGTATTACTGAAAAGGCTCTGGCCTAAACATTAACAAAAAACTAACTGTTAAAAAAACAACAACTAACATTTAGAGCTGCAACGATTAATTGAATAATCGATTTAATTGTCCACTATTAAATTAATCACCAACTAATTGGATAATCGATTAATCGGTTTGAGTGATTTATTTATTTTTAAGAAAAGTGATTTTGATTCCAGCTTCTTAAATGTGAATATGTTGTGGTAAGTTTACTCCTCTATGGCCGTAAACTGAATATATTGGGGTTGTGGACAAAACAAGATATTTGAGGATGTCATTTTGGGCTTTGGGAAACACTGATCGACCATTTTTCACCATTTTCTGACATTTTATACCTAACAACAACTAATCGATTCATGGAGAAAATAATTGACAGTGAAAATAATCGTTACTTGCAGCCCTACTAACATTTCAGTCCTGTTGCATCAGCATTAACTTTATGGCAACGCCAATACATGTCTCTCCATCTTTCTTCATTCCCTGTCATCTTTCTACCATTGAATCCCTAATAACCGTTTTATATATAGAAACATTTAAAAGGAAGTTATTCAAAACATTATAATGAGGAACACCAGACACACTAAAGGGCCAGTGATAGAGTTAAGTTTCTATGGTTGATATAGCAGTTCTGACTTCCTAAAATAAGTCACAAATTTATACTGTCTTGCGGTTCACTAGATCAGAGCACAGATGTAAGTAGGAGCAGGTAATTCACTCACAGCTTCCCCGTAGGTTGACATTAGTGCATTTTCTCATAATGTATCCGCTCAAACCACCCACGACGGTGACTCATAGTGTGATAATATTCACTACAAAGATCATCTATTTCAGTCAATTTTCATCTAATGGGGCCTGCAGTTCTCTGCCCTGTTCGTGCATTTTTATATATATGTGTGTGTGCGCTGTTGTTAGACATCAGGAAATGCTGAGAGTGAGTCACCTACCCCTGATTAAGACCTCCGAGGGGGGGAAAAAAACAAAAGGAATGCAAAACATGCTTAATTTTTAATCCCTTATGCTGGTTATTTTCTGCTGGCACATTAAAATTTAAATTCACAGCTATATGTTCACATATGCATCAGCTTTAAGCATGAATCTGGAGACCCACATCTTTTCCGGTTTGTTACATCTTGTCCCCGCAGGGTATCGAACAGCTAAAGAAGGAGGAGAGACGATGGGCCAAAAAGTCAAAATGGATGAATCTGAAGGTGGTATTTGGCCATCCATTCTCCATAGCCTGGCTGAGCCCCTTTGCACCACCCGACCACGGCAAGGCAGACTTGTACCAGTACATTGTGTGAAATCTGGAAACCTGGCTGAGCTCTGCCGTGGGCTGATCAGTCTGCCCTCCTGTTGGCTGGACCTCAATGAGCATAAACTCCTTTTAACCACATCTGCGTATTCTTTCGTTTATGGATATTTCATTTATGGATATTTCAGGGTGTTCTGTTGTAAGCAATTATGATGTCAAAAGTATGTCACCTTTTTATTTTATTGTATTTTCCCCTCTTGTTACTCACTGAGATTAATGATGTATAGCTGTACAGAAAAGCTCTACAAGAATACAAAAAAAACATTAACTGAGCAGCAACAACTTGACAAGAAGCACTTGGTGATACGACACCAAGAGACTGAAATTTCCTGCAGCATGTCTGACCATTTCCTGCTTCCAAGACTAAACGATGTGAACTGGAAACTGAAGTCCAGAATGTTTTCAATCAGAGCAGCGCGGCCTGCGTGCCAAGATGGACACCTAGTTCTCTGTCTTCCTGTAAACATTGCTGTGATCCTGTCACTTCTTCATTTGCTGTATTTCTGCCATTGCAGTAGTCTTTTGCTGAGTGCTGCGGATTAATCGCCTTAGAACAGTGCATTAGTAAACAGTGGCATCTGCTATTTTTAAAGACAGCGGTTATTTTGCCTTAATGTTACAGTCAGGGTGAGACAGGATCACGTTGGTTAAATACTATTTTAAATGAGTTGCATCCTTTTTGATGCCAGATTACTGTGAAGGACATTGAAAGGCTGCTAGACAAAGAGCAACAATAGCCTCACAGTGGCCAAGTGAAGTTATCATACTTAAGATTACCATGATAATAGCAAGTGCGATTTCAATATTACAGCAAACGCTCTTTGAGCAGCTACTTTGTCAGAAATACAACAGAAGAACAACTGGTGAATTTGTTAACAGTGAAGCCAAACACAATTAAAAACTAAGTCCATAATTGGCACATTTTTTAAATGAGTGCAAGTTTCCATCTACTACCATTATGTGAACATTAAGACTTTGACATAGTGAGATGAAACAGCTATTGGTGCTAATTCTTCAGTTGCGTGCCATTAAACAATTGCAGAAGAAGAGGGCACATCAAGTTGCTCTAAATTTGAATTTTCAGCATCACTCAGCTGTTTTTAATGCGCAAATTGAAAATGTGCTCCTGATGAAAACACACTTAGTGAGGCAGATATCAATGAGATAGATAAAAAAAACAGCAACCCTGGATTCCATGCTAGGCTCACTTTTTACGATGGCAATTTGAAAATGGTGTCAGAATAGAAAACCACTATTTAGAGAGTTAATCAAGGACTTTATTTACATTGAATGGCTATTGAAACAATGACTACAATAAATAGTATTAAACATGGGGTTTGAAATCATGAAAATCTTCAGGATTCTAACTTATTATAACATGTTTGGCAGGTTAACAAAGTCTTGTTTCTAGTCCAAAAGGCAGCTCGGCTTGTACAATATTGAAAGTGACACTTCAGTTGGAGAAACTACCGGTTAGTTTGACCAGTTTCCTTCTTTTGATTATCTGACGACTCTTGTGTGTAGTAAATCCAGCCGACCTCTTTGCTTGAACCGTTTCCATCACAGTCACCAGCTCAAATGGACAGTCAGGGAATACAGCAATACACGTTGCTCTCTGAATGCACTGACCCTAAGTGTAATTCACTCTCTCTCAATTGATGTAATTTGCCTATGGATAATCCAGTTTGTCGTAGATTGTAGCTGCCTTACAGGATAAAACGAATAAAATTTAGGCCAGTGGAAAATGTTCACTGAGGCCTGAAAGACCACTGCGGAAATGCACGTTTTAATTGTCACAGCTGCGACAGTACTATGCCAGTCTGTGTGAAGAGCACAGATTTTACATTTGGTGATGAGAATTTCCTACAGATCGGAAATAGGCCACTTCAAAGCATTTAACACTAAAATGCCTTTTCTCAAATGTCTTCGAAAGCCTTACAGTAATTATAAAATGTGTTTTTAAGGGTGATGAAAGACATTTTTGAACATACACGTTGCCAAATTTAATGCATAATGAAGGGAGGCATTGAAGTAACTGTTTTAATGGTAGAGCGTTGTCAAGAAGTTTCTAAGGCTTTTAAAAATCACTCCAGTTTTTAAATAAATGTATAAAACATTACCATGATATGGAGATGCACCAGTTGCTATCCAGTTTACACATATAGTATACCAGCTTTCTTAATTTTTCTTGAATTGTTCAGTATGTTCTTTGGTCAGGTGTGAATACCATTTATAGTACTTACAGTGGACCACATGATGTTTGTTTTTTTTTCTTCTTTTGACTGGTATTTGTTTAAAGAGATATGAAATAAAACCATATGTATATGACACAACTTACTGTTAAGGATATTTTGACTCTGTTTACATTATATTTTAGCATATATGGTACTTAACTTTGTGAGAATTTCCATTTTGAATTCAGGGACATATTTGACACTAGTGTCAAAAAACAACTTGTAAAGAAAATAGTCTGACAGCAAACGTTTCAGACACTATTAAATTACAGAAATACATAAACTATTCAGATCAGTAAATTTCAGATTTTTGCTGTAAATACCCTTGTGACCCATAATAGAAAACAGTTTACCCCTAAACAAACTTCGAAATCGAATCGAAAAACACATACCAATTGGATTTTTGCTTACTTTGCAACAGATTTCTTGAGGAAAATTGTTTAAATTTACTTTAATTTATAGATATTTTATTGACTCAGTTTACTTTTGACAGATTTTATGACAAATTCAGAAACTCGTTTTTAATTCAGGGAAGGAAAGCAAAAACATGGACATATCTGATACTGTAGTGTTATAATAGGAAAAAACTGCAGAAGCATCGTCTTATCTGACATGTAACTGAAGTACAAGCCATCTAAAGTAATTTATGTTTTGTTTTCCATTTTTACAAGAGGTATTTAAAGAAAGGGAATGTATCTAATGGAGATTAAGCTCGCTGTGTAAGTAGAAGTAGACCTGCTCAAGGCTTATGATACATCCAGCCCCATAAATTTGCAGTGAGTCCAATCTTAATTACATTACTGTGTTTAAATGCAAAGAGAGGACACGCTAAACCCTCAGCTTCACATCTTTACCCAGTTGAATAAAGGTGCATTGTAATTCAGATCTGATTCAATTTATCTGGACGTGGAATAGAAGCTATTCTGTTTGAAGAACAAAGCTGTCATGAAGATGCACTTAATATCTTCCCACAGTGATGGAGACATGAATCTTGTTTGTCAGATGAGATGTTTATTTAATAATTCCAACAGTGTTACTTCTCTCGGTGGTTCCTATTAACAGAATATATTTACACTTTCACAAATGTTTGTTTTCACATAATCTGTAAGACACTTTATGAACAGTGTATATCAGAGCAGATTTGTGTTACAAAATGGAACATAATGTTGCATTTGTCGGTGATGACTGATTTGCGCATACTTTAAGAGTAACGTTACCTACAAACTAAGGTAAAATCAGTAAACTTTTACATTATACTACTAAGAGAAAGGTCAAAACTCACAATAAATCCAAATAAGTGTACTGCTGTTTTCTTGCAGCGCCACATTAACTCATCAATGTGAGGCACACCTTGACCGGTCAAGAACATATTTCAGTGGTTTTGTAATTTCTCAACCACATCTACAGTTTATGTGCACACGGATATAAATACATCACACTCAGGGCCATGCCGCTGTCAAGATATAAATGTGGCTACTGCAAAGCTCTGCCTGGTTATATTACAGTGAGAGTGGGTTCACAGGTAGATGGTTTACCTTCACATCATGCCGTTAACTGCAGAAAAGCCAGGCACCAAGAACTCTACTGTTATTAAAGGTAGAATAAAAATATAGTTCAACGTTTTGGGAAAAATTCACTTTCTAGCTGAGAGTCAGATGAAAAGAATGACACCATTCTCGTCTCTGTATGTTAAATATAAAGCCGCAGCCAGTTAGCTTAGCTTAGCATAAAGACTGAAAAAGGGGAAACAGCTAACGTTAGCCTGGCTCTGTCTGAATGTAACATAATCTGTCTACCATCACCTCTAAAGCTCTATAATTAACACATTATATGTCATTAGCATATCACATCTGTAATCCTTACCAAAAGTCAAGTAATGCTAAAAAAAAAAGTCAAGTTGTGGTTTTACAAGGAGTTATGTACCGGACTATTTTTTTGCCAGTCTCCACTGGTTGCTTTGCTCCCAGCCAAGAACAGTAACCCCAATAAAACACAAACTTGATGTTTCTCTTATATCTGTTTGGTGAATATAAAGCTAGACCCAGGGGCCTGTTAGCTTAGCTTAGAATAAAGACTGGAAAAATGCTGGCTTGACTCTGTCAGCACCACGGAAGCTCACTAATTAACATGGTCGTTAATCAGCTAGTTGCCTGGCCACCTCACAGTGATGACAAGACTCCAGGAAGTCGCTGCTTCTCGCCAAGAAATACTCCGACACATTACCCTCTGTAAAACCACAAACTGTTGTCTTTGTAGAGACTAAACAAATGAGAAATAACATATTAATTCGTGATCTGTAGAGGTGGTGGTAGGCGAATTTTGCTACCTTTGGGCAGAGCCAAGCTAGCAGTTTCCCCGTTTCTAGTCGTTATGCTAAGCTAACATGCTTCTGGCTTTTAGTTTCGCATTAATAGGGCATATATGAGAGTAATAATCAATCTTCTCATCTAAATCTTGGCAAAAAAAAGTGAATAAGCAGAATATCCCAGAATGTTTATTATTTTTAAGGAATCAGAACACACCCAGGATCCCAAAACGTGGAGGCACAAACAACTGAATTCACTTCTGCGTCGCTGTGAGTGATCTCCACTGCTTAGAAATCCTTCGTGGTGAGTACAGCCCTGCTATGAAACATCACTCAGCCGGCCTTTAATATAAGAGTTGTATAATCACATTGTCACTGCAGTCACATTAATAGGGATGCATTTAATCCACGTGATACAAAACCTGCACAGCAGCGGTTGGAAGGACATCAGATATATTTGTGCATTGCTGCTGTGGAATATTACAGTCAGGTATTATAGCTACCGTTATGCATTTATATTATGATATGTATCTGAACAATAGCAAAGTGTAATCTTAAAATGCTGTTCCATAAAGCAACCTTTGATCTCATGTTCAGGCAAATCCCTGTATACTAAAGTACACTGCTAACAGAAACGCCCCTCTAATATTGCCATGCTCAAACTCCCTCACTGTTACACACATCACAGTGTTATGAGATTTAAAGGAAGTATAATGTTATTGCACTGTGAGTGACAACTCCACAGATGTAGAGGAAAGCTTTTAATGGAGCCAGGTGTCTATGAATTCTAGAGAGACCGATGGCGGATGGAGTGATATTCATGATGAAACCGAATAATATGAAATTGCAGACGCAGGGCAATCAAAAGGCCATGTGATGTCTCTTAGATTCTGAGTTTAATGAAATGAAGCAGTTCAAAATGATGTCACTCTGATGTGGACTGACGCTCCAGGATGCTATTTGAGTTCAGGCCTTCGTAGGAACTCATCTCATCTATCATGAAATAGAAGACCAGCTGCTTCTGAAAACATGTGTCATGCTCATATCTTGAGGTTAAGAGAAATGGAGCAAAACATTACCAGGGATGAGCCTTTCAGCGCTACAGTAATATTATTACTTGTGAAAATATGTGTACACCTTGTTAAAACTAAACTAAAAAAAGTCACTTATAACATCTCCTTGAGCATGCAAAAAATGCAATGTCAGTGTACGTTTACAGTGAGTGTCGCGGTAACTTAAGGAAATGTGAGAATTAAGGAAATGTGAGAATTAATAAAGCTTTGGTGATGTGATAGCTGCATTACATAATGCATAGGCTGGTTAATGATGGCATCATGCACATAGCCAATAATGCTGTTTGTCATTTGCTCATGAACATATCCAGAAAAATTCCCTTCAGATCAGTCTGTCACTATGCACACAGATTTTCATCTGTCACTTTTAAGAAATACACTTGTTTCCCTTCTTGCTGAGAGTTAGATGAGAAGATTGATAACATTTTTGTGTGTTTGTTAAAAATGAAGCTACAGCGAGATAAGCTTAACATAAAGACTGCAAACAAGGGGTAACAGCTAGCCTGGCTTTGTCCTTAGGTATCAAAATCTGCCTCTTGTTTATTTAATAATCAGTACAAACACCTAAGTGTAAACAAATGAAATTTAACATGTTAATTATTGAGCTTTAGATGGGCTGGTAGGCAGATTTTGTTACCTTCAGACAGAGCCAGGCTAGCTGTGTCACTACTCCACTCAATATGCTAAGCTAAGCTAACCAGCCGCTGGCATTTGCTTCATATTTAACATACAAACATGAGAGTGGTATCAATCGTCCCATCTAACTCTTGGCAGGAAAGCAAGTGTATTTCCCAAAATATCAAATTATTCTCTTCCTTCACATCTGTTCTGTTGGGCTGTTGTTGACTGAAAGATTCCCCAAAAGGAACGTAAAGCTAGTAAATTTTTTGCTCCATTATAAGTCTGTGGACAAAGATGATTTTAGAGCTTCTCAGAAGCTGCGTGCACGCATCCATTAGTTTGCCAAGGTGTGTGGATTTTCCAGCCAGCCTGACTGTAGCTGCACCATGGCCAGACTGGCTGAAAGCCAACATCTCCTCTGATTTTACCCAGTAGCGTTACATGGCCACAAACTGCAACTGGAAGCATAGTCACCGATTTCAAATAAAACATTTCCTCTTCATCAGGAAGGACACATTTTGAGTGGCATTTAGTTAATCAGGAATCAATTTGTTTATTAAAGCAAGTGTTTCAGGGAGGCTTGACAGAAACAATGGAGATTACTGTTCTCTCACCGTAGTGCATTCTTAATATAAATACACACAAACTAAAATTTCACTTTTCTTTGGTTAGAGTAGTTCAAATCAGAGGAGAAGCCGACCAAAACACACCACATATTATTCGTCCTTCTCGGCAACCGCATTCTGTTCCTGTGGTGAAACCCTCTGCAGTACCAACAGACCAGAGAAGGTCAGAGAGATCCCAACCCACCACAGTGTTATCTGTGCTTCACCAAAGATCAGCTGGCCCAGGAAAGCCTGCAGAAAAAAAATCAGGATCTTAGTTAAAGTGAATCAGTAAATCAATTCCATTCAATGAGGAAGATGGAGATGTCAAACATGGAGTTGAACTTTGACAAGAAGGTCCTGTTAAAAGCCTACAGTTAGACAAGTTATTTCTGAATGTAGTCCAGCCTATTTTCTAAAATAAAGTAGTTTATATAAGGAAGAAAGGATGTAAGGTCACTCTGAAATTAACTCGCACTCCGCTACAGTCTGATATGATGAATTGTGCTTATGGGACAAGTAATAAGGCAGGGAGGGTGTGCAGGAGGTCCTGTAAGAGTTGCTACTTACGGAAGATATGAAGTTGGAGGCGGTCGTGGTCACAGTGGTTCGGGTGGAGGAGGAGGAATACCTGAGTGCTTTGGCAAGAAAGGTCCACATCACAGCATTGCAGGTGAAAAGCAGCCCGCCGCACAGCAACCTCAAAGGGATGTGGAGCTGAAAAATAAAAGCAGAAACGTATAAGTTAATGACAACTGATTACGGTTTCGTGTCCTATTCAGTTCTCTACATCTTAAACATTTTGTTTCAGGATAAAAGTAACAATAAGAAATGTTTCAGTGAAATCGAATGCAGCCATCTAAACAATATTTGCACCTGCCTGACAATACAGTTGTGTTTAAGCAGATGTGTCATGATGAGTCCGGGTGGAAGGGACTTGAAAACCCTGCAGCCTACTAACAAGACTGCTTTATGTTTTGTAGGGTTGATTTGAAAAAAGGCAACATAACTAATAACTTCACCTGTCAAATAAATGGAGTAAAATATGCAATATTTCCTTCTGAAATGTAGTGCAGTAGAAGTATAAAGTAACAAAATTGAAATGCTCAGGTAAATATAGTACAAGTAGCTCAAAAATTGTAATGAAATCATTACACACCGTTAACTAGAGCATTATATGGCTCAGGGTCCTTGATATTTTGTCGCATTCAAACCTTGTGGTGAATATTAATATAATTTTGCATCCACACACCTCATCTGTTATTTTAATTATCCCTCAGACTAAAGGTCACTGTTTGACGTCCATCCTTTAAGGACACAGACAGTTGCCTGCAGAGGTTTCTGACATCACTGTGTGACAGAGAGCGTGAAGGTCACACGAGAAAACCTGACCCTCTTTTACAAAACCTGACCCTGACGCTCAGCCATCACACCAACCATGCTAAGACAAGTTGCACAACGCGATGGCACACGCACACACAGATTCGTGCGAAGCTGCAATGTCATTCAAGCATGCGGACACGGCACGAGAGCGCAGCTGGCTGCTGCTGCATGGGCTCCCCCGTGTGATGCTGCTGATGTTGAAGGAGTCAGGCAGGAGAGGCGGGCGGGGACAACCCCCCCCAACTTCCTCGGTGAGAAATCGCAACGCTTGCAGGCATCCACGTCGCCGGCGCTGCATTATTCACAGCAAATCCTCCCTGTGTTAATAATTAACGCAGCTCTTACTCACCCGGTCACAGGCTGTAGTTTCGTCCGCTTGTCTAAATTTTCGCTGCTCTCCCCACGTCCGGAGTCCGGTTTCACAGACTCCCTTCAGATAGTCGGCTCCGAGGGACAGCTTGGCCGACGACGACGCCACGGCCCCGAGGAAACCCGCCAGCAGTGCATAGAAAACTCCCGGAAACATGTTGATGAGGCACATCATTTTCTAATCCATCTTTACATCACGGCTGCTACTGGTCCGGGTCGTGCAGCCTGCATGGTTGTGTGTGTGTCACTGTGTGGCACGTTTCCCTGCACTTTCTACAGACAGCCGTCCGGTGGCAGTCACACAACACATGGTTAACACGAAGCAGCGCTGTGGTTGGACTGCCCCCCGTGGCATTCTGGGAAGTGTAGTTCCACAATTTTATAACCTCAGTTGATTGAATCATGACTTTGAAGCAGCAGTAACCTGCGTCCAAACTTGCTAGAGTAATCATAAAACTATAGTATAGTGTTTTAATCCGATATTTTAAATAAACAAGAGTGAGGTTAAGCAGATCATTAATAGACAGGGAATTCTCTATTCTTCCATGCTATCAATACTGGGTGCAGTAGAGGACAATCAATGCTAATGTAATGTCCTTGAGTGTTCAATTGATCCAGACAACTTGGGACAGACTTCTGTATACTAATGAGCTGCATTATAAAGGCTCATTACATTAAAACACACCATATAAGTGGAATAGATGGGATGTATGTGCAGGCAGTCACACATGTACACCACCACCCCACACAAAAACCTCAAATCCCTTTCCGATAGAGAGAGAGAGAAATGAGCCTGTCAGAGAGTTGGAACCAGAACGAGACTAAATTATTCTCGTAAGTAGAAATAGAAAGTGGAGTCATCTTCATGTATGTATGAGCCTGTAATGACTAACTATTAATCGGAGCGCTGTAATAAAGACAGGAGTCATCAGACACAGACGGCCATTGCCTCATCAGATTCTGCAGCTGAACATTTTGCTTAAAGATGGCAACACTGACAAAACACTGGTGTCAGTGTATCAGTGCTGAATATTTCTTTTGAATACATCTTTTTATTTTAATAATGACTGTCAGGTAATAAAACAAACAGGCACGTAGCTTAACGGGAACAAGTTGTGTATACATTAACACATCATCGCCGTTTATGTTGGCAATGCGAACAGTTGTTTATTTAACACATCCAGCAGTCATAGAGCAACATCATTATTAGTTTGGGAGTTGTGTTTCTGGCCACCTGGTGAATGTAAGTCCAATATTAACTCTATTTTAGTTCTATTCTTGGTCTGTAAGTTAGGCTACTAAATAAATGTCTGGCTCTTTAGCTGCTAAATATTCCATTATGTTCACCAGCTAGTCGCTAACTGTGTCAGGTTATAGTGTATTGAGTTTTTTTCACTGAAAGTAGCTGCCTTCTGCAGCCGAAAACACAGGAGACATTGTGACTTCTCGTTTTAGGAAAAGCACAGGTGTTACTAATAACATTGATGATGGATCTCTTGTATGCAAACCTCCCCGTAAACTGTGACAGCGAGTCTGCATGCACGGCGCCACGACACGAAAGCAGCTAAGTTGAAGTAAAAAATTATTATATTTTTTGTTTTATTATTTAGAAGTGCGCTTTTCATATTGTCATGTGACTGTCTTAAAGTTACCATGATGAACAGGGTCTTAACTCAATCTTGATCAAATTTCATTTGGCTTTTTAGAGCAGAATTCCCAAATCCTTCAAAGTAAATTACATCACATCTTCTAGGTGATATCATGATTTTCTCACCTAGAGGAAGTGTAACCCTAGTCAGTTTTGTGGCCAGTAGAGGTCTCTAATGTGCTACAGAGAAAAAACATCCACCACAACTGGGTGTCGATGTAAATCACTGACAACCAGTGTGCATATGAAGCTATGTAGTGGGTTGAGGCAACAATTACTTTAAATTACAGTTTGTTTTGCCTGTTGATGCTTTGATGACCAACATTACCTTTCCATCTTGATATTTGTGAGCAGTAAAATCTTAATAAGCCTGCATAGAGGCTGTTATGGCATTATTGCTGCTTCTGTATATGTCAAGTTAAGGTATAAAGTGATTTCCAACTAAGAGGGGTGATCACAGAGTCCTTAAATGGAAATAGAGGAACAAAAACAAGGAAGGTAATAAAAGAAGCACATAACAGTGCAGGGATAGAACTTGTGCAGGTGTGATTGTGTGTGTGGCGTTGGTGCATAATGTGTGTGGGTTTTCCTGTTGTGTGCGGAAAAGGAAATTAAAGTGTTGAGCACTGACAGTGCAGAGGAAAATAAATACTGTGTTGTTTCTGTCAGTGTCCTCTAATCCCAACAAAACAAGCTTCAGGGAAATGGCTTTCCTCGTTTTTTTCTGGAGTGTCTGCTTAGGAAAAAGTCTGAAATCAAGTGGAGCCATTAGGAGTTATCGCCTCGCTCTTCTGACAACCACAAATGTCAAGTTAGAACCCAAATTGGGGCTCCTTGTGCTCCTGTTCAGTTGAGCCATAATTGAGCCCTAAGAGACCTTTTAGTATCTCTTTTACTGAAGGTTTGTCACTGCCTTCTTGTATCTCTGTCCAGCTTTTCTGCTTTTTGGTCATGGAAGGTGATTTAATAAGGAAGAAGATCCTATCTTGAAAGTGCATTGTTCATTAGTGTAACAACTTTAACTATGACTATAAGTATAACTCTGCAGTTTGCAGACAAAAATAGATTTTGACATAATAAAATTATAAAATTTATCTTTTTCTTATATTGTTGCACATTTCCTTTTTCTGTTATGTCTTGCCTGTATTTCTGTAATCACCCCTAATTATTAGACCTCTTCATTTCATTTAGAGATGCAGTTAAACACCGTAACAACCTTTACTTTAACACATTATTTAGCTAATTTAACATTTCTTGGCATGACATAGTTCATGTTGTTGCTAGAAAGTAAGGTGACAGTTATTGCTACTGCTGAAATTGAACTTTTGACAATTTTTGTCATTGGATTCCTTTTGTGTGTTTTTAGAAATCACACTCAACAAACAACTACACATCTCTTTATCTCATCTATCCCTCAGGAATCCCGTGACCCACAGTACTCCCGAACAAATATCAGCCTCTAAGGTAAAGCACTTTGAATTACCTATCAAGCATATTAAAAGACTATGAAAGCCACAAAAAATCTGAATCTGATTTTTGCGAATAAGTAGCTGCTGTGCTGCTAACCTTATGTGTGGTGCTTCTATTGGCTAGTTTTGTACTGAACTTAATGTGACAGCTTGAACTGGCAACACTGAGCGTCATAGCCATATGACAGTATAAGTGATGCATTCACTTACTATTATACTAAAGTCCATGTGAAAGTCGATGGGTTCGCTTACCTTAGGCAAAAAGTGAAAAAACTACATAGTTGGTGACTATGAATCTGAACTTAATGAAATGATTCAAATCAGGAAAGTGATTTGTGATTTCTGCCTCCATGCTATACAAAAATCCCTATAAATAAAATCTCCTGACTTTCTTTTAGCTTTGCTATGAGAAGATTTGGACATAAATATATAGACTCTGTCATGTAGGCAGTTTGGTTTATCGTCTTGTGGCTATTCAGATGCTAAGTACTTGTGTGTTGATACACAGGTGTTTATCACCGTCCTCTTTCTTGTGGAAGTGTAGAGTTTATCTGACTTTCAGAGTAGTGGCTGACAGATGATTAGGGTGTGAAATAAAAGTGAATAGTCCTAACTAGTCGTAGTAGTCGTAACTATCACAGTGCCTTATTCTTTAGCGGCCTTGATGAATATGTGTGGCGCCATCTTTCAGCCCTGAAAGGAAAGAGGCAGCAAGCATAAATAAAAGTCAAATATTCACTCACAGGCGCACACACCCTTGAACTATAAAATCCCTCTCTGCTGTTCTCAAGTTACAGTCTTACACACAAACACACACAGTCTGACCTTGTCAGCTCCCAGGGTCAATAGCCCCTTCCAGTCCATTAAGTAGTTGTTGGCGAGGTTGCTGGCATTCGTGAATAATGCAGGCTGTTGTGCAAACATATGCAAGCGTTTGGCAAGTCAAACATCACCACATGTCGTTTATATTTCCAGACTGAACTCCCTCAGAAATGAAATAAACTGAAATACATTTACCAAATACCCAATATGACCAATTGTTGTCATTTTAAATTTACATTACAGTAAAACTAAACGTAGAGCCGACAGAAGAAGTTCAGCTTATTTCACATGTCAGAAAACAAAGGGAGAGAGACAATTTATGGGGCCATGTTGGCAGTGAGCAAAATTTGCAACAAGCTGATAAAATGTTCCAAAACACACTTGGAATAATCTAATTTCTGGTGGTTGCCAACAGACCGGTTGAAATGCTTATGTGATCCAGTAGTTTTTTGTAAACACAGCGACAGCGGTAACAAACCAAGGTTGGTGGTGTCTCTCTGTACTTTGTTTGGTTTTGTTTGTATTCTCGGTCTGTTGGTGGTAGAGTTAAGGTGTGATAGATAGGTGTGATAATTAAGGTTTATGATAAGAGGCTAGGGAATGCATTATGTCAATGAGATGTCCCCACAAGTATAGAGGAACAAACGTGTGTTTCTGTGTACAAAGTGATAGGCAGTGCAGCAGTGTGCAGATATCTGTCAGGGACAAGGACAGACAAGCTCACAGCCTAACACCGATAAGATGACTGATGAAATACACCTACCTTTGCTCTGAAATGAAGCCAGTAGGTTTTTCAATAACATTTCAAAATGTGCACTGAATAAGCAAGGAGCGTTCATTCTGACATACCAAAACTTCCCGTCCTGCCACTTAGGATGCCAGGATCCATTAAAAGCTATGATATATTATGTTGTGTAAATCACAGCATTAGAACTAAGAGAAGAGAACGTGTGCTGATGGACTTCTTCACACTACTTTATCTTTAAAGCTGAGTCCGGGGCTTTTTCTTTGCTGATCCTCGCGATCAATCATCAATTATTTTCTGAAAGGATGTCGGACATCTAAATGCCAGAAGTGTCGGACTGCAGCACACTTTGATCAAGCAAAGTTTTGCTTGCACAAAGTTTGCTGCTGCAACATGGTGAAATGTTCTCAATGAAACCACATCTTAGTACACTTTATGGCCAAAAGTATGTGGACACTTAACATTACACTTGTATGTATGTGTTCATCTCATTCCAGCCACAAACCATCAGTGAGTTCAGCCACTTAGGTTGAACCATTTCTTTATGGACACTTCACATGGCTTTGTGAACGGGTGTATTGTCATGTTAAAATAGGAATGGATTGGAA